GAAAATAAGTACCGACAGGGCGAAGCGGACCCCGACGCATAGGAGGGGTCTGCTTCTGCCCTGGAGGTACTTATTTTCCGATAATGACCTGCGTAATATACGTTATCCCGCTTATTACACGGCTTTATACCAACAGAACACACAACATAAACTTCAGTCCACTTTTAGAAATGCCGAAAGGTTTATTTAATGCCAGAAAATAAAATAGTTCCCAAAGGCTTTCCCGTGGCTATGCTAGCAACAGTTAGGCTAACAACTTCCAAACTAGAACTCTCTGGAACTGCATGAAAACTGAACAAAGAATCCTGAACATCAGCGGTGAGTGACCCAAACATAAACCTAACCTAAATCCATAATTCCATCCTCTGCAAATGTTCCTAAAATGTGCCGGTATCTTAAAATGTGCCGGTATCTTAAAATGTGCCGGTATCTTAAAATGTGCCGGTATCTACTTCCGGGTTTTTCGGGATCGCCTTTTCTCGCATTACATCAGTGTTTTTGTCATGAAAACGTAAACGGAAAATTCTGAAAACTTCCGTGCACTTGTATTAAGACTGGATATGTATAAATTACTCTCCCATTAACATTTCATTGCGTTGATTGATTGGCATTTGCGTTTATTGAGCGGCCAGAACTACTTCCGGGTTTTTCACGATCGCTTTTTGACGCAGAGAAATAGTATTTTTGTCATGAAGACAAGACCAGAAAATTCTGAAAATGTCCGTGCACGTGTGTGAAGAATGTATATGTATAAGTATTCTCCGATTAACATTTAAGTGTGTTGATTGAGCGTGGCTAGCTCCGGAGTGGCCGGAACTACTTGCGGAGTTATCCACGCATTTGAAAGACAAGCAGAGAGTGCGTTGCCAAAGGGCAGCGGTCATTATTGTTTTGAGAGGTCCGTTATAGAAAATAATGACCGTAGAACGTTTTGAAATTACATTCAAATCAATGGAGCGTTCTCCTGCTGCTGTGAGGAGCCGTATAATAATAATTTATAATGCTGACTTGCTTGAATATTTGTATTTTGGTAAATGCAAATGTTGTTGGTTGGAGTCAAAAAACTTATGGAAAACTTTGAATATGAATAAAGTGCACTATTTATGTCCATAGGTTTGTTTTATTATTATTGGCTTTCTGTGTTTGGTTTACTGATCTGTGTTGGTGAATCGACAACTTTGTAATGTCCTCTGAGGCGACTCTTGTTGTGATTTAGGAATTTAGACAAAAATAAACTGAATTGAATTGAATAATATGAAAAAAGAGACAAATCCGCACAATTAAGTTCATCAGACAGGCATGAGTGTTCCTCTGAAGAACTCTCCCTCACAGTTAAAGGGCACCTCTGAAGAACTCTCACTCACAGTTAAAGGGTACCTCTGAAGAACTCTCATTCACAGTTAAAGGGTACCTCTGAAGAACTCTCACTCACAGTTAAAGGGTACCTCTGAGGAACCCTCACTCACAGTTAAAGGGTACCTGTGAAGAACTCTCACACACAGTTAAAGGGTACCTCTGAAGAACTCTCACTCACAGTTAAAGGGTACCTCTGTGGAACTCTCACTCACAGTTAAAGGGTACCTGTGAAGAACTCTCACTCACAGTTAAAGGGTACCTCTGAAGAACTCTCACTCACAGTTAAAGGGCACCTCTGGGGAACTCTCACTCACAGTTAAAGGGTACCTGTGAAGAACTCTCACTCACAGTTAAAGGGCACCTCTGAAGAACTCTCACTCACAGTTAAAGGGCACCTCTGAAGAACTCTCACTCACAGTTAAAGGGCACATCTGAAGAACTCTCACTCACAGTTAAAGGGTACCTCTGAGGAACTCTCACTCACAGTTAAAGGGTACCTGTGAAGAACTCTCACTCACAGTTAAAGGGTACCTGTGAAGAACTCTCACTCTGGGGAACACTCACTCACAGTTAAAGGGCACCTCTGAAGAACTCTCACTCACAGTTAAAGGGCACCTCTGGGGAACTCTCACTCACAGTTAAAGGGCACCTCTGGGGAACACTCACTCACAGTTAAAGGGCACCTCTGAAGAACTCTCACTAACAGTTAAAGGGCACCTCTGAAGAACTCTCACTTACAGTTAAAGGGCACCTCTGAAGAACTCTCGCTCACAGTTAAAGGGCACCTCTGGGGAACTCTCACTCACAGTTAAAGGGCACCTCTGGGGAACACTCACTCACAGTTAAAGGGCACCTCTGAAGAACTCTCACAAACAGTTAAAGGGCACCTCTGGGGAAAACTCACTCACAGTTAAAGGGCACCTCTGGGGAACTCTCACTCACAGTTAAAGGGCACCTCTGAAGAACTCTCACTTACAGTTAAAGGGCACCTCTGAAGAACTCTCACTCACAGTTAAAGGGCACCTCTGAAGAACTCTCTCTCACAGTTTAAGGGTACCTCTAAAGAACTCTCAGGGCGGCACGGTGGCTGAGTGGATAGCACTCTCGCCTCTCAGCAAGAAGGTCCTGGGTTCAAATCCCGGTTGGACCAGGGCCTTTCTGAGTGGAGTTTGCATGTTCTCCCCGTGTCTGCGTAGGTTTCCTCCGGGTGCTCCGGTTTCCCCTACCACAAAAAATATGTACAATAGGTATGGCATGTGCCTCCTGTACTGGCACCCCCACTCCCAAAAAAATAACAATTGTAAACCGCTTTGAGACTCCGATGTGCAGTGAAAAGGCGGTATATAAATAAAAGCTTACTTACTTACTTACTTACTCTCACTCACAGTTAAAGGGCACCTCTGAAGAACTCTCACTCACAGTTAAAGGGCACCTCTGAGGAACATGAAGGATCCCTCATGTGTTTGTGCGGCACATTTTCACCAACAACAGCCAAATACTTAATATACCTCACTGTTCCAGACCCACACCAGACCCAGACCCAGACCAGATCAGCCCCCGATCCAGACCCAGCCCGCAGCTGTGACATGTCAGGTTTACGGTTTCTCTGGACTTCAGTCTGAGATAAAACTCATTAGTTTTGTTGTAATCTGTTTTTAATCTGCTTCATAAAGCCATTCATCAAATGTGTGACATCACATCAGCTCACTGCAGAGTCCTGGCCCCAGCTTCATCAGCGCCAAAATGTCTGAGACTGTCACTTCCAGAGATCATCTCCTGTGCACAGTGGACTCTTTTACAATTGTATCATGTTTTAGTGTGTGTGTGTGTGTTTGTGTGTGTGTGCGTGCGTGCGTATGTGTGTGTGCGCGTGCATGTGCGTGTATGTGTGTGTAGGCTGTAGACCCAGAACTACAGCTGTCGACCCAAGACTGAGGCTGTAGACCCAGAACTGAGGCAGAAGACCCAGAACTGAGGCTGTAGACCCAGAACGGAGGCTGTAGACCCAGAACTGAGGCTGTAGACCCAGAACTGAGGCTGTAGACCCAGAACTGAGCCTGTAGACCCAGAACTGAGGCTGTAGACCCAGAACTGAGGCTGTAGACCCAGAACTGAGGCTGTAGACCCAGGACTGAGGCTGTAGACTCAGGACTGATGCTGTAGACCCAGGACTGATGCTGTAGATCCAGGAATGAGGCTGTAGACCCAGGACTGAGGCTGTAGATCCAGGACTGAGGCTGTAGATCCAGGACTGAGGCTGTAGACCCAGGACTGAGGCTGTAGATCCAGGACTGATGCTGTAGATCCAGGAATGCGGCTGTAGACTGAGGACTGAGGCAGCTCCCAGCCGTGGAGGGGAGTGCGGCCCACAAGTCTGGGCAGGGAGAGACAGGCCACAGGTGCAGATGAAAGACCCATCAAGTCCCCATCATCACAGCCCAGAACCAGAAGACAATGGGACAGTGAGTGGGTGAATAGCGATGAACAGACTACAGCTGAAGTCATAATGACGACAGATACAACAGAAGACAGTGTGTTACCATTCTTCTCCTGCAGGGGTCTCCACATGCAGCGTCACTGACAATCTGCGTTTTCTGTTTAGTATCACTGCCTCCGACTGCACTTTCTGACTCTCCAGGGTCCAGAGAGTTAGTCATATGTTTCAGAGCCAAAACCGTGTTTTATAAAATCCTGTGTTTATGATGATCCAGGTTAGGGTCAGGGGTCAGGCCAAGTCTTCTCCAACGTTTTATTGTTGTTGTTAGCAGTAAGATCCTGGACTCTGTGAGGATTAGATAGCTACTTGGCCTAAGTGCAGGACTATACAAGGACTCTGATGGTGCATCCATGTTTTGACTATGATGTGACTGTCTCTGTGTGACACGTACGTCTTTCCATGTGTGACGTGACAATGACTATATACACTGTGTACTGCCTTTATTCTGTCTGAGAGAAATAAACAATGGAAACCACTGGAACTTGAGAGAAACCAAAATAAACTTCCAGAGTTTGGCGCACCACGATCCGTCTCTGTCTGGGTTATTCCTGACAACTCTCTGGGGACAGTTGTTGATGACTGTTAATGATTATTAACGACAGATTTATGGCTCGGGCAGCGTTTACGGCTCGGGCGGTGTTTACGGCTCGGGCGGTGACACGATAAAAGCCTCAGGTTGATGTTCACGTTTCAGCTCAACTTTATAAAAGAAGCTTCTGGTCTTTTGTGTCTGATTCGTCTGTGACTCAGGTGAGTGTCACCCTGACCCTAACCCAGGTCTGAGCCTGACCCTAACCCAGATCTGAGCCTGACCCTAACCCAGATCTGGGCCTGACCCTAACCCAGATCCGACCCCTGACCCAGGTTTGACCCGGACCCTAACCCAGATCTGACCCCTGAGCAAGGTCTGACCCTGACCCTAACTTAGGTCTGACCTCAAACCTAGGTTTGAGCCCAAACCCTAACCCAGGTCTGACCTTGACCCTATCCCAGGTCTGATCCCTGACCCTAACCCATGTCTGACCTTGACCCTATCCCAGGTCTGACCCCTGACCCTAACCCAGGTCTGACCTTGACCCTATCCCAGGTCTGACCCTGACCTTGTCACAGGTTCTAGTGTTTGTGTTTTTCACTGAGGATGAGGATGATGAGGATGAAGAGGTTCTCGTCTCTGGAGCTACTCCTCAGTCTCCTCGTCACTCTGCTGCTGATCTGCTGTGCCGCGCTGATCGTCTTCACCCTGATCAGTTCCACCAACGGTAACTATAGTAACACAGTGACAGTGTAACCATAGTAACAAGGTGACAGTGTAGTCATAGTGACATTAGTGACAATGTAACCATAGTAATACGTAACAGTGTAGCCATAGTAACACGTGACAGTGTAACCACAATAACACAGTGACATCGTAACCATAGTAACACAGTGACAGTGCAACCATAGCAACACAGATACCAGGGGGACGGGTACTAGGCAGGAGGTTTTTCCAGCGCGACACATCCAGTCTGAAGTCTCTTGTTAAAGATGGAATGGAGAGGCTCAGCTAACTCTACTGCACATTCCTTAAGGAGACTTGGTGTTATCCCATCAGGCCCAGCAGACTTCCTCCCCTGGAGCTTCGTTAGGTGGATGAAGGAGGATGCAGCAGGGGTGTAGCCGTTGAGAGAAGCAGGACTGTTTACAGCAGCAGAGGTGGTGTAGCCGCTAACAGATACAGATATGTTAGCATTAATGTCATAGTTAACTGTCATAGTGTAACTCCCCAATGCAAAAAGAAAGTATTTGGATTGTCTGACAGAGGCTACTCAATCAGTGCTTTTGTTAATGATTTTTACTATTTAACATGGTAGAAATTACCTAAAATGTCTAATAAAGGCTACTCTTTGGTTTTCAGTCAGTTAGATGGTTCTTTATGGTGTAGATGATGATGTCGCACTAGAAAGTAAGTAAGTAAGTAAGTAATGTTTATTTATATAGCACATTTTACAGACCAAGGCACAGACCCAAAGCGCTTCACAATGTTCAGAGTCAGATATTGTTCCAATCCTTCCACACACGGTGATGACAGAAGCGAGTCCAGAACACACTGGACCATCAGCTCCAACACCATCATTCACTCTCTCATTTACATTCAGACCTATTGTGCATGTTTTTAGTGGTAGGGGAAACCGGAGCACCCGGAGGAAACCTACGCAGACACGGGGAGAACATGCAAACTCCACTCAGAAAGGCCCTGTTCCAACTGGGATTTGAACTTGCTTTGATCTGAAGATAGTTGTGATTCTTGATGTATTCAGAAAGTAATCAGCGCGACTGCTTTTGTTTGTACGCCTGCTGTACTTTACGTCCCTGGCACTTAAAGTGGTTTGGGTTTCAAATACGTGCCCGTGGTAGAAGCCTGGAGCACAAATGTTGTTGCTAAAGCAAGAGAAATGGAACTGCCTCCATCCTGCCTCTTTGAAGAATCTTTCTCCTTTCTCCTGTGTTTCCTGTGATCGGGCTGTGATGGAAATCCAAGTTCTTTCTTTTTGGAGGTGATTGGACTACTTCAAGGTTAACTATGACATTAAGCCCAGTCAGTTTTTGTTTGATATAGTGTTTGACAACTCTAGTTTATACAGAAGTGTGTATACAGATGTGCATAAACACATCTGTATAAAGACATCTGTATAAAGTTTATACAGATGTGTGTATACACATGTATTTATACAGATGTGTTTATACACATGTGTGTATACAGATGTGTTTATACACATGTGTTTATACACATGTGTTTATACAGATGTGTTTATACACATGTGTGTATACAGATGTGTTTATACACATGTGTTTATACAGATGTGTTTATACAGATGTGTTTATACAGATGTTTTTATACACATGTGTTTATACACATGTGTTTATACAGATGTGTTTATACACATGTGTTTATACAGATGTGTTTATACTAGGGCTGTCAAAATTATCGCGTTAATTCACGTTAATTACCGTTTTTATTAACGCGTTAAAATAATTAACGCATTAACTGCCATTGACGTGTTAAGACGTCAATTGCGTTTCCCGCTATTTTCACGTTCCCAGATGTCTATTGTATCAAATATGTAAGGCTTGAGGCAATATGTTGTCGAGCCAGCAGATGGCAGCATTGCTCTATGAATGGTTTGAAAACAGCTAGAAGCTAGATAAGATAATAAAACTTACCTCTACTCGACTGGGAATTACAGGGGAACGAAACAAGCTAGAAACTAAATTATTTTTGCTGATGAAAGTAGACACTCCATTCTTTCAGAATTTAGGTAGTCATAGTACACAATATTCTGTGGGTCTTAAAAATTCAGTAAAAATCATCAGAAACAGCTGGCAATATGGGAGTACCTGTTCTGAAATAGGCTGGCAGTCAATCACATGTCCGAATGACCCGCCCATTTATAATAATATCACTCAGAATGCCACGGACACGTGCGTGTGTGTGATGGTGACAGCGGTAACGTGGTCATATAATACACGCATATATATATACACGCACACAGGGGCCATTCTCTGATGTTGTGTGACACACGGAGGAGAGGAGGAGACACGCTGAAATGCAACCAAACTCGCAAAATTAAAGCTGGGGTACCTACATTTTCCCTTTCATTAACAGCTCTTGTTGATTGTACCCAAAAGTAGAAGGTTGTGAGCAAGTCAAACAGATTTAAGTACATTTGGTATGAATAATAATGTGTCATTACATTTGAAAATGTAATTTAACTTCAATTGGAGTGGATTTGAAATAGAATGTTAAAAATGCGATTAATCGTGAGTTAACTCACCATTACTATGCGATTAATCAACTAAAAAAATTAATCGTTTGACAGCCCTAGTTTATACACATGTGTTTATACAGATGTGTTTATACACATGTGTTTATACACATGTGTTTATACACATGTGTTTATACAGATGCAGATACAGAGGTTTTTTCTGGAACGATGAAAATTTCTGGAACCAACTTCTCAGAAGACCTGAGGAACTCCTCCTCCACACACTTCAAGAGTCTGTCCTTCGACGTCCAGGAGCTGGTGAGACCGGGGTCAGGGGTGAGATCGGGGTCAGGAGTGAGACAGGGGTCAGGGGTCAGGAGTGAGACAGGGGTCAGGGGTCAGGAGTGAGACTGGGGTCAGGAGTGAGACAGGGGTCAGGGGTGAGACCGGGGTCAGGGGTCAGGAGTGAGACAGGGGTCAGGGGGAAACCGGGGTCAGGGACATTGTGCTCCAAACCCTGAAGTCTACACAGATGTTTCTACACAAAGTGAAACCATGAGTTGTAGATATTTTATGAATGAAACAAACATTTATCTGTCTCCAGGTGGGCGGAGCCTACGCTGCCACTGACCTGAGGCAGCAGTACAAGACCTGCAGGGTCCTGGACTACAGGTCAGGAGTACTGCTACTGCTACTACTGCTGCTACCACTGCTAATACTGGTACTGCTGCTACTACTGCTACTGCTACTGCAGCTACTACTGCTACTACTGGTACTGCTACTACTACAACTGCTACTACTGCTGCTACTACTGCTACTACTGCAACAACTACAACTGCTACTGCTACTACTGCTACTACTGCAACAGCTACTACTGCTACTGCTACTACTGCTACTACTGCAACAACTGCTACAACTGCTACTACTACTGCTACTACTACTACTGCTATTACTGCTACTACTGCTACTACTGCTACAACTACTGCTACAACTACTGCTACTACTGCTACAACTACTGCTACTACTACTACTACTGCTACTACTGCTGCTGCTACTAAGTAAGTAAGTAATCTTTATTTATGTAGCTCCTTTCACAGACCAGAGTCCCAAAGCGGTTTACAATTGTTATTTTTGGGCACTTACCTATTGTACATGTTTTTATTGGGAGGGGAAACTGGAGCAGCTGGAGGAAACATACCGAGACACGGGGAGAACATGCAAATTCCACTCAGAAAAGCCCTGTTCCGACCGGGATTCGAACCCAGGACCTTCTACTACTGCTGCTACTGCCACTGCTACTACCACTGCTACTGCTGCTACTACTTCTACTGCTGCTACTACTTCTACTGCTGCTACTACTTCTACTGCTGCTACTACTACTCCACTTCTGCTGCTGTGACCTAAAGTGCTGTTGCATTGTAATATTATTGTTATCTACTTTTAGAAGGATTTATTTATCTGTTTTGTTTTTTTGTTTTTGTTTGGATGTATATGTTTCTGCTGATACTGGACACCTTAATCTCTCCTACGGGAAACAATAAAATATCTATCTATACTGCTGCTGCTACTGCTCCTGCTGCTGATAAACTGCCGGTGTTCACTTTAGGAAGGGCAGTGTCGTGGTGACCTTTGACCTGCACTTCATACATCCTATCAGCACAGAGGAGGCGGAGCTAAAGTTGAGGGCGGGGCTTCAGCTCTACCCAGGCTCTGGATTGGCTGTTGACCTGAGCAGCGTCAATGTAACAGGTGTGGAAAGAGTGTATGTATGTGTGTGTGTTTGTATGTTTGTGTGTGTATTTGTGTGTTCGTACATGTATGTGTGTTTGTCACCAGCAGTGCCACAGAACCACATTTTGTTCTTGGCCTCTCCAATCAATGTTTTTTATGGTTAAATCACAAAATAGATGTTATAATTATATAATTATGTTACAGACAATAAACAAACAATCACCAACAAGTTATTTTTTTTAAATGTTTTTAGTTCATTTGAAATCCCTGAGGTTCATCGTGCTCCAACACGGCTTCAAAATGTATTTCTTGACTGAATGATATTGTCCATTGATCTCAATGGTTATATCCAAAAAGTGCATGTGTGTGTGTGTGTGTGTATATGTGTGTGTGTGTGTGTGTGTGTATGTGTATGTGTATGTGTATGTTTGTGTGTGTGTGCGCACAACCGGCTTAAGTTGCATTTTTTCTTTCAGAAAAAGTTGACACCTTGCCGTCTTTTATCCCTCCCACCTCTGTGACCCCTGTGACCTCTGTGACCCCGAGTTCATCCACAGGTGAGTGATGTCATTGATTGGGGCTGACCCTCTCTCTCTTGCTCGCCCCTTTGATGCCCTCCTTTCTCTCTTTCACAGCGTCCTGTCCGGACGGTCACATGACCTGCTCTGATGGGTTGGGCTGCGTTCTCATTGGTCAATTTTGTGATGGACACAAAGACTGTGAAGACGGATCAGATGAGGACCAGAGGACCTGCGGTAACACTGACCCCTGACACATGACCCCTGACACATGACTTCTGACACATGACCCCTGACACATGACTTCTGACACATGACCCCTGACACATGACCTCCGACACATGACCCCTGACACATGACCCCTGACACATTACCCCTGACACATGATCTCTGACACATGACCCCTGAGCGCTGACACATGACCCTTGACCTTTGAGACATGACCAAGAGTACATTTCCAAATGGCAAGAATCTTGAGTAAGTTAAACCAGACTCTCTTGCTTCAAACGGGTCTGACTGTAAGATCCAGTCACATAAAGGTCACATGACTCAGGTCACATGACTCAGGTCACATGACTTAGGTCACGTGTCTTGTGTGTCTTCACAGCAACATCGTGCGACGGTCACTTCCTGTTGACCGGCCCAAACGGCTCCTTCACTTCCTCTGTGGGCGGGAACTCCAGCGGCTCCACTTCCTGTCGCTGGATCATCAGGTGTTATCAGGGCTAAGGCTCAATAGTTACAGTCTTTGGGGGTTTCACAATAAAAGCCTCGTAAATCAAACCTCTAACCTTCTCTCATTCAAGATTTAATATTGCGCTTTTATTGTTATGTTGTGGAGGGCGGGACCAGGCCTGTCAGTCAGAGTGGACTTTCAGTTCTTCTTCCTGGAGGAGGGGCGGGACTTCCTGCGGCTCTATGAGGGCGTTGGGGTAGGCCGGAAGCTGATTGGTTCGTTTGGTTTGAGTTCAAATTTCATGATTGGCCAATTTTTTGTTGCTTGGCTTTGATTTTTTTGTTCTCTTTGACCAGCTGATCTCACAGGCTCCGCCCCACCAGGAAGTGTGTGGATATTGAGTGACCAATCACAGGCCGAGTTTGTATCAGGTGATCTGAGTGAAGGGCGGGGCTTTAGAGCAACGTTTAAAACTGTGGATTTGACGGACATGAGCGGTAAGTCACATGACCTTCTGCTTTTCTCATCGACTTACAGCCACAGACTTCGGGAGCATGGACTTCAGTATTTAGGACCATAGATTTCAGGACCATAGACTTCAGTATTTAGGACCATAGATTACAGGACCATAGACTTCAGGACCATAGTCTTCAGTATTTAGGACCATAGACTTCAGTATTTAGAACCATAGTCTTCAGTATTTAGGACCATAGACGTCAGGACCATAGTCTTCAGTATTTAGGACCATAGACTTCAGGACCATAGAATTCCGTATTTAGGACCATAGACTTCAGTATTTAGAACCATAGTCTTCAGTATTTAGAACCATAGACTTCAGTATTTAGGACCATAGACTTCAGTATTTAGAACCATAGTCTTCAGTATTTAGGACCATAGACTTCAGGACCATAGACTTCAGTATTTAGGACCATAGACTTCAGTATTTAGAACCATAGACTTCAGTATTTAGGACCATAGCCTTCAGTATTTAGAACCATAGACTTCAGTATTTAGGACCATAGCCTTCAGTATTTAGGACCATAGTCTTCAGTATTTAGGACCATAGACTTCAGGACCATAGAATTCAGTATTTAGGACCATAGACTTCAGTATTTAGAACCATAGTCTTCAGTATTTAGAACCATAGACTTCAGTATTTAGAACCATAGACTTCAGTATTTAGGACCATAGCCTTCAGTATTTAGGACCATAGTCTTCAGTATTTAGGACCATAGACTTCAGGACCATAGTCTTCAGTATTTAGGACCATAGACTTCAGTATTTAGAACCATAGACTTCAGTATTTAGAACCATAGTCTTCAGTATTTAGGACCATAGACTTCAGGACCATAGAATTCAGTATTTAGGACCATAGACTTCAGTATTTAGAACCATAGTCTTCAGTATTTAGAACCATAGACTTCAGTATTTAGAACCATAGTCTTCAGTATTTAGAACCATAGACTTCAGTATTTAGAACCATAGACTTCAGTATTTAGAACCATAGTCTTCAGTATTTAGAACCATAGACTTCAGTATTTAGAACCATAGACTTCAGTATTTAGAACCATAGACTTCAGTATTTAGGACCATAGACTTCAGTATTTAGAACCATAGTCTTCAGTATTTAGAACCATAGTCTTCAGTATTTAGAACCATAGTCTTCAGTATTTAGAACCATAGTCTTCAGTATTTAGGACCATAGACTTCAGTATTTAGGACCATAGACTGCAGTATTTAGGACCATAGCCTTCAGTATTTAGGACCATAGACTCCAGGACCATAGACTTCAGTATTTAGGACCATAGACTCCAGTATTTAGGACCATAGACTTCAGGACCATAGTCTTCAGTATTTAGGACCATAGACTTCAGGACCATAGACTTCAGTATTTAGGACCATAGCCTTCAGTATTTAGGACCATAGACTCCAGGACCATAGACTTCAGTATCTAGGACCATAGACTCCAGTATTTAGGACCATAGACTTCAGGACCATAGTCTTCAGTATTTAGGACCATAGACTTCAGGACCATAGACTTCAGTATTTAGGACCATAGACTCCAGTATTTAGGACCATAGACATCAGGACCATAGACTTCAGTATTTAGGACCATAGACTCCAGTATTTAGGACCATAGACTTCAGGACCATAGACTTCAGTATTTAGGACCATAGACTCCAGTATTTAGGACCATAGACTTCCGGACCATAGACTTCAGGACCATAGACTCCAGTATTTAGGACCATAGACTTCCGGACCATAGACTTCGGGACCATAGACGTCAGTATTTAGGACCATAGACTTCGGGACCATAGACGTCAGTATTTAGGACCATAGACTTCAGGACCATAGACTTCAGGACCATAGACTTCAGGACCATAGACTTCAGTATTTAGAACCATAGACTTCAGGACCATAGACTTCAGGACCATAGACTTCAGGACCATAGACCATGTGACTCTTGTCTCTGGCTTTAGATGAGCAGAAGGTGAATTGTTCGTTCGAAAATGGCTTTTGTTTCTGGAGACGAGATCCAGACCAGGACCAGGACTGGATCCGGATCAGAGGAGAGCGCTTCCCCCCTGGGACCGGACCTAGCGTGGACCAGACTACAGGAACTAGCTCAGGTCTGAACCAGGACTGATCCAGGTCTGAACCAGGACAGAACGAGGTCTGAACCAGGACTGGACCTACACTGGACCAGGACTGAACCAGGTCTGAACCAACAGACAGAGAGACGTAGTAGTAGTTTTGGTGATTTCTTAGTAAGTAAGTAAATAAAATATGAACAATAATTATATGTTCTTTAACTCCACAGGGTTTTATGTGTCCACTCCTTTCAGTCCCGGGTCCTGGTTGAAGACTTTCAGGATGTTAAGTCTGCCTTTGAGTCTGCGCTCCAGTGCCCCCTGTCTGTCCTTCTGGTAACTGCACCTTACACATGTCTATAGAGAGAGAGACCAGAGAGAGAGAGAGACACCAGAGAGAGAGAGACACACAAGAGAGAGAGAGAGACACCAGAGAGAGAGAGGGAGAGAGAGAGACACGCCAGAGAGAAACACACGAGAGAGGGAGAGAGACACCAGAGCGAGAGAGAGAGAGAGAGAGAGACCAGAGAGAGAGAGAGAGAGAGAGAGAGAGGAGAGACCAGAGAGAGACCAAAGAGACCATCTGGACATGATAGAGTCAGAGTTCAGGGGTCAGGGTTGGGCTGCTTAGACTATGATGTCATAGACAGATGATGTCACACTCTACAACATGAAATACCATATGTTTCAGGTTCCACATGTTTGGAGCCGATGTCTTTGTCCTCAGAGTTTTACTGCAGCATCCAAACGCCTCAGACCTGGTCCTGTTCCAGAGACAAGGGGACTTTGGGGACACATGGTACAGGGGACAGGTCCAACTGAACAATAACCAAACTCAGGGACAGGTAAGGACCAGAGACAGTTGGACTATGGGGACACATGGTACAGTGTGTGGCTGAGTGGGTAACATTTTGGCCACAGTTGGTCTGATTCTGGGAGCCCCATGACTATGGGAGGCTCCTGGCTACAGCCCCTGGGCTCTGGCCCCTGGGGTGCGACCCCTGCTCGTCCCTTACATTAGGCCTTAGGCAGCTCAATGGATAGGACTGTTCATTGATGTCAGATACTCCATCCATCCATCCATTTTCTTCCCTTTAATCCATTTCTGGGTCAGGGGGGTGGCAATCAGAGATGCCACCCAAGTCTCATAGCACCACGATATAGCACCATGATGTCAGATACTATTTCACTAAAACATAAAAAGACAAAGTAAAAAGGTTCAGTCTTGTTTGATGGACGACAGAGAATGTAGAACATTCTGAAAAACACATGGAATGGACCAATCAGCATCTACAGTTTGGGCCAATCAGAGCGCATCTACATTTTGGACCAATCAGAGCGCATCTACATTTTGGGCCAATCAGAGCGCATCTACATTTTGGACCAATCAGAGCATGTTTTACAGCTCGTCTTTGAGGCGTTGAAGAAGAGCGGGATGTTGAATGACATCGCCATTGATGACATCACACTGACATCACTGCCCTGTGGTCCCGCCCCTCCAGACCCCACAAATGTCCCGCCCCCGACCACAGCCCCTCCCATCCCAGGTAAGCCCCTCCCTTAAGCTACTCCCCCCAGTTTAGTCTCCATGTGGAAGTGACTCCATAGCGCCCCCTTTTTCTTGAATTGGGTCAAATAAGACTTTGTGGTTGACAGGTTTTCTCTTACTCTACAAGAGAGGAGAGAGGGAAGAGAGGAGAGAGAGAGCAGAGAGGAGAGAGAGAGCAGAGAGGAGAGAGAGAGCAGAGAGGAGAGAGAGAGCAGAGAGGAGAGAGAGCAGAGAGGAGGAGAGAGAGCAGAGAGGAGAGAGAGCAGAGAGGAGAGAGAGAGCAGAGAGGAGAGAGAGAGCAGAGAGGAGAGAGAGAGCAGAGAGGAGAGAGAGCAGAGAGGAGAGAGAGAGCAGAGAGGAGAGAGAGCAGAGAGGAGAGAGAGAGCAGAGAGGAGAGAGAGAGCAGAGAGGAGAGAGAGAGGAGAGAGAGCAGAGAGGAGAGAGAGCAGAGAGGAGAGAGAGCAGAGAGGAGAGAGAGCAGAGAGGAGAGAGAGCAGAGAGGAGAGAGAGAGCAGAGAGGAGAGAGAGCAGAGAGGAGAGAGAGAGCAGAGAGGAGAGAGAGAGCAGAGAGGAGAGAGAGAGCAGAGAGGAGAGAGAGAGCAGAGAGGAGAGAGAGAGCAGAGAGGAGAGAGAGCAGAGAGGAGAGAGAGAGCAGAGAGGAGAGAGAGAGCAGAGAGGAGAGAGAGCAGAGAGGAGAGAGAGAGCAGAGAGGAGAGAGAGAGCAGAGAGGAGAGAGAGCAGAGAGGAGAGAGAGAGCAGAGAGAAAGAGGAGAGAGGGAAGAGAGTAGAGAGCAGTAGCGGCGCCAGGTTTGCAATAATGGGTAGGCCTGCAGATTAGTAAGTAGGCCAAATTCGCACGCAAACTACAAGGGGTAGCTGGAATTGGGGTTTCAAAGAATATGGTTCAAACGCACGCACGCACGCACACACACACGCACCCAAGCACACACATACACACAAGCTCATTTATGAAACCTGCGTAGAAAAATGTGTACATTTGGGGTGTATATTCCATTTACGCAAAATCCAACGTCGGATTTATGAACGTGTGAGATCAGCCCAGATCTGAGCGTATACGCAGCTGCGGGTGTTGATAAATCGGCTGAATACGAACGTATTTATGAAAGTCACGCCTAGAATTATGCAGCAATGGTCGCGACAGGTCAGCACGGAAGTCCAAAAAGACTGTTGGAAGCCTCAAAAGGCACGTTTGTTTGTTATGTTTATGTAAAAATAAATATACGCTATATATTCAGCTGCGTTTTGCACAAATTTGCAAAAATAGTTTTGATACATTAGAAAAATCTCTCTTGAATTGTAGAAGTGAATAAATATAGATTGATTGAATGAATGAATGAATTCATATATATTATGCAGCGGTGGCTCTGAATGAAGCGTCTGCAGTGTCTTGGACGCAGCCTGGCTCGGGGTAGAAGTGCGCATTGAGGCGCTGTACACTTCAGAGAGCGTTTGCGGTCCAGATTTCACAAAGAAACTGAAGCCAAAACTTCTGCACATTTGAGGAGTTATGTGGCGCGATATCTCACGGCACTCGCTGCGCACTCTGGACAGGGCAGTGAGACATTTGTGAGTGAGCAATACCATCGATGCGTTATTGGGGTGTGTGTCTGTGTGAGGCTAACACAAATCTAATGAAATAACACATTGCTTTACCAGATGTGAATGAGGAATACAAATAGCCGTGCGTAATTACGCAGCGCAGAGCCTGCCACAGCAATAGACGGGTCACACATCCCTGTTGCGTAAAGTGTATTTATATAGAGCCTTTCACAGTTCAGGATCACAAAGCACTTCACATATACATACATATACAGATCAAAATAATACACACACAAGTCAGATTTAATAGAGGGTCCTGATCATGAGCTGTGATTTATTCGAAGTTTGCATTTTTCCATTAGACTTTTTCCGATGCGCAAATTCAACTTTTGAAACATGATGCTCAATGAAAACACAGCTTATAATTTTGCCAGAGGGAATATGTTTATTGTTGTCCAAATCCTGAATTTCATGCGTGTTTTGGCGTGTTGAGCCGAAGGTTGAGATCAGCGTTTACTGCACCTCCAGACCTGCCGTATATTTTTTTGCGTATTGTACGCTCACGTCCAGATAGATAAATGCGGAAAAGTGATTCCACCCTGATTTACACCCTGATTTGTCCGTACGCAAGTTTCATACATGAGGCCCTGTGTCTCTCACACACACAGGCCTAGAGTTTACCTCATCAGTGCGAGGCGAGCCTGGCCTGACCCTCCTCCTCTGGGACCTACGGGCCCGGGCCTCTGGCTCCTCTACCTCACAAAGTTCACGCTGAACTTTCTTAAAACTAAAATGACTAAAAAGGCTGCTCTGTTGTGAATGTTTTGAGAGCGTTGTCAATCTTTGGGACGAGGAATGGCTGCTTGTTCTCGGGAACGAGCTTCACGCTGTGCGATATGATCATGCAGATTATTGGACAAAATTGTTCAGCCAATAAACAGAACTATATTTGAAGCAACGTGAACGCTCAGGGGGTTACATTTTCTTAAAACATTAGAACGCAACATTTAGGCAATAATGTGTGTATAAAAATAACAATATTTAAATTATGACTTTTAATAAAAAGGCTAATGACTTGAGAGGCGAAGAACAAATTTGAGTAGGCCAAGAAAAAAACTGGTAGGCACCGGCCTACCCGGGCCTATCCCTGGCGCCGCGGCTGGTAGAGAGTCTGTCAAACACTATAAAACCACAGGGTTAGGATCCTCAGACCGAATAAATAGTTGAATCCTGCCGTATGGGCCCATGGGTTGTGTGTTGCCAGATCTGCAGTAGACTCACACTAATGTGGGGCAGGTGTGTTACCAAAGGACACAACAACAGTTTCACCTAACTCTCACCCACCGGAGAACCTGGTGTTACAGAGGTCTCCCATCACAGTACTTACCAGAATGAGGACAGGCATTTTGGCTCTGATGAACATATTAACGCAGATTTCTGATTGGTGGATTGTGTTACAGCTGACTGTGGGGGGCCCTTTGATTTCCATGACAACGGGACCTTCAGCTCTCCAAACTACCCCCATTACTACGGCAACAAGGCCAACTGTGAGTACTGATGTGGATGGTCTAAACCAGGTCTAAACCAGGTCTGAACCCAGTCTGAACCAGGTTGGAACCAGGTCTGAACCAGATCCATTCCAGTTCTGAACTAGGTCTAAACCAGGTTTGAACCAGGACTGGACAGGACTGAACGAGCACTGAACCAGGTTTGGACCATGTCAGAACCCGTTTTAAAGTAGGTCTGAAGCAGGACTCAACCCAGGACTAAACCAAGTGTTCACAGGCCTAAACCTGGTCTAGCCTGGACTAACTGACGACTCCGATCTGTGCAGGTCTTTGGAGGCTTCACACTGACGAAGGGAATAATCTGCAACTTCATTTTCTGGACTTTGATCTGGAGGCAACGTTTGACACTTTGGAGATCAGAGATGGAGCGGAACCAGATTCTCTTCTGCTGGGTGAGTCTGAACCGGTCTCTAGGTCTAAGTCTTGTCTCTGTCAGTGATGTCACAGTACAAACAGCTTGTTTAACCCAGAGTGTTTCCTCAGGTGTGTTTACAGGTAGCAGAGGTCCAGCCCATGATCTCTTCTCCTCGTCCAATCAGATGTCTCTGTGGCTGCTGAGTGACAGTTCAAACTCTGGACGAGGATTCAGGCTTAACTTCACCTCCGGGGTCAGGCTGGGCTCAAAAGGTGACAAATATTAAAAACTGAGTAAGCGTTAAATCCTCAGTCCTCAGGATCCCTGGACCTGAGGACTCTGTTGTCGGCTGTTGGGAGTTGGTTCTGTGACGCCTGTCGAGACGACTGTAGTGATTTTGGGCCATACAAATAAAATGTATATGATTTTGATGTATATTCCAGGTTTCTAAAACAGCCGTGACCTTTGTGGTATCAGTTGATATTGGTCTTGACTCTCGTCTCTGTAGATCCTTGTCTCGAGGACCAGTTCCAGTGTGTCTCCGGTCTCTGTGTTCCTTCAGAGTCTCAGTGTGATGGACAGATGGACTGTCCTGATGGGAGTGATGAGTCTCACTGCGGTGAGTCGAGACCTGCTCTAGTCCTGCTTGAGTCCTGCTGTCCTGCTGTAGTCCTGCTTGAGTCCTGCTGTCCTGCTGTAGTCCTGCTTGAGTCCTGCTGTCCTGCTGTAGTCCGCTGTAGTCCTGCTGTAGTCCTGCTGTAGTCCGCTGTAGTCCTGCTGTAGTCCTGCTTGAGTCCTAGTTTACACCAGCTTTAGAGATGCTATAGTCCTGCTCAAGTCTTGCTTTAGTCCTGCTTAGACACGCTTTGAAAAATAAAGTGTTGAGATCATAGTACCAGGCACGTTTTTGTCTGGTTGTAGTCCCAGGCACGCAGTTTTTCCGGCTGCGCCTAAGCCTTAGGGTTTGCAGCCCGAGGAGGGGGGCTTAAGGCTGGGTACATGGGTCCGACTGGTGCACAGGTCTAACCCGGACCAGGCCAGAGCTGGAAGTTAGACCTACATTAGTCCTGCTTTAGACCTACATTAGTCCTGCTTTAGATGTGCATTAGTCCTGCTTTAGATGACCTACATTAGTCCTGCTTTAGATGTGCATTAGTCCTGCTTTAGATGTGCATTAGTCCTGCTTTAGACCTACATTAGTCCTGCTTTAGACCTGCATTAGTCCTGCTTTAGACCTACATTAGTCCTGCTTTAGATGACCTACATTAGTCCTGCTTTAGATGTGCATTAGTCCTGCTTTAGACCTGCATTAGTCCTGCTTTAGACCTACATTAGTCCTGCTTTAGACCTGCATTAGTCCTGCTTTAGACCTACATTAGTCCTGCTTTAGACCAGCATTAGTCCTGCTTTAGACCTACATTATTCCTGCTTTAGACCTACATTAGGCCTGCTTTAGACTAGCTATAGTCCTGTTTTAGACCTGCTTTAGACCAGTTTTAGTCCTCTCACTTATCTCCGCAGTGTTCTTGGACTCGGACCGTCTCCAGTTTCAGATTTCTTCCTCAAAGTTCTCAGTTTGCTTCACAAACTGGAGCCAGAGTCTGACGGACTTCAGCTGCAGATACCTGGGATACAGGTCAGCTCAGTCTGCCCTAGGGCAGCTGCGGCTAAATGCAGTAAATCATTCAATAATTTATTTTGGGGTTTCCCTAACACTCTGTGATGTCACACTCTGTGATGTCACATTCTGTTTCAGATCTGGACAAACTTCATCAATTGATTCACGACCTGAAGATTCTCCATTTGTCTCAGTGTCATTATCCAACACGACCATCCAGACGACAGCAGTGTATGTCTGTGTGTGTGTGTGTGTGTGAGTGCGTATGTCTCTGTGTGTGTGAGTGTTTGTGTGACTGTGTAGCAATAACTATTTTTGTGTTTTCAGTGAGCGTTGTGAGAGTCTTGTGAATGTATCCTGCAGCAACAAACGTGAGTTCAATACAAGCTACATTAGCTACCTTAGCTCATTTTAGTGTCTCTTTCATCCTGATTTTGTTGTTTTTCTTAAATCCTTTGGTTTTCTATAAATCCAAACTTTAGTGCAACAAACTCTGCTCGATCGCCTCCAGCTCTAACTCCGCTCTAACTCCGCTCTAACTCCGCTCTGATCAGCAGCTCTGATTGGTCAGGACGCACCGTGGCCCTCTGTGCACGTGCATGAGAGTCACACACATGAATTTGGGCCAGACAAATGACCAAATACGGGCGAGTTCCGCACAGGCCACTGATTTGAAAAGGGCGCCATCTTGGATCTCCGGGGCTTGCATTGATACAATAGCTCTATCAGCCACATCATATTATCACAGAATTTAGGGTTATACTTCAGATTTCAGAAAAAAACTACCATGTGTTCTATGCATTTTTTGTATTTCGAGTTTAGTGAAAACAGAGAGGACACAGAGACGACAGAGGACAGAGAGGAGGACGGGGAGAAAGGGGGAGGACACAGAAAATGTAAACACAAGGTTAAACATTTGTTTTCTGTTAATTAAAATGTTTTGTCTTTTTTCAGCGTGCGGCGTCCAAAATCTGAACCAATCATCTGACAGAGGAGAGGCAGACAGCCAATCAGGTGACAGGCTTGTAATATCTTAAAACATATTGTACAGACTAAAATTTGAGACACATGTCAAGCCTTTTGTTTGTTTGAAATGGAGTATTGTGCCCCCCTCCGCCTCCTCTGCAGCCTCTGTATGTGGCAGTATTCAAGATTTGAATATGTGAATTCTGTTTCAGAGAGGGGTAAGATTGTGGGCGGAGTTGATGCAGCAAAGGGGGCGTGGCCTTGGATTGTGTCTCTTCACTGGTCGAATCGTCACGTGTGTGGAGCTTCTCTGATTGGACGAGACTGGCTGCTAACGGCCGCCCACTGCGTCTATGGGTAACACTGACCCTGAATGTTATACTAAAATATGCAAATACTTGGTAGTGTCTTAACCATGGATGAAAGGAGTTGTCCAATACAAAAATAACTTTTAAACTAATTGCAAATATTGTATTTTCATATTCTTAAAAGCCTCTTTTTAGCTTATCTTGTTTATTGATATTTCTTGTTACAGTAAAAATGTGCACTTGGAACGTTGGCAAGCTCTCATGGGACTCACCGTCCAATCACAGACCTCCGTCCCCGAGGTCCAGTCCCGACCAATAAGGCTCATAGTCATTCACCCACTGTACAACCGGCGAACCAAACAAGCCGACGTCGCTCTGATGCAACTGCAAGAGCCAATCAGCTTCAGCGGTGAGTCACGGGGGCTATCTCCAGGATGACATAATCTAACTAAACTGTGTGTGTGTGTTTGCATGTGTTTATGTTTGTGTTTGCTGGTGTCTGTGTGTGAGTGTGTGTATATGTGTGTGTATTTGCATGTGTGTTTGCCCATGTGTGTGTGTGTGTGTGTATTTCCAGATCATGTTCAGCCTGTGTGTCTCCCTGGATCCGATGAAGACCCGCCCACAGGAGCAGTCTGCTCTATCATTGGCTGGGGGCGACTGGAGAGTGGAGGTGAGAGCCAATCAGGAAGTAGCGTTGTATGATCCAGGCTCTCTCTCTGATGTGTCTCTTTCTCTCCCTGATGTCCTGCAGCAGGCGGTGGTACCTGTTGTCTCTCTCTCTGATGTGTCTCTTTCTCTCCCTGATGACCCAGGCTCTCTCCCTGATGTCCTGCAGCAGGCGGTGGTACCTGTTGTCTCTCTCTCTGATGTGTCTCTTTCTCTCCCTGATGTCCTGCAGCAGGCGGTGGTACCTGTTGTCTCTCTCTCTGATGTGTCTCTTTCTCTCCCTGATGTCCTGCAGCAGGCGGTGGTACCTGTTGTCTCTCTCTCTGATGTGTCTCTTTCTCTTCCTGATGACCCAGGCTCTCTCCCTGATGTCCTGCAGCAGGCGGTGGTACCTGTTGTCTCTCTCTCTGATGTGTCTCTTTCTCTCCCTGATGACCCAGGCTCTCTCCCTGATGTCCTGCAGCAGGCGGTGGTACCCGTTGTCTCTCGTCCTCTCTGTCAGGAGTTTCTTCCGCAGTACACTATCAGTGATCTCATGGTGTGTGCAGGACAAGAGGAGGGCGGGGTCGACACATGCCAGGTGAGGAGGGGGCGGGGCTACATGAGGGGGCGGGGCCGGCATGTTTCAGGTGAGGAGGGGCGGGGCTATATGAGGGGGAGGGGCCGGCATGTGTCAGGTGAGGAGGGGCGGGGCTATATGAGGGGGCGGGGCCGGCATGTTTCAGGTGAGGAGGGGCGGGGCTATATGAGGGGGCGGGGCCGGCATGTTTCAGGTGAGGAGGGGCGGGGCTATATGAGGGGGCGGGGCCGGCATGTGTCAGGTGAGGAGGGGCGGGGCTATATGAGGGGGCGGGGCCGGCATGTTTCAGGTGAGGAGGGGCGGGGCTATATGAGGGGGTGGGGCCGGCATGTGTCAGGTGTCATTTTCAAAATATTGTTTAATTTGTTTTAATTGTTTAATTCAGTCCCTCCTGTGGGCCCACCACCCGCAGAGGGGTCCGTGGTGGCGAAGCGGTGCAGAGAGGACTGGGCAGCAGTCGAAGGCGGAGACCTCGACGACCCAGTCCACACACCCAACATCTGGCTCTTGGGACGTGGAACGTCACCTCACTGGGGGGGAAGGAGCCCGAGCTTGTGGGGGAGGTTGAGCGATACCGACTAGAGATAGTCGGCCTCACCTCCACACACAGCTTGGGCTCTGGAACCCAACTCCTTGAGAGGGGTTGGACGCTCCACTTTTCTGGTGTTTCCCGCGGGGAGAGGCGGCGAGCTGGGGTGGCCATTCTCATTGCCCCCCATCTCAGCCGCCACGTGTTGGAGTTCTCCCCGGTGAATGAGAGGGTCGCGTCCCTCCGCCTCCGGGTGGGGGACAAGTCTCTCACTGTTGTGACGGCCTACGGGCCTAACAGCAGTGCAGAGTACCCGGCCTTCTTGGAGTCCTTGGGAGGGGTACTGGACGGTGCACCGCCCGGGGACTCCGTTATTCTCCTGGGGGACTTCAACGCCCATGTGGGAAACGCCAGTGACACTTGGAGAGGGGTGATCGGGAAGAGCGGCCCCCCTGATCTGAACCCGAGCGGTGTTCAGTTGTTGGACTTCTGTGCCAGTCACAGTTTGTCCATCACGAACACCATGTTCGAGCACAAGGGTGTCCATCAGTGCACGTGGCACCAGGACACCCTAGGCCGGAGGTCGATGATCGACTTTGTTGTCGTATCATCTGACCTTCGACCGCGTGTCTCGGACACTCGGGTAAAGAGAGGGGCGGAGCTGTCAACCGATCATCACCTGGTCGTGAGTTGGATCCGCTGGCAGGGGGAGAAGCCGGTCAGACCTGGCAGACCCAAGCGTATAGTGAGGGTCTGCTGGGAACGTCTCGCGGAGCCCCCTGTCAGACGGACTTTCAACTCACACCTCCGGGAGAGTTTCTCCCAGGTCCCGGTGGAGGAGGGGGACATGGAGTCCGAGTGGACCATGTTCTCTGCCTCAATCGCCGATGCGGCGGCTCGTAGCTGTGGTCGCAAGGTCTCTGGTGCTGGTCCCGGCGGCAACCCCCGAACCCGGTGGTGGACACCGGCAGTAAGGGATTCTGTCAGGCTGAAGAAGGAGTCCTATCGAGCCATGATGGTTCGGGGGATTCCTGAGGCAGCTGTCCAGTACCGGCAGGCCAAGCGTGCCGCGGCCCGGGCTGTTGCAGAGGCAAAAACCCGGGACTGGGAGGAGTTCGGAGAGTCCATGGAGCATGACTATCGGTCGGCCTCAAAGAAATTCTGGCAAACCGTCCGGCGCCTCAGGAGGGGGAAGCAGTTCTTTGCCAACACCATGTACGGTGCGGGTGGAGAGCTGCTGACCTTGACGGGGGATATTGTCGGGCGGTGGAAGGAATACTTTGAGGTTCTCCTCAATCCCCCCGTCATGTCCTCTGTTTCAGAGGCAGAGGCTGAGGATGTTGGGGCGGATACATCCATCTCCCTGGCTGAGGTCACCAAGGTGGTTGGTAGCCTCCATGGTGGCAAGGCTCCGGGTGTGGATGAGATCCGCCCTGATTATCTAAAGTCTCTGGATGTTGTAGGACTGTCTTGGCTGACACGTCTCTGCAACATCGCGTGGCGATCGGGGGCGGTGCCAATGGAGTGGCAGACCGGGGTGGTGGTCCCTCTCTACAAGAAGGGGGACCGGAGGGTGTGTTCCAATTATCGTGGGATCACACTCCTCAGCCTCCCCGGTAAAATCTACTCCAAGGTACTGGAGAGGAGGCTACGGCCGATGGTCGAATCTCGGATCCAGGAGGAGCAGTGTGGTTTTCGTCCCGGTCGCGGAACACTGGACCAGCTCTATACTCTCCATCGGATACTCGAGGGTTCTTGGGAGTTCGCCCAACCTGTCCACATGTGCTTTGTGGATTTGGAGAAGGCGTTCGACTGTGTTCCCCGGGGTGTCCTTTGGGGGGTTCTCCGGGAGTACGGGGTCGGGGGTCCTCTGCTGAGGGCCATCCGGTCCCTGTATGACCAGAGCCAGAGCTGTGTTCGCATTGCCGGAAGTAAGTCAGACCTGTTCCCGGTGCATGTTGGCCTCCGACAGGGCTGCCCTTTGTCAGGTTCTGTTCACTGTATTCATGGACAGAATTTCTAGGCGCAGCCAGGGGTCGGAGGGGGTCCGGTCCGGGGACCACAGGATTTCATCTCTGCTGTTTGCGGACGATGTTGTCCTGTTGGCTCCAACGAACCAGGACCTGCAGCATGCACTGGGGCGGTTTGCAGCCGAGTGTGAAGCGGCTGGGATGAGAATCAGCACCTCCAAATCTGAGGCCATGGTGCTCGACCGGAAAAAGGTGCCCTGCCCTCTTCAGGTGGGTGGAGAGGTCCTTCCTCAAGTGGAGGAGTTCAAGTATCTCGGGGTCTTGTTCACGAGTGAGGGAAGAATGGAGCGTGAGATTGACAGGCGGATCGGTGCAGCGTGCGCAGTGATGCGGTCGCTGTATCGGACCGTTGTGGTAAAGAGGGAGCTGAGCCGAAAGGCAAAGCTCTCGATTTACCGGTCAATCTTCGTTCCCTCCCTCACCTATGGTCATGAGCTTTGGGTAATGACCGAAAGAACGAGATCGCGGATACAAGCGGTCGAAATGAGCTTCCTCCGCAGAGTGGCTGGGCGCTCCCTTAGAGATAGGGTGAGGAGCTCAGTCACACGGGAGGAGCTCGGAGTAGAGCCGCTGCTTCTCCACGTCGAGAGGAACCAGTTGAGGTGGCTCGGGCATCTGTTCCGGATGCCTCCTGGACGCCTCCCTGGGGAGGTGTTCCGGGCACGTCCCACCGGGAGGAGGCCCCGCGGAAGACCCAGGACACGCTGGAGGGACTATGTCTCTCAGCTGGCCTGGGAACGCCTTGGGGTCCCCCCGGACGAGCTGGAGGAGGTGTGTGTGGATAGGGAAGTCTGGGCGTCTCTGCTTAGACTGCTGCCCCCGCGACCCGGCAACGGATAAAGCGGAAGAAAATGGATGGATGGATGGATGTTTAATTTGGGCTAATATATATTTTTCACAACTTTCTGGTATATGTATATGGTTGTATTTTGTGTTCAGGGGGACTCTGGAGGGCCCCTGATGCTTCTGCAGAACGGTCACTGGACTCAGATTGGTCAGTAACTAGCCCTAACCCTAAAGTAATGTATATCACTGACACTGTGCTCTGATTGGCTGCTTCAGGGGTGACGTCATTTGGTGCTGGATGTGGTGATCCACGGAGTCCTGGAGTTTACGCTCGAGTCTCCTCCTTCACTTCCTGGATCGCTCAGATCAGACGCTCACAAGACTGGAAATAAAACATTGCCCAATGAACTACAACCCCCACAATACACACTGCTCTGAGGACAATCTGTTATCACAAAATTGTTCAATATGTTAGCCATAGCCCACTGTTAGCATAAGGCACTTCATCGTTTTCCTCTGTTTTTTTTCTGAACCAATGAAACAAAAATGATCTAACAAAGTATAAACAAAAAGAAAGAAAACCTCTCACAACTATGACTACAACTCTGACTGCTCTGAGGACTACAACTCATTTATTTTTGTATAGCCCTAAATCACAACTGTAGATATCTTGGAGGACTTTACAAAGTTGTTGATTTGTCATCACAGATTAAAGAATCAGTGGATTTCCAGAGAAATGCAATGATTAATGTAATGGATCATCACTGTCCTTAGACCCTGTAGATCCAGGACTGATGATTAGGATCCGAGACTAAAGGCCATGAAGGACTGAGTGAAAGAGGCCTAATATAGGGGTCCGATCATCACACTAGGAAACAGACAATGGGACAACAGGAAAACAGCAGTGAACAGACTACAGCTGACAGATTATTTTGGAAGAGGAGAGAAGACTGTGTCTGCTTTCTTGTTGTTAACAGGCACAAAAAGGATGGAACACGTAACTCCCGTTTTGGCTTCCAGTGGAGAGTAGAATCTAATCTAAAATCTAAAATCATAAATAGTATGGCTCCGTCCTAGTTAGTGTCATATCAACCAAACTCTCTCACTTCGCTCACAAAACGCCTGACTTTTGGTAGTTCCTAAAGAGTCAAAAGGGCAGTAGGAGGCAGAGCATATAGATCCCAAGCTCATATACTCCAGACTCAGCTTTAGAACGTAGAGGCTGCTGTAGTTTGGACGAGCTGGACACTTTTTATAGAGGCTTTTACAGTAGCCAAGCCCTGAGGTGACAAATGCTTCTGCATCACTTTTAGGGTATTCTTAATTTTAGCGATGTTGTGCAGGTGGAAATATTTAGTTTGATTGACATGTGCCTTGAAGGAGAGTTCTTCCATAACGACTGATCAGCGATAGCCTGGTCGTACCACACCACAGTACAAATGACATTTCATACTAAGGTCTGGATTTGCTCCATTGAGCTCCGTGAACAGATAGGAGGGGTTAACTACTTTTTCAGATTGAAACGATTGGATCTGAGTTTACCGTGACGTATGTAGTGAGCCCGAGTCTGTTGTTAGCATTTAGCCTAGCCATCTGCTTTGCCGCTAACGGAGCCCGTGGCGAGTATTGATTGCTAAACATTCCTCTTGCTCCGGCTTCAATTTCTTGATAGAACCAGACCGGATTACTTTACTATTGCATTTTTCGCCATTGTCAAACCACAACCTGCCCGTTCGCCGCAAACTCTTGACGTCACCGGCACCGAACTACAACACCCGCCTTCCGCGCTCTCTGAGTAGCCAGTTGAAATTCAACCGATAGTATTCGCCAACACAGGGACCAGACCCAGACGTTACATGCAGTGAAATGATGATTGAGCGGAGAGTACGGATGGATAAGGTCAGGCTAGATCAGCGAGGGCGTCACACGGAGGTTTGGGGGCGAGTAAGATTGCTTCTGTTGCTTCCAGGTTGAGGAGATGATAGTTTAGGGCCATCCTTGTTGTAATGGATCTGTCTGGTTTGGGTTCATTTACAGGTAAAGCTGTGCCTCTGCAGCAGTACAAGTTAATGTCATGTTTCTGATGCCAATTGGCAGAATGTAGAATGGAAGAGCCCCTAACCCCAACTGGTCTGAGGACTACAACTCCCACTGGTCTGAGGACTCCATCTCCCACTGGTCTGAGGACTACAACTCCCACTGGTCTGAAGACTACAGCTCCCACTGGTCTGAGGACTACAACTCCCACTGGTCTGAGGACTACAACTCCCACTGGTCTGAGGACTACAACTCCCACTGGTCTGAAGACTCCATCTCCCACTGGTCTGAAGACTCCATCTCCCACTGGTCTGAGGACTACAACTCCCACTGGTCTGAGGACTACAACTCCCACTGGTCTGAAGACTCCATCTCCCACTGGTCTGAAGACTCCATCTCACACTGGTCTGAAGACTACAACTCCCACTGGTCTGAGGACTACAACTCCCACTGGTCTGAGGACTACAACTCCCACTGGTCTGAGGACTACATCTCCCACTGGTCTGAGGACTACAACTCCCACTGGTCTGAAGCAGTGGCGGAGCCAGACTTTTAAACAGAGGGTGGCAAGGTTTTTTTTTAAGGGGTCCACATTCATACTATTCAGAAATTTTATTTCACACAAAAACTGGCTAAACGATACATTTTAATCTTAATCTTATGTTTATTCTTTATATAAAGTGAACTGAGAGCACACTTGGAAACTACAAAGAAAAAAAGCGTATTTAAACAGTAGTCTGAACAAAAAAAGTGCAAAATGACATCATTCAAACATTGCATTACATTTTTCTTTTAACAAATTTTGCAAATTCCTGTGGTTCTGGTGTAAAGCAGCAAAGATGTTGACAAACTCATCCATATTGAGCCCTGAGCCTTCCTTGACTCTACACTGAGGATACCAAGATGACTCAATCATCTGCCATGGTAGTTCTGAGATGGTTTTTAAGAGGTTTTAGGGCAGAGAAACTTCTTTCACAAGACGCAGTACTGACAGGTATTTAAAAGATCTTTGCAAGCCTCAAAAGCTCATGAAACACTTTCCAAACGTTCCAAAAGGACAAGGAACTCTCTAATCCATTTTTTTCTCCCAAGAATCCACCTAGTTTGACGTACCTCATACCTCGTCCTCTATATCTGACTGAAAGGTTCTGCCAAATGAAAACAGGGGCTCTTCTTTAAAAAATATTTTGGGGTCAAGCGACTGCACTCCATCCGTAATCTTAGCTTCTTTTGTTTGTTTTTTTTTGTTTGTGTGAAAAAACGCCTCTATAATTCTGCCAATAGACAATCCTGCACCTGTCTGTGACTCCCTCTCATCCTCTGAAACTGAATAATGTAAGCTATATTTTAATACAACACAACAAATTCCTCATCATGGACATTCTCAAAACATACTGGCTCCGAGTCTGACCTTCAGGTTTCATCATCCTGATCTACAGCCTTTTCTTGACAAAAAAAGAGGCAATGTCTCCTCCTTTTCATTTAATGTTTACACTAAAGGGAAGAGGGTGATGATACGATGGGCAATTAATAATGGAGAATACACACGCACACAAACACGTAGGCACGCACACGTAGGCACGCAGACACACACTGGCACGCAATGGCAGGCAATGTGGGGTTAAAGTGGACATATCGTGTTTTCAAATAATTGATTTTTAAAAATCTAAATCATTAATTTGTGGCCTATATAAAGCGTAACTGCAATGCCTGGGTCTGAGTCTCATTATTTGTAGCTCCACGGGCCTTTCTTCTACACCTGTTCTGAGGTGCGTCTGAGAGCAACCTGTTTTGGTGCTGTCTCTTTAAATGCAAATGAGGCGCGCGGCTGCGAGCGGCTGGACGCTCACAGCCTCTCACAGCCGCTGGACGCGGAAGCTGCTCATTACAAAGCGGCCGCAGATGCCCCGGAACACTGCGGCCGCTGAGGTGGCGGAATCCCGTTCAAGTACATACAGCAGGTGCCCCGCGGATACGCGCGCCCCGCTCCAACAATTCTCAACGGATTTCCACTTCTCATTAAAGGTCCTATATCACGCTTTTCTTCATGTTTCACACTCAATCCTCTGCACATGTGTGATATTAATGTGTATGATACACCACACAACAATCAAAGCTTGTGAGATTAGAGCCATCTCTTGTATAGAGGTGACGTCACCTCGACTCAAACGAGCTGATCCAGAGAAGAGTCTGCTCCTCTGCCTGTGGCCCGACTCCCCCCGCCCTCACCCGCCTCCCCCCGCCCTCACCCGCCTCCCCCCGCCCTCACCCGCCTCCCCCCGCCCGCACGCTGACGTAGCATCACGCTTTTGTCGTTTATCACCTGTACTTAGTAATTTCATAGATAAGAATAAACTTTTTCCAAAAATGACAATCCGTCACATCGAGCCCTATGTCCTCGATGCACAATCAGACCCTAGTTATTTAGTTTACAGAAGTATACAGCGAGTTAGCGTCACTACTTACAGATCGAGGGGGTCCGAGTTACGTCTTTTACCGTGGGAATAACGTGTTTCCAGATCAGCCTTTGAGTAAGTCCAGTTCCATTGTCCCTGTAGTTCTGGAACAGTCTCAGTGAAGTGTCGCAGATGAACCAGTATTAGAATAGATCCATGAGATGAACAGATGCAAAAAGTCGAGCCGCTTTCTTCCTCTTAGGGCCAAATAGTGTTTCACATATTTACACCCATAACACACTTCATTCAAGTTGACGTGATCCTAACACTTTTAGTTTCTGACAAAAGCATAAAAACAGCAGCTCTATGTGGTGTCCGCGAGACCAGACCACAGACGCTGGACTCGGGAGCCGGAGCCTGTGCGCTCTGATTCACTGTTTTGATCCGTCAATCACCTCCCGCCGGCTTTTAATTTATTTTTATTTTTATTATTTTTGACAAAAAACAGCATACTAATTGTGTATTGTTTACCCCGTTTTGACAAAAGTATTTAACAACTATTTTAAATTCAAAGCAAACGGGGTCATGCGCGTCATCAGTGTGGTTTTCGTCACTGAAGTGGACCCGAGCGTTTCTGTGCCTCACGCTGGGGAAGGAGACAGATTGTTCTCTTACAAAAGATTGACAGAATCAATGAATAAACTACTGTGGGCTTGTGTATGAAGGCCAAATAGCATTGTAATCATGTTTAAAGCAGAGAAAAGTCAAAAACCGTGATATGGGCCCTTTAACATGTGTTCTGTATGAGGCAGACAGACCGGCCCAAATATGGTCATTGCCCGGTACGCCCGATGGCCAGTCCAGCCCTGTTCGCTGGCATCCTTGAGCTTGGACTACAAATTCGAAGTGATGCACAGTAGAGGAGGGCTGGGCCAAAGTGTTTGTGCTTATATGGCAGTCTCGCTGCAAACACTGTGACGTAATAATTCTAAACACGTAATAGAGAATGGCAAAATCAGAACAGGTTGAAATATCTTACCTAAAAAGAATATGAAGTGTTCTCTGCAACCCATGAAGAGACTGATTTCAACTTTTTTGCACTTCTAGAGGCTCCAACTACACAACATAAGGCATTTAAGGCACAAAAAGTGGATTTTTCATGATATGTCCCCTTTATCATGAACTCTGCCACCGGCACGGTGGCTGAGTGGATAGCACTCTCGCCTCTCAGCAAGAAGGTCCTGGGTTCGAATCCCGGTTGGACCAGGGCCTTTCTGAGTGGAGTTTGCATGTTCTCCCCGTGTCTGCGTAGGTTTCCTCCGGGTGCTCCGGTTTCCCCTACCACTAAAAATATGTACAATAGGTCTGGCATGTGCCTCCTGTTCTGGCGACCCCCACTCCCAAAAATAACAATTGTAAACCGCTTTGAGACTCCGATGTGCAGTGAAAAGGCGGTATATAAATAAAGCTTACTACTACTACTACTTTAAGTGTCTAGCCCAAGAACACAACAGGAGCAGGTTACATGGGTCGTGGTGGGCTCGAACTCACAACCATTAGGTCCGAAGACCAGTGCTCTACCAACTGAACTGTCGTTCCTATGATAAATCATATTTTAAAGAATTATTCTTACAGGGGTTGGGTTAGCTTTAGTGTAATTAAGTGTTAGAGTTAGTTGATTAGGGTTAACTTTGTGTTTGTAAGGGATAGGGTTAGCTTTAGTGTGTTAGGGTGAGGGTTAGCTTTAGTGTGTTAGGGTGAGGGTTAGTTTTAGTGTGTTAGGGTGAGGGTTAGCTTTAGTGTGTTAGGGTTAGCTTAGTCAGCACAGCACATGGTGAGTTTTAAGTTTTAAAAAAGGTCATATAAATCTGTTAGTGTTGATTGGCATAATGTACGGAGGCCGCGGGTGACTGCATCTGTCATGTGGGCACCACAGGCCCTATGAAGAGGGGGTTGAGTTGGAGGCAGATGCAATCTGGGAATACACTTGGATAAAGTGGTTAAACTACTACAAATGTGGCTGGAGTGCTTCTTGGATGTAAAAATTAAATGAGGAAAAAAGTAAACTTTTGGTGCTCTTCAGTGGAGGGACCAATGTTGATAGTCAGAAGACTGAGGCACTCAAAAGTTATAAAAATCTTTAAAAGCCTTTATTTGACATGGCAAAAAGAGGTTAAAATCACGCCTACGTGTTTCAGCCTTCTGGCCTTCTGCAGGGCATCCTCGAGAGGTGTCTCAGTACAGATTTAAAGAGAATGGTGCTTGTCACATGGTCAGTGGGCGGGCCTGCCCTGAAGAAGGCCAGAAGGCTGAAACGCGTAGGCGTAATTTTATTTTAACCTCTTTTTGCCATGTCAAATAAAGGCTTTTAAAGATTTTTGTAACTTTTGAGTGCCTCAGTCTTCTGTCTGAACTACTACAAATGTGAGTTTGTGGTGCATCACGAGATGGAGTGGTTTTTGACCCCTTGGAGCAGGCTCCGTTTGGCCTAATGGGAATCAAATGTCCCAACATTTAAACTTATGTAGACACAAAAAGTCATCAGTCCGACACCGCCGCTTAAACCAACACATGCTTAAGACAAGTTCAGGGCTAGCTGCTAACAACGAGATGTGTTCATACAAAGAATACAGAGTGTGATGGACACCACAGAGCTTCTTTCATGTCTACACGGACAAACACCACTGTCCTAAATGTTTGGGACTGACCCACCTCTCTCCAACGCTGAAAAGTAAGACAAACACATTAAATATATGATGATTTCTCTTCCCAGAGTCAAAAAATTCTTCGGAGACCTCCATGAGCATGGATATGCCAACTTCACAGAAAATGTATTTATAAGATGTGATGAGATTTCTTAAATACATTAGTGACATGAGACCACCAGGAGTGAAACTATCACAGACCAACGCCCTGAAAGTCTAGATTAGAGCCCGGCTGAGGCCTGTGGGGAGGGAGGTGCTCTACATGTTCAGCCGAGCCTTCCTGGTTCAAACTCTCGTACCCTCTTTGCAAAGGCGCTTGATGAGAGTAACCCCCACTTTCAAAAGATCAATTATATTTAACTTACATTTGTAAAAGATTACATCAAGGTCTCTGTGCCCTGTCAAACGTAGCCTGTTAATATTCAGATTAACGCAGCCAAAATAATAACTTCGAAGCAATGCTAGATTTCAAACCTGTAGAAAACACAAGGCACTCCTGGTTCTCATTCAACTAATTTACAAAACATGTATGGTTTGAACAAAAAGATTAGACATTAAGATAAACCAAGTAGTCTGTTTAATGGTAGGTCTGGTGAAGTGTTCAGATTTATATAAAAAAAAAACAATTATTTGAAAGAGAAACCATTTTTGAACCTTTGTTCTGGCCAACATTACACATTTTCTGTTAAATATTGTCAGAAAAATAATAAACTATCTCTGTGCAGATAGAAATAAAAAATATAGAATTCTATGTGGATTTGTACAGATAAATCAGCTAGACATGATAAAACCTCACAAATAACCGCCATGGGTGCGCGTCAGTTTATGTAAATGTCCTACATCAAACTTCATGAACCAGTGAAGCGTCTGCAGAACAGAGGACTACATTTTACACTTCTAACAAACCTGCCATCTTCTCCGCCAGGGGCCCGTATTGATAATGTGTGAGGAGACATGCTACAGTGAAAATGTGGTTGATACTGCCAGAAATGGATAGAGGAATGACTGTGTCAAACAGTTTGTTTCCTTTAATCCTCTTGATGAGTCTGTCCACGTGGACCCTCAGACGTGCCTCGGACTGGGGTCTAAGGACATCCACCTTTGACATTTGAGCCTGTTTGGATTCAAAGAGCAGGCGATGGACATTCCCGGACACCATCTCCTGAGCCAGAATCCCTTTATCCACATTCATCCCCATCTCTGTTTTTAGGAGGGAGGCGATGCCGGAGCGACGGAAAATCTCCTCGTCGCTGATGGAGCTTTCAAACAGCGCCGACACAAACGTCAGCGTTCCATGAGGGGACATTCCGATGAGCGCCTTGAAAGCACAGTGTGACTCGTCCGGAGAAAACTCCTCGCTCTGGAGCAGAAGGGAGGAGGGTGTTTGGCACATCAGTTCAGGGCAGTCCAGAATGACTTGGGTGTTTCTATAAGTCCCATTAAAAACCGTGCGACAGGTCGTCACTTTGTCCGCCGTCTTCCAGATGGATCTGGATCCAAGCAAACTGTACAAGAAGTTGGACCATGTCACAATTATTCCCCTCAGTGTATCACTGTGGATATTAAACGTATGACTCAGGTCCCTTAGTGTACTGCCAGTGGCCAGATAATTGAGGAACAAGAAGAACTCGTCAAATGGCAGCAATTTCTGGAAACAAAATATGTTATTAGAGGACATCAAAGTTACAATACACAAAGTAATGGGATTACAGTATGCAGAGAGATGCAGAGAGATGTGGTGTTGAAATTGTGGATTTTCAGTGGAAGTGAAAATGATTTAAACTTATATGCATGAGTTAACTAGTGGCAAAGAAGAAGCATCTGATGTCTAGCAGGCCGGTGAGGGTGGAGTTGAACATTGCATGAAAGCAAAGCTGAAAGTCGGGCAGTAGAGCAAAGGTAGGACTTACACTTGGTCTGTTGACAGGACTCTCGAGGGGTGTGTTGGTGGGAAGGTTCCTCTGGCCACTCGTGACCCTCTCCATTCTGCTTGTTGACTCTTCGATTAGATTCCAAAAGGCCCTCAAATGCTTGTATGATGGAAATCTGCATGTAAAAGGTCGATGTTATACATTTTTCTCGACTGTACAACATTCTATAGGCCCATTTCATGTGAATGAGTAAAATTAATATTCTTAACATACACAATTGTGTGCTCAGGGCCATGGATCAAAATAGAAAAAATTAGGTTTAAGATTGGCTGCCCCGCGCCATATACATTAAATACATATATTTTGCACAACATTATTTTTTATATATGGATCGATCACTTGATACGTTCTTTTGTATTATCCAATGAGAAAAGCACAAGGTTCACAAATTCACTAATGCATGAGTTCTAAAATTCTTAGTGCACGTTTGCTAAAGTCAATTTACCTGTAAGAACTTTAAGAACAATGTAAAAACAGATCTTTGAAACTTTGACAAGAATCAGAAGAGCAAAAAGCAGCTGCGTTTAGTGAATAGCTAAAGTGCGTAGCAGGAAACTTTGACAGACTCATGGGGCGTTCGGACCGGACCACGCTGCGTCGACTTTCAGTGCAAAGTCAATGGTGACGCGCGTTAGAGCGTCAAAATGCATGTGCGTCTCGGAAACCACGTACGGACTGCTCAGTAGAGACGCACGGACGGCGCGACAAAGGCGCGGGGGAGGGGCAGGAGCGGAAAATCGTCGCACACAGATATTGTTGAGCGTTTCCTTGGAACGCTCGTTCAGCGACCAATCAGAGAGCTGCAAAGTGGTCATGAGGACATTAGTGGTCTGAGCGAGCAGACTGAACATACTGTAAACAGCCTGTCCGCCCGCTACTTCCAAAACTTCTGGCGCGCGCCACCGCAGCCCAGGACTACTGGTCTGAAGACCCCTCCGTCTGAATATTAGAGAATGTGCGTCTGGTGCACGAGGCATCAAATATGGGCGAGTTCCACTAATCTCTCGGTCCCCGTGTATGTCCCATGTGCTACTGAGCACAAGACATTCATGGACATATAAAGAGTAGACGCCGCATTGGCCGCTCGGGAACAAGAAATGCGGCAGCCATCTTGGACCGGTCCTCCTACAGCGCGATGCCTGAGCACTGTGCGGCGTGTTGCTGTCAAAATATACGGACTATTCAAAACAGGGCTCGGGGAATACTTTTCACAAGTTTGATCATTATTGTTGATAGTAGTTTGTGAATAGATTATTACCGAACTGTATTTATGTCACCAACGAAATCAGACACATAATATCTGAGCATTGAACAGCAAACAGGCTAAGTCACAATTTCAGCAGCTTTGGTTCACTGTCAAAATACCAGTTTTGTTGAAGAAAGGTTCAAACACGTATGTATGAGGAAAATAGGAAGTAGTAAGTAGGAATAATAGTAAATGTATTCATACATTGTTTAATTTCACTCTGTAAAAAGATTGAGTTTAGTACTTTTACTGCCACTAACTGCTTAGTGTATATGGGTTCTATCTTAGTGTTTATACAGGCTTCGATCATATATTTGTGTATATAAAGGGTTCAATCATATTAGTGTGTAACTGTTCAGTGTCACTTGTTGCATAATTTTCCATACATTTCACCTGGAAGTCAAATGTCCCTAACTTTTGTATGTACATAACACTGTTTTTCAAAAATACCTAATACCTAATAATATCAAACATTACATAATCATACAGAATAATATATATCTGTTAGATATATATGAATAAAGTGCGAAAATCAGCAAAGTATTCCGTGAGTTATGATTGATTAAATGGAGCGGGTGACCGGTCCAAGATGGCGGCGCTGCGGCTCGTCGGCGGCGGTAGATGCGGCGTCTCCTCTTTATCTATGAAGGGCGCCATCTTGGATCACCGGGGCCTGGTCTGGACACCCCATGGATCTATAATAACTGTCTGAACACCCCTAGCGTCTGAAATGTCGAGAATGTGCGTCTAGTTGCATAATGTTCACTTTAAAAGTAATAAATAGGATAACATGTCTTACCTTGTGTAGTGCTGCGTGTCTTCAGGTGATGAGGCAAACCGCTCCAGTCCAAACGTGTGAATGACTGAAGTTGCAGCATAGTTGTGGTCCTCAGTGAAGGGGGTACATCCAGAGGAGGGCTTCTCCTCTGTGTCCATGCCCACGGTGGAGTCCTCTGCAGCCAAGGTCTGGGGCAGGCCGGGACGGTGTTCCCAAACAGCGGGGCGCGGGGTCTTCAAATAATTATTCCAGTGGAATAAAGATGGAACTGTCTTCGGTTGAAGCCACCATTTCCCAGACTTAGCTATGAAGATTTCTCCAGTGTCAAAATGCCGACTGCACACTCTTGAGTTTGGCTGAACTATGAAGCCTTCTCTTCGGATTGCCTTTAACCATTGAGAGCGCAGATGCGGATCTTTAGGGAAGCTGTGGAAACTCAGTGTTTTGTTATATCTACCTCCAGCAGTGCACAAGGGGACGCAACAGTGGTGGTGGTTACAACCTTGTGCTTTTTGAAAAGTAAAGCCTTCGTATCGACTGCAAATCCTGCGTTTTTTCGAGTCCATTCTCGGCAGCCAAGAGCGGAAACAAACAACGCAGTATCCGGTCCTCTTCTTCTTCTTTATTTCCAGCAGGCTGAGCATCCGGTCTCAAACCCGGAAGCATTTTCTAAGTTTTTTTTATTTTTTTTATTCAAAATGTAATCAATACAAACTCTTGTAGAGACAACCAATTGGTTGGTGAAGGTGAAGACTTCGACAAAAAATACTTAATAAAAACAGGTTAAAACATCATATAAAAAAAAGAAACAATCATTATATAAAATACGCACACTGTTCAATGTCTTAACACAGTAACAGATTTTCAGCAGACTGGTAGATTTTATCAGCGTTATATTTAGCAGGATCTTTATCCATTTGTTTTTATGGATACGATATTTACCCATTATTATTATAATGTTTACGATTGTCACATAGTCTTTAGGGACATTACTTTTGAATACGAGTATATCTTCTTTTGTGAATTGTGTTTTTGTATATAACTAAATAAGAATATCGTCCCAGAATTGTTTTGGCACACACAGACATATAAACATCCTTATAGGTCTGTGTAGGCACAAGGTCTGCAGCGCCCCCTGGCGGTCAGTAGGGCTGAAACATCACAGTCTTGCTCAGAGTGGTGGGATTGTGTTTGGAAATGTGATTTGTTAGATTTGAAGGTAAAGCGCTTGTAAACAACAGAACATTTTTTGAGGCAAATATATGTATAAATAGCAACTGAAAACTACAAAATAATTTAAGTCAAAATATATACATCTTATTTTTTCAATTGTATTTTACAGAGTTTAGAATATCTTTTTTTAAGCATTGGATTCATTCATTTCCAGTTTAGACGTGGCATTTATCAGAGTTTGGGGAAGACCCTCTCTGGCTTCTTGCATCTTCCTCCTGGCTTTTTGAAAAGCCTCTGTGGGAAACATAGAAACATTAGATATGGAGAAACATGAAGCTTCAAGTGAAACATTTGAGTGGGTCACCGAGAATGTTGTAGACGGCGCCCTGTTGACTGAACCCTCCCAGCTGCTCCACCACCTTCTCCCTCCTCTTCTTCAGCACGATGGCATCAACGAAGGCGCTGCATCAGAAACCAACTGTTTGTTAAAGTAAGAACATGGAAATGATTCATTATCACTGGAAAAGGCCGGTTCTTACTGAGCTTGTTGAATGCAGTGCAGATTGAAGGTGACGCTGCCGGACGACTCGCTGCTGAAGCCAAATCGACTCAGTCTTTCTCCCTGAAAAGCATCAGAAAACATGCATGTGTGTGTGTTTGTATTATCTTCTCTTGAAGTCACTGAACAGCAGTGACCTCAAGCAACATTTCTCTGTATTGATTCACATTTGGCAGTGCTGAAGTTGGCTGGGTAATAAAGCTGGTGAGAACGTGAAAGTCATTTTGTGACACAATCTAAAACAGACGTCAGCATTAACAATGTCAAAGACTGGCTTCCAGAGGTTCAGAGCGTTACATTGGGATACAGCATGGTATATTGGTGAAGCGGAAGTTGGCTGGATGACACTGTGAACTTATATTTATGATATCAATGACTACTTTGGGTTGGCAAGGCAGAGGCAAGGCTTGATTTGGACATGTCTGTTTGCACAATGTCTTTCACCAAAAAACAACAGACTCTTCAAGTTCGAGTTTATCATGTGATGGATGTACAACAGTCAGAGCTCATTATGAATAAATTATGAATAAATTATGAATGGATTGTTTACTTTACGTGTTAAATGTGTGGTCTCCAAACTGGATGTTTCCCCACAGTCTGTACCATGCTCACCTTAAAAGTGCCAGGGACCCTCACGTAGCTGGGCTCCTCGAGTTCTGGAGACCCCCCGATGAAGAACCTCCTCAGGGCAGAGACTGTGGCCGTCTGCAGAGGCCTCCAGGTGCCGCAGGTCACTCTGTGTTTTCCTGGACAGAGTGTTTTGGACAAGTATCTCACTCCATTGAGTTTATGTTTTAACTAGATTCTCGTCACTGAGCACTTTTAAAATAAGAGTGAAATGTGAACTTATAACACACACACATGCATTTTTAAAATCGCACAAAGGATACTCCATATCTTTTCACTTTTTTAAATATTTGCAGATTTCCTGTCTTTTTGCACACCCTCAGTGATCCTGTTGATGCCAAATGTATCATGTACAGTTCTCCATTGTGAGATCAATACAGTTTTGTGCTGTAGATTGATTATTTTTATGGATATTTATCAACATTTATGGACATTAGTCTCTGCCCCTTATGGACCTATGGCTCTATGTGTTCTTCTATCATTGCATTTTCTGTGATTTAACCATTTGATTCTCTGATCTGTGTTGGCGAATTCAACGGTTTTGTAAAGTCCTCTGAGAAAACTGTGATTTTTGGCGATACAAGAATAAAATGACTAGAATGAAATGAATGAATGAATCAGTAAACTCTGCTTGTTCCCGGCCTTTTAAATACTAACGGAGGATATGGGCTGTAACGGAGCACATACCAGGTACAGCAGGAAAGAGCAGGTATCCGTACCCCTCGGTCCGATAGCGCTGCCAGAAATCCAGAGACAGGACTTTGAAGTACAGGACGGGCCACTGTGGAATACCTGAGCAAGACAATTCAAAAGTCAGCATCAGATTCTATAAACAAAGAGCTTGGATAGCGTCAGTGCCCACCATCGCTCTCCTTCTCACTCATGTAGAAAGCCTCAAAGTTAAAGGGGAAGCTGAAGAACGCTACGTCGTCCTGTGAAAGCAAAGAATTATCAGAATATTCCATGAGTTCCAAATGTTGGTGCTGTGATTTTGTCTTCGTGGGACGCGTACTTTCCCGACTGCTTTGGTCCGGCAAGTCTGTGTTACACCAGACAGAGGATGGAACGGTAAACTGGACCAGTCTGAAAGAAACAGCAGAGGAAAGCCCTTCAGTAACCATAGTAACCATAACCAAAATACTAAGTTAACAGTAAGTAGTATTTTTTTGTGTATTTTTGTTTTGTTGTTAAGTGGAGGAGAAAGACGGGGTGCGTTTGTTTTGTCCTAACCCTCGTGCTATTCTCAGGTTATAAGGATTATACAACACCATGTTATTATATATGGGGAGTTCTAATAATATACTTATAGTTATACTTTTTTAGTACTATATTTTTTTGGGGGTTTTATTTAGTACTGCAATTTTTTAATTTTATTTTTTGTAATTTGAAAAAAAATAATAATCATATACCCAGTTTTAATTTGCTTTCTTACATGAAAAATAAATGCATCACGAGTTTTGTTTTTTGTTCGAATGGGGCGGAGCTTTAGATCAGTCGTCTCTAACCCTAACCCAAAGACCCAGCCCTAAGGTCCGTGCTCCTCCTGTTCATTCCATTTCCATTTCTGACATCCCAAATAAGGTTCTACTGTATAAAGTATTGTTTTTACTGTATTTGTGTATTTTGTTTTGTTATGTTTTGTTCAGGACTTAAGAGTTCCCTTGTGTATGAATTGCGCTCTACAAATAAACTTGCCTTGCCTATTTTGTAAGTTTTTATTCCACATTTTCATCATGTAAATGTGCCAGAGTTAGCCATGTAAGCCAATTTTCATCCATAGTCCCAGGAGCCAGGCTCAAACACACATCACAAACATATAACAAAACAGGGCAAGTCACATGCGGTAAAATATATATAAAATGGGTAAGAACACAAAAAAAACATAATTTTCCACACACCAAGGAATCAGTGATTGTGACTTTAGACCGTGTTGTGTTTGTCCACAAGCTACCTTCTGGTTGAATTGATTTTGTTTTGATAGACAAACACAGATGTAAACTCATACACAGTTTTAGACCTTACTGTTGGGCAGCTCCATGAAGAAATGGATGTACAGATTGTCATATTCGAAGCCTTTGGCCGACACTGCGGACGAGAGAGAAAGGAGAGAGAGAGGTTACACAGAGCAGGCCGCCAACAGGGAGTCTGGGTCTCACCGATCTCTCCGTTCATCACGTATCGCAGAGTTCCAGGAGGAGGCTGCGACAGAGACAGGCCCCAAGTCAACAACACATCGGCAAAAACACATCATATTGTTGTAAAAGGATAAAAACGTCACCATCTCAAAGTTGGATCCTACGAGACTGTTGAGGTATTCTTTGTGTCGAACGTAGAGCTGAGGATGAAACAACAGAAAAAGATCATTTAAATCTTTAAATCATTATCTTATATGACTCTGCTTCTGTCTGGAGGGGCCTTCGGGAGATTACAAACTACAAGCCCAAAGCCCCCCTCAGTGCTGACGATCACAGGCTGGTTGACGAGCGGAACCTGTTTTTCAGCCACTTAGTAGTAGTAGTAAGTAGTAAGTAATCTTTTATTTATATACCGCCTTTTCACTGCACATCGGAGTCTCAAAGCGGTTTACAATTGTTATTTTTTGGGAGTGGGGCCAGTACAGGAGGCACATGCCAGACCTATTGTACATATTTTTAGTGGTAGGGGAAACCGGAGCACCCGGAGGAAACCTACGCAGACACGGGGAGAACATGCAAACTCCACTCAGAAAGGCCCTGGTCCAACCGGGATTCGAACCCAGGACCTTCTTGCTGAGAGGCGAGAGTGCTATCCACTCAGCCACCGTGCCCCCAAAGCTTCAAAAGATATCAAACGGCTCTTCTCGAGGCTGCACCCCCCCATAAAGCCCCCACCAGACAGTCTCACCTGCCACTCTGAGACACTGACATTTTTAACACCTCTCTGCAGTCCTGCCATGTCCCGGCCTGCTTCAAATCCTCCATCATTGTCCCCGTCCCGAAGAAGCCCAGGATCACAGGACTCAACGACTACAGACCTGTAGCACTGACGTCTGTCGTCATGATGTCATTTGAGCCCCTGGTTCTCTCCCATCTAAAGTCCCTCACCTCCCCCCTCCTGGACCCCCCTCCTGGACCCCTGCAGTTCGCCTACAGAGCCAACAGATCTGTAGACGACACCAAGCTCTCCCAGCTCAACGTGCCCGATTCCACCTGCACGTGGATCACCAACTTCCTGACAGACAGGAAGCAGCGTGTGCGTCATGTGTTTGCGCCAGTGGTTCCTCTTTATCAGAGTGGAGGGATCTAAAAACAACGCCAGATCGGTTTTTGATGAGGAACAAGGTTGTTAAAGCTCAAAAACGTGAACGTATATGTTTATCATTAGTATTTAAAAGATGATATACACAGGAGGTACTTTGGCTCAATGTGGACGCAGCCTCTGCTTCTGCTTAATCCAAGATGGCGACTGCTGCATGTTTGATTGTCGAGAAACAGCAGAGCGTATGTGCACACTTGTGTTTGTTGTGGAAAATATTGCTTTTCTGGACCCACTTCCTGGTTTCCATCCAATCAAACGCGTCCAAACATGAGAAGCAGCTCAGACAGCGATCCAGGTTAATGTTTTGCTCAATGGTTTGGGTCTGGCGGGTCAAGCTCGCACCCGTTCTCACAGTTTGATGTTTGAAGTGTAAACAGACTCACGTCTCTGTACATGTGCAGCTCCTTGTCGTGGTCGTCCTTCACCATGGCAACCGACACGTTCTCCACTCGGAGACTCCACACCTCCTTCTTGTCTCCTGTCGTCACAATCCTGCGACACAAAGGACGGGACCATGAGACTGGACCATGAGACTGGACCATGGGACGGGACCACGAGACTGGACCATGGGACGGGACCACGAGACTGGACCATGGGACGGGACCACGAGACTGGACCATGGGACGGGACCACGAGACTGGACCATGGGACGGGACCACGAGACTGGACTCGGGACGGGACCACGAGACGGGACTCGGGACGGGACCACGAGACTGGACTCGGGACGGGACCACGAGACTGGACTCGGGACGGGACCACGAGACTGGACTCGGGACGGGACCACGAGACTGGACTCGGGACGGGACCACGAGACTGGACTCGGGACGGGACCACGAGACTGGACTCGGGACGGGACCACGAGACTGGACTCGGGACCACGAGACTGGACTCGGGACGGGACCACGAGACTGGACTCGGGACCACGAGACTGGACTCGGGACGGGACCACGAGACTGGACTCGGGACGGGACCACGAGACTGGACTCGGGACGGGACCACGAGACTGGACTCGGGACGGGACCACGAGACTGGACTCGGGACGGGACCACGAGACTGGACTCGGGACGGGACCACGAGACTGGACTCGGGACGGGACCACGAGACTGGACTCGGGACGGGACCACGAGACTGGACTCGGGACGGGACCACGAGACTGGACTCGGGACGGGACCATGAGGATGGTGAGATCTTGTGGAGGATCTCACCATCCTCATGGTCCCGTCCCATGATCTCACCACAAGATCTCACCATCCTAATCTTATTGTAGATTATCGTTTTTGCTTTAAACATGTAAATACTGAAGAGAGTATGCTTTATTTTTGGTCTTGAAATGTATTAGTTGGTTATCCATAAACTAAAATATAGTGTGTATAGTTTGTTCATCTAAGAAAACAATGTGTTAGAATCAGCAGCAGTGAGACAGTCAGACATTTACTTTCTTCCTGATTCCTTCCTGAGCATTGGTCAATGTTGACAAATGAATGATTATATGACCTGATTCAAACGACTTCGAGCTGTACAAACAGAAATAATGTGATGTTCTGGGATTAAAATGAAAAGTAACTTGTACCTGTACGGCTCTTTCCCTTTGTTGAAGTCTGGTTTGACGATGATAGTTCCGCTTCCATCCGTCTTTATCGTCATGAGCAAACATTCATTCTTCTTCTCCCCCAGTCTGCAAAGAGCAAAGACCTGGAATGTGACCTAAAGAGTCCATCCACACTTCCTCATCAGAGCGTGTGGGAGAGGTACCTGCCAGGAGGGCCCAGGTCGGCCATGATCTGCATGCTCTGCATGGCCCTGGTCACCATGTGGCTGCTCCTGACCCACTCCTCTGAGGGCTCCCAGTTTATCAGCTTGGTCTTTGGAATGCCCAGGTCTCTGCGAACAGGAAACAGATACTGAGTCTACAATGTACCGTTCAATCATCCAGGGATAAAAAAAAAAAAAGTTTTCCCTTATTTTCTTATTTGATTTGCTTCTACTTGTGTGTAGCATGATATAATACTGGTGACAGTGGCTCAGTTGGTAGAGCATTGGCCCGTGAGCCTGAAGGTTGTGGATTCGAGCCCACCACGAGACCCACTTTGCCCATAAGGAGAGCAGAATTAATGTGTGTATTCATCAAACTGAACTTTCCCCACTGTGGGACGAATAAAGGACCTTCTTCTAATACTGCCATGACAAATACATCATTTCTTTTCTTTCCAAACTTCAGTCGGGGCTGCTGCTGCCACCACATTATTGGTGTCTTTATATTTTATTTCCAGTGATGACACGCACCACCTACAAAAGTTGAGAATGTCTCAAACCCCACACAAGATTCTGATGGCAGCTTTAGCCAAAACAAGAAAGAATACAGCTTGAAAACAACAAGACAAGGAGTAGATTTTTGAATAGAAATGGAATGGTTTTAATTGACAATATTTATATCTAGAGTGAGTAGATCAAAGAGCGTAGTGTGGTTTATACATGAGATAAATATAATTAAAATAATAGAATAGCATTTACATATTATTATTTATCTGGATTTTTATATTTGTGCTCCTTACTCCTACTGTCTTGTGTGTGCGCTACAACACTGACATTTCCTCCCTGTGGAGCATGTATTTTTAGCCTCATGGTGATCCGTGTAGAGAACCCTCACATGAGATGTCGGTCCTGTCTCCTGTGCCTCACGTTGGCCATCCTCTGCTCCAGGAGCGTCGGCCCAGACTTACTCGTGGTCAGAGAGTCTTCTGGACACGGCTGCGTAAGAAAAGATAATAATAATAGCACAGTTACTGGTCACATCTGCGCTGTAAGTGACAACAGTTTTCATAATGCGATTAGTAACTACATATAGGTAATGTGGGAGAAGTGTCTTGCCTAAGGACACAGCAACATTTTGGGACTTTGCAGCCGCCCCACTGTGGCACCTAGTCTTGGTCTACCATCACGGTACTCACCAGGCCCTACCCTGCTTATCTTTCACATGCAGGTGACCTTTAAATCCCAAAAGAATGTGAGATTTTTTATAAATGTAACCAAAACAAATCTCTGGTGATGCCCCTGGAGTCCGTCTTCATAGAGATTGTTACACTGTAGGTTGTTTGAATAAAAATACTTTGTAAACACATTTTCAGTTTATTCTACAGATATTATAGCATTATCAGAGTCATAAAACCTCTTCTTAACTATTTCCATGTTTGATCAGTTGTGATTAATCGATAACTTTCCCATATTTAATTATTATATATTTGGCTCCGCCTTATCTTCCACAAGTGGCCCTAGTCCTCCTGGGTCCTCCTGGGTCCCCATGAGCACGTGACTGGCCAGAGCAAGGCACCCACCGTCTGACTGGAGGGGAGTCGGTGGGTGTGGTCGTCGTGGTCGGTGTAGGTGAAGATGCGGATGTTGCGTCTGCCCTCGCCGCGGCTCAGAGCGGTGACTTCAGCGTGGTACTGGTCTTCCAGAAGGGTCCGGCACGAATGTTTGTTTTGATACAGCTCGTATTCGCTCTGGATGAGGACAGATAAGAGGAAGATATCGTCACGACAACCAGGGCGACAACAAACTTGAAAAAGATAGGCAATAGGTACCCAAGCTTTATGCCAAAACAATTTACATTCTGTTTGATGTAGAGCTAAAGCAAAATTCCAGTTTATTTTTTTGAGGAGGAAATGAAGTTGCAAGTTGGATAAATACTAACGGCCAGTATTTGTCAATCAAAAATCAGACAATCCTGATAATAACGTAAATCCTCGACACTGACCTGGCTGAAGAGTTTTTCTTGCCAGCCAAGCACCAGCTCTTCTTCATTGTCTCCTGAAATGAAATGCTCTTGTTAAGTCTTAGAAGCACTGGCTTTGACTTTGGTTTGTATGAAGATCTGTTTTTGTAAATGATAATGTGTCTATGTGGCGCCACCTGCAGGTGAAGGCCAGATCCTGTCAGAGCTCTGAAGTAAGCAGGGCCTAGTTAGTAGTGAGGGAACACCAGGTGCCACAGCGGGGCGACTGCGGCTGTAAAGGGCCAAACTGTCGTTGTGTCCTTAGGCAAGACACTTTACCCACATTGCTAAGAACGAGTCTGGTGTGTGGGAATTGTTGGTGGTGATGGGCCGATGGCACATTCTGGTTGCCCTGCTTCTGTTCATGTGCCCCAGGGCAGCTGTGGCTACTGCAGTAGTTTATCACCACTGTGTATGGAGTGAATCAATAGTTCCATGTCAAGCGGCTTTGTCAAGTGTCCAAAAACACTATACAAAACCATTATTATTGATCAAGATAAACACTGAATAAATAAAATAAATAATCAAAATAAAGAACATTCCCCTTCAGAAGCATTTATTGCCCTCGACTGAAATAAATCAGCTCCTCCTGCTGTATGGCCTCAGACTGATTTACAGTGGTGAAAGTGGCCCAGTTGGCAGAGCATTGGCCTTTGGGCCTAAAAGTCGTGGGTTCGAGACCTACTCCAACTGCTCCCACTCATGTCTGCTGATGTTGTGTTCTTGGACACTTAACCCCCGCTGAGAGACCAAGGCTGTGTCACCACTGACGGAGCAGCAGCCATCTTCCTGTGGACTCTCCACCTGCCGGAGGATCAGTGAGGGACTGGTGCTATGAGCATTGGGTGGCAGCTTCCCCGCCCCAGAGACGGACTAATAAAGAAAAAATATTTTTGAGCACTATTTAATCATGGTATTGTTAAATGTTCCAGTCGAATGACAGTGTGGGCAGCTGGGGTTTGCTTTATCATTCTTTTATATGGGACCTTTTTGTGGCGGAGTGGAGAGGGCTTCGAGCTCTACGTCCCCCTTCCTCTTTTTCTTCCTGGTCTTCTCCTGCTGCTGGGACAGGAGCTGCTGCTGGAGGTGCTGGGACAGCGAGGCTGTGGACGTCAGCCTCTCCATCTGCACTCTGACTCAACACAAGCAAACACACACATGTGGAAAACCTATATTAGACCCATGGTTTTGAGAGCTGGGCTCCTTGAGTGGATTCAGAAGGAAGTCATAATGAACTTTCATTAATTAAAACAATCAAACCCCAATGAGAGATGGACAAAGCACCAGGACATCAAAGTGCAGCAGGACCAGTTCAGGTACAGCAGCAGCACACAATATAATATTTTCACAGTAATTATATGGTTTTTAATCACAATACTTGTTTTACAATAGTAATCAACATAGTTTTGACTGTAAACAACTATTTATTTGGTTAAATTTGATATATTTTAGTGATACTGATGCACATCAAGCCTATTGCTCCAAAAAGTAAGACAGCTGTAAATAGACAGATGGAAAAGGACATTAAAAAATCATTTATTTGTGGACCTATGCATATTACACATTGGCGTGCGGGTAGCGTTAAATGATATAGTTATAGATTTTAATTACGACCGCACAAAGGAGAGGCTCTCTGCCTCTCTGTTGTATAAAAGTATCTTGGTTGAAATAGGTTGCAGACCCCTGATAAAGATTCTTGATAAAGAGTATAGAATAGTAGTATAAGGCTTAAAGCTGGGGTACCTAACAACATTGTTCTCAAAACAATGTTTTCACAAACATGTGTTTTTGTCTTTGCAACATGGGCTTTTTCAGACAGAAATGTGAAGAGCTCTCAGCCCAAACCGTCAAAAAGTGACTCAACAGGTTCCATCTGATGAAGACTGCATGTTGGTCTGTTTGACAAGATTTGTTTTGAACATATCTATTTACAAATATTAATGGGGAAAAAAGTTAGGCAAAAGGTACCCAAGTTGTAACATATATCTGAATGTGTGTTTATCAGTCTCTGAACTGGTGAGAAGTAAACAAAAGACATGACTCTGATTCCATGTGGCCCATAACATGTTATTCTGTATAATCTGGATCCTGCTGAGCTTTACCGGATCCGTATGTTCTTGAGCGCGTCCTGGGTCCGGTACACGGCCTCCCCCGTGTCCGTGTTCCAGGAGTCCGCCATGCTGCTCCGGTGTGTGCGGAGACTGGACCGTACCCGTCCTTCTGCTCCGGTGTGTGCGGAGACTGGACCGTACCCGTCCTTCTGCTCCGGTGTGTGCGGAGACTGGACCGTACCCGTCCTTCTGCTCCGGTGTTAATGAGACAGAAGCAACGTCCGCATTCAAAACAGAGAAAAGAAACCACACGGGCTAACGGTTAGCATTCACGCGGCTAGCTGCAGAGGGTTGCTATGGTAACGACACACAGGAAACAGCTGTCAGTTTATCGCCTCCTGTCGGTGGAGAAGAGATATGACATCTTCTTTACTGTTTCACTTGTAGTTTTGTGAAAATTAGTGAAGTATTTTTCAATAATTAGAGAATATACTTGTAATTTAGTATACATAACGGCTTTGCTGTTATTCAAATCTCCATTTTATATTGATTGGCAATTCATGCAGTACGTCCTCCACCCACACACATTTGACAACATATGAAATATCTTTATTTTATTTGTTTTACATTCGATAACAGCCAATACTATGGACCAGAGGTGTCAAACTCATTTTGGTCGACGGCCGAATAAAAAAAGAAAGGGCTGGTCAGGGGCCGAAAGAATAAGTGGGTTTTATTTTATATACTTTTTTTATAATATGAAGGTATCTAAATAAATTACTTCACATTAATTGGGTTGGACATTATTTTCTGATTAGAATTAGTTCAGTTCCTGTGGACTGAACCAAAACTGGACCAAATATTAAAGGTATAAAGGAAGATGTTCTACTTCGGGGTGGATCATCAAGACTATTGCTCCTCCAAGCTGTCAATCATTCTGGTGATTTGTGCTCATCATAAAAGACCAGAGAGTTTCGTTCATAAAGTGGAGAGGGCGGTTCTTTCCTGAAAAAATTGGGAAATCCTCCATATCTTTAAGAAGAAATGTAATTTGAAGACTTGTAAATTAAACATAACAATACTAACTTCTGATTACATGACGGCTTAGTATTTCTGATGGAATTAAATGTTATGGTTGTTTTCTTGAGAAAATTAGGAATGGAAAACATGCCATTTCGCCTAGTACCATCAATGCTGGAATTTTAATTTAAAATCATCTCAGGGGCCATTGGAAATGGTCTCGTGGGCCGGATCTGGCCCATGCAGGGCCTTGACTTTGACACCTGTGCTATAGACAGTTTCAAAATGAATATCACATTATGACTGGAAGCCTTCTTATCTACAGGCAGTTTCTCAGAAACTCAAAATTCATAATCTATAACCAGCAAGAGGAACAGAAAGCTACGTTTTCAACATATTGTGTAAAATAAAATGAATGCAGTTCTCATCTGGTAAACTCTTTATTGTATCTGCATCATTGAGACGCAGCGATGCTTTGGTCTGTTGTAATATTTGGAATGTTTCACAAACGCACATATTTCATGCTTTACAGTTTGTCATCCTCATCTCAAAACTCTTATTTTTTGGCACTGAACCCTGGTACAAAGGCATGCTAAGAATCATGAGCTCCTTTACAACTATATTCAGTGATTAACAAAAGCAAAAGTATAAAAAGAGCAGTAACATTCAGAGTAAAGCAGCACCAGAAACTTGTGCAGTAGAATAGTAAGTAACAGTATAAAAATGTATCTGAAAATAACTTTTTTGTTTACAAAGTGGACTGTTGGCTTACAGCGGTCACAAGAGCCGTGCTGCAAAGTGTGGCCAGTGTTCAGCCTCACAGTAAGAGTTAGAAATCACAGAACAGCTGACGGGCCTCGGACGTAGGGCTGCACTATTTTGGCAAAAACATCCATTTACCAAATTCTATTCAAAACAAAAAAATGTTGTAGTCAGAAAAAACATTTTGCTTCATTTCGACACATGTATAAATGTCGTGTTGACCCGGGACAACAGTGGGAAAGGTTCGCATCCTCTCAGGACCCGTGTCCGTCTCATCACCACAGGGAACATGGAAACGTGTAAAAACAAAAAAACAATAAACAGAAAAATGTCAAAATAAACTTCCCACTTTATAAATCAGTGATCACGTGTCTCAGTGCATCCAGACCCCCGGGAATCGCATTATAATAGAAAACAAGTTTATCATCCGTCGTTCACAAGGGTCGGTATCTTTCAGAACGTGGCCATGTGAATCTAGCTGTAGGGGACTCAAATATATTTTTAAACTATACAAAAATAAAAGGCTTTTGGCTCCTAAAAAGCCATTTAAACAAAATTACAATATTGAATTGATGCATCTTTAATTTCCGAAAGATAACAAAATATCTATATACACTAATCTGTATTGATATTTACCTAAACCTTTTTAGAACACCCCTATTCTGAGCCACATATAAAACAGTTTGGTTTTATTGTAGTCCAATTTTCCTCTATATTTGGTGTATATAGTCGCAGAGGGTCAAAGAGTCGTTTTGAAACACCACAAATGCTTGGTGCATTCCTGTGTTCTTGCGCTGTGGGAATGAGCGTTATTAAATATTTCTCAGAAGAATCACTACTGCACTTAAATATTCTCAATCTCATTTTCCAACAGTCGAAGTCAGACGCATAAACACAAAATCAAGTACTTGGATAAATCTTGCAGCCCTACTCGAACATGCCGTCAGTGTAAACAAGTTAAATATGCTACATGTTGTTTGCCACAGAAAGAAAGACACATGTAACAGCAAAGACCAGAACAATAATGGCTGGTTTCTCAAGTTGTAAACATTGACAAACTTTTGACGACAATTCTTTTCCTTGTGCCGCAGTTAAAACAGTGAAAATAACAATTGTACAAATATTTTTTTTCACCCCAAATCAAGCAAAAACCTTTAGTAATTCGCAGTAAGTAGAGAAATGGTTGAAATCTAGCTTCTTTTCAAGATATCATTGGGCTGTATTTGCGTTACTCACAACATTAAAAAGACATACAAATATCCTTTGTAAGTTGCGTCAGATATTCATTTTCCATGGCCTCTGAGCAAACTGCAGCCCTGAGCACACGTTTGGACCCTTTTACTCTTGTAGCCACCCTTGTAAAGATAAAACTAAACTTGTTCATGTGTGTTGAGTAAAGATCTGAGCAAATATGAATTCTACAGCATCACAAAAAGCAGTGATAATGTTATAATTGGGCCAATGTTGTGCCAAACTGACCTCGCTACAGACCTATAGTGATGCCGAGCCGCTTACATACACCTGTGTTATGGGTCCACAATGTGCAGCCATAACACACGTAAAAAAACCCATTCAAAAGTTCATTTCTAAATCATAATTCAACACGTTAACCCGACATAACTCATTAGAGAAAGTGACAAATGCCTGTGTTGTTATCACTGATGATTAAGGTTTTCAGTCCGTTCTCTAAATATTCTAATTTTCTGAGATGTGTTGTGTTTTTACAACTGTGAACTAATAATTGTCAGAACTAAGGCTTGACTCATGTCTCACTTTGTCTGCGATGAGTCCGTCACAAACTGGTTTCTGACTAAGCTGAATTACAGAAGTAAATATAAAAATATACTTGTACTGTGTATTACGTGGTCAGTAACAGTTTTATAATGAGCTGTTCAGGGCAATGACCACATTTGAAGAAAAAATTAACAATACGATTAATAAACCCCCAGAATAATTCCTATATTTTAATAACGGAAATAAATAAAAAAATAAAATGTGGATTTTTTGGTGTCCCTTTTTATACCGATACCCCCCAATTTGAGTTATTCCCATTTTTGCGAAGATTGAGCACATGTTTACGGGAACAAATAAGAACGTTCTATGTTAAATGCAACTAAACCACTCAGCAGGTTGCGTTCATGAGACACCACAACATTCCAAAGACCCTATCGTTGAACAGTGAAGGGTCAAGTGTGAAACATCTTTCCGTGTAATTACGGTCGGTTTAGAACAGATTTCTCCAACAACAATTCATACAACAGTCAAAAACATGCACGATGTGAGCCGGTGGAGAGGACTTTCAGACACAAGAATAACATGGCAGGTTTGTGAATCTTATCAGGATCTGGGAAAGCATTTGGACAATTTATTTTTCAACATTTCATTAAATAAAAAAATCCCCCAGAGTTGCATTGGCCCCTGCCCTACAACTGCAGAGCATAGAACGCAGCCTATTTGTTGTGTTTTGAGTTAACAAAGCTGCAGCTCAAGATACACGCAATTGTGCAGCCGTCAAAGTTTGCTGTGTGTGTGGTGTATGTGTGTGTCTCTGCGTGTGTGTGCGTGCGTGGCAGTAACAAACACTCATCAGCTGTGCGACACCTTCAGGCTCCAACAGAACAGTCAGTAAAGTTCAGAGCTCGCCACATGACAGATGACGCTTCACTTTCCTTTTGAAACCTCTACAGAGAGACAGCTTTACCGACCGTACTGAATCCAAGCTCAGGGCCCTGTAGAGGACTTTAATGGCTTTAAATATATATATATATAGCTTAGCAAGTAGCCTTAGTAAGAGTCTGCTTAAGTGCCCTTTTGACATTTCCTATGCATCACTCCCTCCCAATTTACAAACGTCCTTTTAAGCTTTAAGGGAAAAACCCCACACGTAAACGTCTTCTCGTAAACGTCTTCTCGTATGGCATGTCCGGACACAAACAACCAGTGCGACATAATTAGCCCTTTTATGAACTTCCTCCAGTGAACTCAAGAATAAATAAGTGAGCAGTAGAGATGCGGAAAATGTGCAGTAATGGAAGCATCATCTCAAAAAATATATTCAAAAATATTGTCTAAATATTAAAATAATATATGTATAAATTTATATAAAAAAATATTTGTACTTTGCTTTCAATATGTGTTGAGACCAAATATGAACTGACAAAGGTGAAGGGACAGAAAACAGCCATTTATCTGCCTCAAATCACAGCTAACGTTTTGCAAAATGGGTCGAATTGGATTTTTAACTGCTATTTATACTGCAAGTAACTACAAAGAGAAAGGCAAGAGTTCATATCAGCAAATAAACAATATACTATTTAAATCAAATGAACCTATAGCCTATAAAAGATAAATATTTGGTAAACTGAAATCCAATTCTACTAATGTCACTGGGTCTGTACTGATCTGACACCGGTCTCCAGAGCATAGACTGATCCAGAGGTGGGAGTCACTAAAGACAGGTCCAAGTTCTAACAGTTTCTTTTTGTCTGTGTCAAAATAAGGAATACAGAACTAAAAACATTTAATTTACCGCTGCATATAGAAAAAATATATATCTTTGCGTCGCAGATGTATCAAAATAAATATTGTTCATACTTAAACAAAAAAAATTTTTCCGCTTTCCACAAGTTATTTTAAGTAAATAGGCTCAAGTCCAAAGTCACATGAAGCAAGTCCGAGGTCAAGTCCGAGGTCAAGTCCGAGGTCAAGTCAGAGGTCAAGTCCGAGGTCAAGTCCGAGGTCAAGTCCGAGGTCAAGTCCGAGGTCAAGTCCGAGGTCAAGTCCCGTCTTTTTCCAAGATTTGTGTCGTGTTATATGAGTGAGAGTTGAAATGGTATTTTGTACTTAAGAAAAAATAAATTACTAAAGTCGCAAGTCCCATAAACTGGGACTGGATTCTGCCTCCCACCTCTGCAGCATCAGACGTGTGCTTCTCCCATCTCTCGTGCCTAGCCAACATTTCCAATATTTCCAACATTCAGTAACCCTCTTTCGTGACCGTCCAATTGAATTTTGATCTTGTGCAACTCCTCGATCTCCTGATGGTGGCGCTCTGTCTTGTGGCGCACCAGCGACCTGTAGAAGTGGATGGTGAAGATCACAAAAATGACTCCCACCGGCACCATGATGATGGTGGAGGCCAGCGCGGCCTGCCACCCGCTGTCCGAGACGCTGGGCGAGACGGTCGGGGACAGCTGCTGCTTCTTGGCGCCCACCGGCAGGAACTTGATCCAACACAACAGCACGACTTCGGCGAGGAAGAGAAGGATGCCGAGCGCGGTGGAGAAGCCCCAGGCCAGCTCGATGTAGTGGTGCATGCGCTCATGCGGGCTCTCGCTCACAGAGTTCAGGTTGTGGATGTTGCTGACCGCCTCCACGTTGGGCAGGATGCAGGTGCTGATGAGGAGCGCGAAGAGGTGCACCGCCACCAGGACCGTGGTGCAGACGCTGAAGCCGATCAGCAGCACCCGCGGGTAACTGTACTGCGTCTCCAGCTGCACCTCCACCATGGCCACCTGCAGACACCAAGGAGAGATTTATCCATGTATCACAGACTCGGGTCACACAAAGCACTTCTGGCTGTTACTTTATACCTGGGAGTGGCTATTTTTGCCTTTTAAATGTAACAAATCTTCCCCAAATTAGTTTTGAGGTAATATGCAGTCAAATTGTGTTCAATACAACCCGCTTTGTGAAACTGTTGACTGGATTTGGGCTGACAGAGATGAAGCTGGCTGAATGACAGTTGTTTACATCTCACCAGCTTCATCAGCGCTGTATATGGAATGTTGTGACAGACTGTAAATATTAAAGGGAGGTAGCGAGGCCTATTTCCTACACTGTACTGTATGGCCGCAAGTGGCTCCTCCCACAGGAACATTTCAAAAAACGTTTTTGCTCAGGAGTCTGACACGTGCCATTCAAAGTGCATTCAAAAGTCCACAGCTCCTAAACTAGGCTGGTCCAAAAAAAAAAAAAAAAATGTCTGCATTGACAGCGTCTAGAACAGGGGTTGGCAACCCGCGGCTCTTGAGTGCTCCTGGAGTGGCTCCTGGAGCCTTTTCAAAAATGTCTGAAAATGGAGTGTGAGGGCTATATTTTATTTCTAGTTTGAATGTGGTTTCTGTAGAAGGAAAAACAATCTTTACGTTTTTAAATGCTGTAAAAATATGTATAAGTAATTTAATTTCAACATTTCTGTCAACGTAGTGCGTCAAATCCTATGACGCGCGGTCACGCGGCTCCGCCCCATGCGGCCGCTGCTGTAAACAAACCGGCGTGTGTGCATCATAGACTGTAAGTGCACATGGATCCCAAAGCTAAAACGAGAAAGAGTCGATAACAAGACTGGACTAAGAATGAGAATGAACATTTTCTTTCAGTCAATGAGGAAGGACTGCTTCATGTTTGTAATGAAAAGTTTTGTTGCAACACGAGGAACAATGACGCGCAAAACGACGTAAACGGTGATTACGTGAAGGATTCATCAAAAATTCAGAGCACCTATTTTCAGACTTCAAAACCTTCTCAAAGACTGTGAAAAAAAAGGCCATTAAGGATTTTAATTCAGCTCCAGCAAACTTCAGCCTGTGACGTGATGGATATGAGCAGACAGTGATGCAGGTGAACTCTGAGCCCAAAGCAGATTGATTTACTGTATTTCTACAATTGCATGAAGGCAAAAAAATGGAAGTTAAGCTAAAGCAGAGTCATCACGTGTTGCGTCATTCACGACACGCTGCAGTGAAAATACACATTTGATAATCATGAATGATTATTATGTATTTGTAGCCTTTACTTTGTCATTTAGATATTAGGCTAATATAGCTAATACATCTTGCAGCCTGTGTTACCTTCATAAAAGCCTTATACAAGGCTGTTATTTTTTTACGACTCCAGACAGATGTTGTTTTTAGTTTTTTTTGTCAATTATGGCTCTTTGAACATTTTGGGTTCCCGACCCCTGGTCTAGAACGTAGCATTGAATCAAGAACGATTAATTGACGTTTGAGAAAGATGGCATAAGAATTCATTGTATGATTCTGTCTCTGGGACAACACCAAGGATTAAAAACATGTCAGCGCACGTGCTCACGAACCTTTGAGCCGGGACCCGCCTCCACAGGTTGTGACACATTCCATAACAAACATTCTAGAAATTCTGAAATTCTTTGCAGAAAGGTACAACAGACAGAGCATACCATAGTTTGGATATGCTTGGGTTGAATTAACATGTTTGAATCCCTTTGTTTGGCTTGCATTGGGGGTGGTCTTTGTCACTGCCTAAAGTACTTTGATTATTTTCCCGGTCTGACCTGAGCTGATCTGACCAACTTCAAAACACATGCAAAGAAAACACTCAAGATCATGTTTATGGGGGAAACTTCACATTTGCAAATGGAACTTTCCAGTTTGCAAATGTGTTTTGAAGTTCCAGCAGTTTGCAGGTCAAGACAAACATTGCTTCAAATAAGAAGGTAAAAAAAAGCTATTCTTGTGCCGTTCATGGTTTAGCTAATTCTGTCAAACACACCAGAGGCTCCAGTGGCCTGTAGATGTTTGTTTTGCCTTTGGAAACGATCCAATATCATCTGTGGCCAAACAAATGTGAATTGTAGAGGTGCACCGATCAGGAATTTTTTGGCCAATCACCGATTAGCAATCATTAAAATTTTGATCGGCCGATACCGATCATTGCCGATCCGATCAAATATTGATATTTTTAGTGATAAATGAATAGGACTAGTTATTCACTTTAAAACTAATCTTTCAAAACCATCAAGGTACTAGGTAGTATAAATAAAATGCCCTAGGGGTACTCAAGACAAAAAGGTTGGGAACCACAAGTAAACGTTACAGAGCAGTGAGATACAGCAACACTGTCTATGCTGCATTTCTAAACTGATTAAGAAGAGATAGTTAAGGCAATGTTTGTTCTTCAGGAATATTAGCATCTCGGCATTTGCAGAGGTTAGTTTATTACGTTTATCATCCTGAATAGTCCCTCTGCGTAAACATTCGCTCACTGTCTTCACTTGTACATGCAGCGCAGAGGAAAGGGCTGCTTTGGCCAAAGCAGAGAAGCGCCTTTTATTTTCCTTTCAATAAACAAGCGGCTCTGCTCCAAGGCGTACCTAGTTTGGCCAGGTAAGCGACTCTGTACGACCGTCTGTACGACCGTCTGTACGACCGTCTGTACGACCGTCTGTACGACCGTCTGTACGACCGTCTGTACGACCGTCTGTACGACCGTCTGTACGACCGTCTGTACGACCGTCTGTACGACCGTCTGTACGACCGTCTGTACGACCGTCTGTACGACCGTCTGTACGACCGTCTGTACGACCGTCTGTACGACCGTCTGTACGACCGTCTGTACGACAGTCTGTACGACCGTCTGTACGACCACTATACTCATCTTCCTCCAACATTTCTGTGAACATAACATGCAAAGTCCCGACACAGGATGTTTTGCCTGTGGCTCGGAGCTCAGCGCTGCTGAGTGTGTTCGGTCTCTGTGTGACTCCGGCTGGGCTTGGAGTGTGTGAGAATATACAGTTTGGTGAAGCTGCGACAGGCAGACATCAGTCAGATATTTCCCTGATGGCATATTGAAGCAGTGAACATGAGTCGTTTGAACCCAGCACTTTCCACGAATGACAAGGGCTGGGGCAGAGGGGAAAATCCATAACTTTGTTTTGTTTCGTACGTCATTACTGTAGGGTTGTTGCCGCTGTAGAATCTCCGTAACTGATAAACAAGCAACTCAAGCTGCTTGTTTACGCAATTTTGACGGACGAACCCTCATGTCATCTGACCGGTCTTTTTGATCGGCACATTTCACCGGTCACCGATAGCGCAATTTAAGCCGTGATCGGCCGATTATTATCGGTTACCGATCGGTGCACCTCTAGTGAATTGGTAAAAAAGATTGGAAGATTAGAAAGACTTTTGTTGGACTTTGATGAGAAAGACTTTAGCAGAGGTTCATGTCCCGTCAGTTCCAGTGGGTCATGTGCTTGTGGTCGTTTTCATTAAAAAAGGTGTTCACGGTTCAAAAAGGTTTGGGAACACTCATACACACCATCGCCCAGTTCAAACCTACGGCTACTTCTGCTGTCACTTGTCCACAGGTTACATTTTTACATTTTGAGAAATAATTACCATTTGAGAAATTAAAGTGTTCGTTTTGAATTGTCATTTTATTTATTTAATTAATTTAGACTTTATTAAAAGGACTCACATGCAAGCACAGGATCCATAGCTAAGAATAAGAATTTTCTCATCAGTCTCAAAACAATTAATACTATAAAGAAATCCAAACAAAATGACTTCAAAATGACTCGTGTCCATGAGTTTCTGAATAATACAAAGTGAGCAGAGAATATTAGACCCTGTTCCTGACTCACGACAAAGCCCTGCAGTATTTAGCAGACACTGTTATTCAAATACAGATCACCGTCTTCTCTTCAGAAAACATATCAACTGAGCTCTGTTCTAAAATAGATAAGTTACAATGTGACCAAAACTAAACTCATGACTAATATCACGCATAAACTCTTAGACTTGGTTTGGACTCACGCAGGATCAACACAAGGAGAAATGCAAACTGCCTCCGACTCAGATGGAAGGTGATGTCCTTCTGGAGACACAATGTGCTGCTATGTTCTGTACGCAGATTATCTGTCATTATCATTTAAATACTGAGAGTAGAAAGTTCTCCTCAGAATGTACTTTTTCTTTAGTGTAACTCAGAGGTTCCCAGTGTCGACAGGGCCAGAGTATCCCTAATATTTCACGTACACCATGAATGTCAAACTAATTTCTAACAGTTATCCCCTGGTCTTCATCTTTACCCCAGGAGGTAATTGTCTTTGGACGAAACATTTACAATGCTCCCGTGAACCACTGATTGATCAGAATCAACCTTTTGATGCAGGATTTGTTTTTTAAGATGGAACTCTTGGCAGAAGTCTGTGTTCTACCTACCTATCTATCAAGTGTTGTTCTTTTGACTGACTAAGACTGGACCAAAGTAAACAAGGCATTTGCAGACTGAGGGCCAAGTACTATTATTAATTGCTAATAATGTGGTTGTTTTCTTGAACATTGATGGTAAGATGATATTTTTAAAGTCAAATCTCTCAAGTTCTTCCCAGACTCTTGGAGGGTGCATCCCCGGTTGGTGAACATGTAAATCATCAATATCATGATCAACATTGACGTTACAGTGACGTTAACATGTGTTCTACATTCTTTTGTGTCTTAACTGTTGATTCTCTGATCTGTGTTGGTGATTTCAATAGTTCTCCGAGATGACGACTGTTGTGATTTAGGGCTATACAAGAATAAAGTGCATTGTATTGGATTGTGTACTACACTGGAGGAGACAGTGTGACTGGTCGTGGGTGCTGGCGTGTGACTGGTCGTGGGTGCTGGCGTGTGACTGGTCGTGGGTGCTGGCGTGTGACTGGTCGTGGGTGCTGGCGTGGGACTGGTCGTGGGTGCTGGCGTGTGACTGGTCGTGGGTGCTGGCGTGTGACTGACCATGGCGAAGCCGGACAGCAGGGCGGAGGTGCGGCTGGACGCCTTCAGTTTGGCGCGGCTCAGGTAGAGCTTCCTCCAGGACAGCGCCTGCACAGAGTGATGGTTGGAGCTGACCAGCTCCAGGTAACTGCGCCTCACCCAGTCCCTGTAGTCCATGCCCCCATCGTTAGGAGCCTGCTGCCCCACGGCGGGGGAGGGGGGGCCCATGGGCACGTTTAGATCACTCATGGCTGTCAAAGAAACAAAACATTCATTTGATAAATCCATTAGTTATTAATTATTCTGTTGATTACGGTAATCGTTTAGTCATTTTAATTCCAATGTCTCAGTAAATATGGTCTTTTTTCTATTTGACCAAAACAAAGCTCCCATGATTCTTCTGGAGATCATCTTCATAGAGCAACTTACACATTGGGTTGTTAGATTAAATAGTTTTAAAAAGCGTTTTAATTAGGGCTGGGACAACGCGTCGACGTAATCGGTGACGTTGACGCAAAAAATACACCGACGTATAATATGCGCGTCGGTGCGTCACACACAAAACAAAGATGGCGGTGAGCGGTAGCAATGCGAGTGCCGTGAAGTGCAAGCCGGTGTAACGCTGAGATACACTGCCTTGAAGAGATGCACAGCCTCAGCTGTTTATGATGTAATGCAAACCTGTGCATGCGCGTCTCACGGCAGCCGAAGCAAACCAAGATGGCGGACCGTGAATGTCTTTAAAAGTTAAAATACGAACGAAACCCCAAAAGCTGTATATCATTTTAAAGCTTATTTTCTTATCTACATTTATATACAAGTGTAAACTACATCCGACTTGCATTCAAAAGATATAACACATAATGTGGGCACAAAATAAATCAATTCCGAAATAGTTTTTTACCTTTGGGCTTGTGCTGTACAAATAAATCAGCTCTCCTCCCAGCTTGCAATACATCATTCTCTCTGGAACAGTCCAAAGGAAAATTATATCCACTTGTATTTCCCAAAGTAAAATCCATTCTGCAGAAATAATCCAAAAATGTGCATTTATCTTTAGCGAAAAAAACGAAAAAAAAGAGCACAGATGTTACTCTTTCACTTTTAACGGACTTTTAGCTTTGTTTTTCACCCAAACATCTGGTATTTACGTGTCCCTTAGCTCCTTATCTTTCAAATGAGACTACTCCCGAAAAGCTAGACCAATTTTTGGGTCTGCAATAGCTCCCGTAAGTACAGCTAGTGCTGCTGTTTGCGCATGGAGGACTGATCTTTGTTGTGATCCCAACTTGTTTGCTTTTACTTCCGGGATTTATGATTGACATGTCCTTGTAGCCAATGAGGAAAGCTTTCGAACAAGGGGTGGGACAATGGTGTCCTGTCTTATGTTGTGCCTGTAGAATTGTGCGTAATGGCAGCTAAAAGACGCTCTCGAAGCTGCAATGAATTTACACTCATAAAAAAATAACTGACATTTAAAAAAGAAAAACACACATAGATTAGTAACTTATAAGTACCAATGATAAAAAATATTGTTTTTATGATGATTAAATGTAAGTAAAGATATTTGGCACAATTCGGCAAAGACATTTGGGTATGCCCAACCATTGTGCACGAGCCAAAATGAGGCGGGTGTTAAGAGGTTAATGCAATTTGAGGCGAGATGTTGATGATTCCGTTTTGTCACATGTGGGTTTTAAGAGTCAAAGTTTAGTTTAAGCAGTCAACTGCGCCTGTGAAACCACAAAGCTAATGTTTTCATAGCAGTCCGCGGCTGCTGACGTAGGCTGATGACGTAGGCTGATGACGTAGGCTGATGACGTAGGCTGATGACGTAGGCTGATGACGTAGGCTGATGACGCGTCCTGTGGCAACTCTACAGCTTACAACTAGTTTGTCTTTCTTTGTATCAAACGGAATATTGGCGCCCGTAATAGCCCCTACATGTATTATTCACTGTCATGCCCGCCGTATCTGGACATTTTTCAACATGTGTTCAATATCCTTAATGTGTTTAAATGTTGATTGATTCTCTGATCTGTGTTGGTGACTTCAATGTTGTTTTAAGTCCTCTGAGATGACTTCTACTGTATTCTTTCAGTAACTCTAAAAGAAAGGATGACTGGTTGACCTTTTTATTTGCTACACAATGCATTGTTTTTCTCTTGTACACTCTTACTTGAATTTTATTTTTGAATTTTGAGTTTAAGAAAAAGGTGAGTGGCAGAGTTTTGACTGTTATTTTTATATGAATGAAGAATTTAAGAGATGCACTTTAATTAATGGACTTCAGTAATATAGGCCTATGTGTCTTCAACTTAAATGTTAAACTCTGTTGGTTCAGGAAGGACGCCATGACAGGCTGATGGCTCCCACTGTTTTTGCTGGAAAAGCACTCTTTGTTTAGCTTAAAGCCTTCAAGTTTACATTGGTTACTGTTTTCTTTTAGTTGCTCTACACAAGTATTTGGCTGAACTTTTTCATATTTTTATTGAATGCTAAGCATCAAATGTTTGTTTCAAGAATGATAAGATGCACTTTTTTCAGTAAGCTGTGTTTTCAAGGCTTTAAGGTTTTATGCCACCTCTAAGAATGTCTTATTTTTGAATTTTAAGAGCAAGCAATAAATATTTTTTGTGAAGGAATTCTTTTTTTTTTTTCATTAAAATATTTAAATCAACATGTATACATCAATATTAAGTCAATTAATGGGGAGATAATCGAGAATCGAATCGAAATCGAATCGAAAAAAATAATCGTTAGATTAATCGTTTAAAAAATAATCGTTTATCCCAGCCCTAGTTTTAATTAAACTCAAACCATTTTGTTTAAGCATATGAATATTTATATAGATTACTAAATTAGTTGAATATGAATCGATTCATTGTGATTGATCAATGCCCTTCTACAGCCCTAAAAATAGAGTAAATGTGTAATATTTAAAGTAACAATATGTAAGATTTTCATGTCAAGTCATCATTAAAAGGACCATAATCTGTCAAAGGCATTAATAAAACATGCTCTTTTCCAATACTTCTTTAACTGATCACAGTAGTTCAGAGATATATGGATTTCACAATTAGTTTTACAGCTCCTTAATCTTAGTATTGTTTTCCTTTTGATGTCCCTCCTCCGTTTTACCAATCAGAAAGTCCAGGTTGCCAGAACTCATTGATAAAGTACCATGTGGCCGCAGGAATAAAAAAGGTCTCGTTATGATTCTCAAATCATTTACGACAAAACAAGGAATAAAACCAGGATTTCTATCTTTGTGAAAATAAAGACTTGTTGACAAAACTCTTAGACCATTCAGATATTCTGGTCTCAGCCGGATTCGTCTGCTTATCTGGCAACCCGAGTCACGGAGAGTGCAATACCACTTTTGGCCAAATGTTTACATATTACACATATTTTTTTATTATGTTCAGGCTCTAGTGGAGATCCAAGAGCACTGAGATGTGTCAACGTAAATCTGGAGAGAACATTTTCAGAATCAGAATTATTTTTATTGCCATTGTTAGTAACAGGAAATCACAAACTAGGAATTTGCTTTGGCTCAACTGGAAATCAAGTTGTAAGAGTTTGATGCCCTTTAAAGTAAAACAAACATCTGCTGGTGGGAGGACGGGGATAAAACAACATTTCTGTTTTGAGAAATTACTTTTGGAATGAAGCCTCATCTAAGAAGCTTGTAATGAACTCTGAGGAGTATCTGCAAAGTGTGAGTTTATGAAGGAACAAAAACAAGCCATTCAATACTTTCCCATGACTCTGTTGGCTGAGGTACAGGAAGCCGTTTCTCATGTTTAAAGCCACAAAAACCACACAGATAAGACTGTGCCCGTTCATAACATTCTAATGTGCAACGTAAAAGCAAACAACAGAATGAGTCGCGGTAACGGCTGTTTTTCTGGAAATGAACAAACAACTTTATCTGAAAAGAGCACTTTAGTTCTATTTCATCCTTCCTGACCGCCAGAGGCGGTGCTTTAAGCACTGAATGATCATCTTTGAGCATGCGCAGTTCGAGAATTAAATGACAACAAAGTCACTTGTGACCTCCTCGTGACCCCCGTGAGTCTATATAGGTCACGTGACACGAGAGCCCAGCCTCTTTTCTTCTTCTCGCAGCGCAGGTTTGAGTTGTGCGTGTGTGTTTGAGCGTTTGTGCTACCTACCTACCACATACGTACTGCTTGCACATCAGCTCCGTGACTCGCGTCGAGGCAGCGGGTGGATCTCGCCCCTCAGGGGCTGTGCAAGCTCCGCCGGCTCACCGGTGAGTTCTGTCCACGTGTGTGCGTGTGATTTTTAGTTTAAGCTTTCCGTTTTCGGAGTGAGCTGACGTTTGATGTCCACGGTTATACTGTTCGTTTTCTGTTCAGTTTGTGTTTATGCTCTGTTTGGCCGGTGTTAATTGAGTCGTGTGTGTGGCGTTCCCTGCCCCGACCACGTTGTGTTTGTGTGTACATTTTCGTCTAGTCTCCTGTTTTCAGTGTGTACTAGCGTTTTGTTTCATCTATCAACAGTTATACTGTTCGTCCTCTGTTCAGTGTGTTACTTTTGCTCTGTTTGGGGAGCCGTGGGTGGTGTCCTCTGCCACACCTGGCTCTTTACTCAGCCCACGTTGGGTGCGTGTGTGCATTATTTCGTCTAGTCTTCTGTTTTCAGTTTGTACTTGCGTATTTTTATATCAGCAGTTATACTGTTCGATTTCTGTTCAGTTTGTTGATATTGCTCTGGTTGTGGAGGCGAGTGTGGCGTTCTCTGCCCCACCGGACTCTTTCGTTGGCCCACATTGTGTGTTTGTACACTTTCGTTGGCTCTTCTGTTTTCAGTTTATGCTAACATTAGTTTTTCTTTACCAACAGTTAGACTGTTCGCCCTCTGTTCGGTTGTTTGGTTTTCTCTGTGTGCTTGAGTCGTCTGTGGCGTTTTCAGCTCGACCCGACTCTGCTTACATTGCTCCACCAGTTCAGGCGCGCTCGTTATGCACGAGTCGCTGGGCTGTCGTGGGTGCATGGCACCGATGCCCCGCGAGGATGGCCATGACCTCTGCCCTGCGTGCCTGGGTATCGGGCATTTGAGACAGGGCCTGACGGTGGACGCCTGCTCCAATTGTGCGGTACTGCCACTCTCTGTACGCGTGGAGCGCCTGGCGGCCCTGGATCCGGATGAGGGCTCTTCGGAGGTGCCGCCCTGCCTGCCACCTGCTGCCCAGCCCTCTGGGTCTAAGCGTGCGGCTGTGTCCACTGCTTCCTCGGCTCCGCAGAGGAAGCGTAGGGTGCCTGCAGGGTTGTCTGCACGGATGGACCACCTTGCATCCGAGATGGCCCAAATGAAGGCACTTCTGCAGGATGTTCGCCCGGTTTCGGGGGAACATGTGCTGGGCCCTCCTGTGCCGGACCTGGCCCCGTTGTGGGAGGACGATGTGATGTCTGTGGCTGCATCTGACACTCATTTTTGTCTTGACCCTGAGGAGGTTGATTCCAGGGCCTCTGACGCTGGTTCCTTGGCGTCCACGGGGTGCCTGGACGGAGAGGAGAGTGGGGCGTCCTCTGCCGTCCGCTCTGCACTCGCCCACTTGGGGCTTGATGTCCCGCAGGGAACTGTGCCGTCTGGTAGCGCCTTCTTTAAGCGACAGCGGCCCCTTCCCTCTGTCTCTGTGCCTCCTTCGATGGAGTACGTGAAGGAGTTACATGCATGCTGGACGGATACAAAGGCTATGTCCAGACTGACGTCCGATGGCCGGGCTTTGGCTTCAATGCAGGATGCCCCCAAATTTGGCTTGGGCCACATGCCGCCCGTCGAGCCGGCAGTGGCCTCCTTGATTGTTTCGCCGGAGGAGGCCCTCCGGTCTGATCCGAGGTGCCCTAACCCCCAGTGTCGCCTCACAGATGAGCTGCTGTGTCGGGCGTACGATACTGGGGCGCGAATGGGGCGCATGGGGAACTCTCTTTCCCATTTGTTACTGGGCCTTTCGAACGCACTGGAGGTTTCTACAGTCGATGCCCCGACCCAGGGACTGTTGGATGCATCCCTCCACGCTTTTGCCCTTATGTCGCGGGAACTGGGCCGCCTGCTGTCGACCCTGACTCAGACACGTCGGCAGGTGTGGTTGGCACAGTCACCCCTCACTGAGCCCTGTAGGAGGACTCTCCGGAGTGTTCCGGTGCTTCCGGGGGAGCTCTTCGGTGCGGCTGCGCTTCAGGCGCTGGAGCGCACGGCGCAGGCCACCCGGACGCGTGACCAGCTGGCCCCTCCTGCTGCTACTCCGCGGGTGTATGGTGTTCCACAGCCCTTTCCTAGGGGTTCGCGGCCACCAGGTGTCCCTCCGCCTGACCATAGGGGATTTCGGCCTTCTACCCGGCGGCCTCCCCAGAACGCACGGGCTCTCGGGCGCCCTCCCGGGGTCTCCAGGCCACGGGGGGCTCGGAGATGAGGTCAGGCCGCTGACGGTGGGTTCTTTTACCCGGGAGCAGTTGGACTACTGGACCGCTCACACCTCAGACCTCTGGGTGTTGGGCACGCTCTCCCGGGGGTACACTCTCCAGTTCCACCGTCGGCCTGCGGTCCCTGGCCCCGTCAGGTGGACTGTGATCCACGACCGGGCCAGGACACTGGCACTGTCCGTAGAGATTGCCACCTTGCTGGACAAGGAGGCTATAGTGCCTGTGGACCCCCTGCTGGACCCAGGGGGCTTTTATTCGATTTATTTTCTAGTTCCGAAGAAAACTGGCGACTTGCGTCCGGTTTTGGACCTTCGGGGCCTCAATGTGTTCCTCAAGACGATATCGTTTCGGATGTTGAGGACCCCGGAGCTGTTGCAGGCAATATCTCCGGGCGATTGGTTCACATCCATCGACCTGAAGGATGCTTATTTTCACGTGCCGATTGCCCCGCATCACCAGCGGTTTCTGCGTTTTGCTTTCCGGGGGCGGCATTATCAATTTCGGGTGCTCCCCTTCGGGCTGTCCCTGTCCCCCAGGGTCTTTTCCCGGGTCGTTGCGGCGGCCTTGGCCCCTCTTCAGGCAGGGGGGTTGAGGGTCCTGCCTTATCTGGACGACTGGCTCGTGTGCGCCTCCAGTCGTGCCCAGGCCGTTCGGGACACTCAGACTGTCCTCGACCACGTTGGGCGTTTGGGTCTGCGGGTCAATGTTGCCAAGAGCAATTTGGTTCCGGCTCAGGCAACGACTTTCCTGGGGGTGTACCTAGATTCGGTTGCCATGACCGCCCGTCCGTCGGCTCTGCGGGTCGATGGCATTGTGGACATGCTCCACAGATTTCAGCGGGGTCGGGCGTTGCCGTTCCTGCTGTACCTCAGCCTCTTGGGGAAGTTGACGGCGGCCTCTGCCGTTGTGCCGCTGGGCCTTCTCTCCCTTCGTCCCATGCAGATGTGGCTGAACGGATTACGTTTAGATCCGTCACGCTTCGTTCACAGGCGACGCAGACTCCTGCTCTCGCCGCAGTGCCTGGAGTCCCTATCCTGTTGGCGGGACAGGTCTTGGATCGAGAGTGGTGTCCCACTGGGCTCTCTTCCGTCTCGGAGGGAGGTGGTGCACACCGATGCGTCCCTCACTGGTTGGGGGGCGACGTGGCAGGGCAGGATGGCACAGGGGACTTGGTCTCCAGAGGTCCGCCGGCTGCATGTGAATGCCCTGGAGCTCATGGCGGTCCGCCTTGCTCTCGCGCACTTCCTCCCACGACTGCGTGGCCGGCATGTCATGGTGCGGTCCGACAACACCACGGTGGTGCATCACGTCAACCACCTGGGGGGTACCCGGTCCGTGACGCTGTTGCGGTTGACCCGGGAGCTACTGCTGTGGGCAGCCCCTCGCTTGGCAAGCTTGAGGGCCTCCTACATTCCGGGGGTGCACAATGTGGTGGCGGACCTTCTGTCCCGCCAACGCCCCCAGCCCGGGGAGTGGCGTCTCCACCCGGAGGTGGTGGCCAGCATTTGGACTATGTTTGGCCGGGCCGAGGTGGACCTGTATGCGTCGGAGGCGTCGACCCACTGCCCGCTGTGGTTTTCCCTGACGGACGTGGCTTGCCCTCTGGGCCTGGATGCGCTGGCGCACGATTGGCCCAGTACGCTGCTCTACGCTTTCCCTCCTCTGCCACTGATTTTCCCAACCCTCCTGAGAGTTCTCCAGGAGGGGCACCACCTTCTCCTGGTAGCTCCGTTCTGGCCGGGCCGGATCTGGTTTCCATTGCTGCACAGGCTCTGCTGCGGCTCTCAGAGACCGCTGCCCCGACGGCGGGATCTCCTGTCCCAGCTGGGGGGGAGGCTCCTGCACCCCAGTCCCGAGCGGCTTCAGCTCTGGGTGTGGCCACTGCGGGGTCCAGTGCAATTGTCCCGATGTATGGTGAGGGGGTCGCCCACACCATCTCCAATGCCAGGGCGCCTTCCACTCGACGACAGTACGCCAACCGATGGAAGCTGTTTGACAAGTGGTGTCTGACGTGGGGACATGATGCTGTGCGTTGCCCGGTGCCTGCCATTCTGCAGTTCCTCCAGGATCTCATGGACCGGGGGCGCTCTCCCTCTACACTCAAGGTATATGTGGCGGCAATATCTTGTTTTCATGAGGGTGTGGCCGGTTCTACGGTGGGGAGTAACGGGGATGTTTCCCTGTTCCTGAAGGGTGCTCGCCGTCTTCATCCCCCGCGACGGCCCATGGTTCCACCCTGGGACCTGACGTTGGTTCTGGAGGCGGACCTGAAGTGGGTCTCCCTTAACTCTTTCAGTGCCAATGACGCATATTACGTCAATTCAAGATCTGTGGTTGTGTGCCATTGACGCATTTTATGCAATTGACGTGTTTTGGTGTATTCAGATCCAGACGCATCCATTCTATCATATATCTCTGATCGGGACTGTTTGACAGTATTTTATTCGGCCAGCAGATGTCAGTAGCCTCCTTTAGCTCTTCGATCAGGCATAAAAGGAACCGGAAGCCCAGATCTCATTGTGGGAGTAGGTTGGTTAGAGTGAGCACAAGAGAGTAATCGGGAGAGCGAATATGAGCAGAAAGCGGCAGCTAACGATGGAGGAGGCGTTTGGTGCTGGTGGTACCATCAGAAGGTCGGTGGGTGATGGCCATGAGGAAGGTGGAGGTGATCTGCCTCTGCCTTCAGTTGGCAAAAAGCCTGAGGCTACGGCTAAAGCTAAGTCTAAACATCTGGCCGTTGGCGGGAGTCCTTGCCGCGCACGTCGCTCCAGAGCCGCCGCACGCAGTTCCAGTGGTCCACGTCGGTCCAGAGAAAGTTCCTCGTCGGATACAGGCTCTTCAGAGCTATGGGAACCTGAAGCTGACCCAAACAGCAGTGACTCATCCCCCGATTCCCCCAGAGCAACCGGCAGAGCAGGTAATGCATACATTATACATATGTATTTAGCAATGAAATAAAAGTATTCTTGTATAATTCTCATGATTGTATTTGTGTGTATTTCTAGTAAGCAGAGTGCTGGGCCAATCCAGGAGTACTAATGCTGGTAAAAGGAGGCCTACAGGTAAATAAAATACTCATATATGTATGTATATATGCATGTGTGTGTATATGTATGTGTATAATATGTATGTAGTGTGTAGTGTGTGTGTGCGTGTGTCTCTGTGCGTGTGTCTCTGTGCATGTGTGTCTGTGTGTCTTTGGATATGTGCGTCTGTAGATGTATATGTATTTGGATATGTGTGTATATGGATAGATGAGTTATTGTACAATTCTATACAGGCGCTACATTGAGCAGAGGCGCTGCCAGCGTGAGTCCTGCAAATACAGGTGTGAAGAAAAGAGGTAGGAATATCTTTCTCTACATCACATCAAAACAATAAAACGAGCTCTATTTGATTCCTATTTATTGTATACATTTCCATAATTTATTACAGTTGCAAAGGGTAAAGGCGGCACCTGGCGGAAATCCGGATGGAAACCCACTGTGTTCCCCTTCACTGCAACGCCTGGTCCCCTGAACGCGGCAGCAGAGCTGGAGTCCACCTCGCCTGCTGACTTCCTGGAGCTGTTCCTCACGGACGAGCTGCTCCAGCACATCACAGAGCAGACCAACCTCTATGCTCAACAGCATTTCCTGGCAAACCCAGAGATTCCGCAACACAGCAGAAAGCGTGCATGGAGACCAGTGACCATTCCAGAGCTAAAAAAGTTCTTTGCATTGTCTTTCCTCACTGGTGTTATCCACAAGCCAACCCTGGCAATGTATTGGAACGTGGATGAGATGTTTGTGACCCCGTTCTTCACTAAAATAATGTCCAGGAACCGGTTCCAACTCATATGGAGGTTCCTCCATTACAATGACAACTCTGCAATTGATGTAACTGACAGGTTATACAAGGTTCGCCCCGTCTACGACTACCTGATCAATAAATTCAAGGTAATGTTCCAACCCGGGCAGAATATTTGCATAGATGAGGGGATGTTGCTCTGGAGAGGACGGCTGGCCTTCAAGGTCTACAACCCACAGAAGCCCATAAAGTATGGAATAAAGTCCTATGTGCTCTGCGACTCTGCCACCGGCTACTGCTTTAACCTGCAGCCCTATGTTGGTGAGCCCCGCACGATCCCTGACATTGTTTTTTCTCTCCTTGACCGTCTCCCAGGTGCCGGCCACACTCTGTTTATGGACAACTACTACAATTCTGTGGCATTGTCTGAGCAGTTGATGGCAGTAAAAACAAATGTGTGTGGGACGCTAAGGAAGAACCGGGGAGAGCCTGAGAGCATTAGGGACGTGACCAAGACTGAGCTGAGTGTGGGGGGGAGAGTCGCGGTGAACAATGGGAAGGTCATGGTTCTGGCGTGGCGGGACAAACGGATTGTCAAGATGTTGACAACATGTCACCATGACAATATGACTAGTGTCGACGTTTGGCAGCGAGGACAGAGGGAGAAGGTGTCTGTCCTAAAACCGGAGTGTGTCGATGCCTATAACTCCTCCATGAATGGCGTGGATCGATTAGATCAGAACATTAAATACTACCCGTTCGTCCGGAAGTCTCTGAACTGGACCAAAAAATTTGTAGCTTACCTGTTCCAAATCGCAATGTACAATGCCCACACTCTCTACAGAGCCAGGAACGGGAACCGGGAATACAAAACCCTCTTGGAATTCATGCAGGGGGTCATGAGGTCCTGGACATTGAAGGTCCAGGATGAGGACGAGGAGGACATCGAGGACATCGAGGACGAGGAGGACGAGGAGGACATCGAGGACATCGAGGACATTGAGGACAAGGAGGACGAGGAGGACCACAACGAGGAGAACGAGGTGATCGTTGCATGTGTGGAGGAAGGAGCACCACGAAACCCCAGGGCTCCATATAACACGGATCCAGAGAGCAGGCTCGATGAGGGTGCCAGGCACAAAGTGGAGTACCTGCTGTCCTCCGGCTCGAAGACCAGACCCTCGAGGAGATGCAGGGTCTGCATGCGCAAAGGCCTGCGCAGTGAGACCAGGATGTGGTGCAAGGCATGTGGTGTCCCCTTACACAAAGGAGAGTGCTTCACAAAATATCACACACAACAAGATTACACTATATAGACAGAGACACATGCACGCACACATGCACGCACACATGCACGCACACATGCACGCACACATGCACGCACACACGCACGCACACACGCACGCACACACGCACACTCTCAGCCAATCAGCACTTTATGTATATAGTTATTTGTTTGTAATTTATGTTTGTACATTTCTTATTCTGTGTTCTGAGTATTATTCTGTGTTCTGAGTATTATTTTGCTATCAAAAGCACTTTATTTTGAGTCATTTCCCTTATTTTATACATGGGAAGAATGTTCTGTTGTGTGAGAAATGACTAAAGTAAAAAAAAACTTTTCAAAGTCACTTTTCTGCATTGTTTGCTTATTTTCACAAACACCTCATTTTCTCAGCTTTATGTCGGAAACTGATGATTTCTGTGAAAAGTTTACCTTACTCCAATGGTGATTACAGAAGAACTAAAGCCGATAGAAACACACTTATTTTTTCTGAATAAACTAGAGGGTCCAATCTTTCAGAATATGGTCTCAGATTTAGGCTAGTCATAGCAGAACATATTCTATGGGTCTTTAAAAGTCGGTGAAAATCAGCAAAACGGCTGGCACTGGAGGAGTGATGTTCTGAAAATGTCTGGCACTGAAAGAGTTAAGACCGCTTTTCTTCTGGCTATGGCCTCGGGTAAGCGTGTGAGTGAACTGCAGGCTCTGTCGTTTCACGAGTCCTGCTGCCGATGGGATCCCAATGGTCTGGGGGTTACGCTTTGGCCGGATGCTTCCTTCCGCCCAAAGGTGTTCACTGGTGCGGTCCTTCCACTTAGTTTGGCCCGGTTTGGTACTGGGGCCTCTGTAGAACCGCTTTGTCCTGTCAGGGCATTGGAGGTTTACCGAACTGCCACAGCCAGTGTGCGGGGGTCGGATCGCCTCTTCGTGTGCTATGCCGGCCCCAGGAAGGGCCAGGCTCTGTCGTCCCAGCGCCTCTCCAAGTGGGTTGTCGAGGTGATCAGACAGTGCTACCTCTCCCATGGGCGCCAGCTGCCTGCTGGGGTGAGGGGTCATTCGACCAGGGGCGTCTCTGCCTCCTGGGCTGCTATGAGCGGTGTGCCTCTGGACGCCGTCTGTGCGGCCGCCTCCTGGACGTCGCAGTCTACCTTCGCGACGTACTACAGGGTCAATGTGGCGGTCCCTGGTCCGCTGGAGGGGGTGCTGCGGCACCATTCGACGTTATGAGGTGGGTGTGTACCTCTCGTTGACCCCTCGGGACCTTGTTGGTATTTGTCATCCAGTGCTTAAAGCACCGCCTCTGGCGGTCAGGAAGGATGAAATAGAACGAAAGTTACGACTGTAACTACGGTTCTATGAATCCTGGATGACCGCCAGAGCGTCCAGTCCCTCAGGGCCACGGTCTGCTTGCGAGGTGAAAAGGGGCTGGGCTCTCGTGTCACGTGACCTATATAGACTCACGGGGGTCACGAGGAGGTCACAAGTTACTTTGTTGTCATTTAATTCTCGAACTGCGCATGCTCAAAGATGATCATTCAGTGCTTAAAGCACCGCCTCTGGCGGTCATCCAGGATTCATAGAACCGTAGTTACAGTCGTAACTTTAGTTTGCAGATGTGTCAACACCACCCCCACACCTGTGCATCAGGGCTTTCACTGACAACAGGGAAAATACTTTTACTTTCATAAATCAAGTGAGGAGACAAATCACAAAACTGGACATTTTAGGCAGAACTTGGAGTCATCAAACTAGCATAAAAGCTTTTATTTCCAGTCTAAAAAAACATCCATTTTCTTTGCTTGACCAAATTAAATGTTGCCATTTTTTGTTGTTGTCAATTATAATTGTAATGTAACTGGTTACGATTGTTATCATGATCATCTCGTGAATGAATGGTTATGATTAGGATGTTACTTGGCGACCATTATTCTTTTATAATGTGGATTAAATCATGATGTATTTAATTGTGAGAAACTTTAAGACAAGTTCTACACATGGATACATAACATTGGTTCTAGAATGCTTCTTTGCTTTTTTCATTTTGACTGAAAGCTTTGTGTAATACAATATTACGATTAAACATCTTTCTACTATATTAGAAATACATAACACTACCATTAGTTTAATTCCTAGAGTTTGTCAGTATTTCAACATCATGCTGTAAGATAAAGACGAAACATAAAAATAACTTTAAAAGCTCTTTAAAAATAAAATCGTATAACTTGGTTTCTTCTGTCGGTGATGAACAGCCCATGCAGTGTTTCCCACACATAGACTAATCTGTGGCGCACCGCCACAGATTAGAGACCGCCCGCCACAAATTGCGTTTCGTATTATATATATTTTTTTTGTTACGCTATTTAAAACATGCATCGTCTAGTGCCGCCGCAGCGGTCAATTTGACAGCGGGGAGGGGGGTTTAAAATGTGGCGGCCCTTCGTAACTCTCACTCAAGCTACGCGTCTCTCCCACATACAGAGACCTACACACACACAGCCCCTCCCCTTCGTGCACACCGCGTGTCTCCGTCTCCATCAGCGATCATCGCTGTAAGCAGCTGTGTCTATTAATTTACCGCGGTAAAGTGGCCCGCATCTTTCAGCTCTATGAACATGCGGCCCGCATCGGGGAAAAGACGGTGCGCGTTTTGTTGAGAACTTACGGTAACAGCGGAACGTCCTTTCGGAGTCACCCATTTTTATCGAACAGAAAGCGCGCTGGGGTCAGGGAGACACGTTTTTGTGATTAAAACCTTATAGAGATGCCACCCGGCACACATAGCACCAGCCCCCTACGATTCCTCCGGCAGATTGTGAGTCCTCAGGAGGATAGCCACTCTATTGTTTACATGTATAAAGTACACAATTTGGTCCGCTAGTGCAATTTTCAAGTATTGTAACTATTTACTGGAATAAGGTGTGCGACTAATTTCACTTGACTCATGACCTTATTATTGCCCTCTGCCACTGTACCAAAGACCAGAAACTTTTACTGTAGAAATATTGAGAAATATTGAGGTAAAGTAGCCATTTTGGTCCAAAATACCTCAAATAGTCAAAACATGTCACTTTTGATCTACTGTAACTTTTTACTGTAAAAAGGTGTGCGACTAATTTCACTGGATTCATGACCTCATGATTGTCCTCTACCACTGTACCAAAGACCAGACACTTTTACTGTAGAAATATTGAGAAATATTGATTTAAAGTAGCCATTTTGGTCCAAAATAGCCTAAAAATAGTCAAAACATGTCACTTTTGATCTGCTGTAACTTATTACTGTAAAAAGGTGTGCGACTAATTTCACAGGATTCATGACCTCAACATTGTCCTCTACCACTGTACCACTGTACCCCACTCCCCCCCCCCCCCCCCCCCCCCCTCGACGACCACCACACATTGCCTTCAAACCTGTGGGAAACACTGCCATGTATGTGCTTACGTGTATATTTAGAACGGGATCCTTTTACCAAGTTTAGCTGACACAACTAGCCCTTTTTAAAACACCATAAGCACAATTCACACCCATTAAACAAACACTTTAAACACTTTGATTTAATTTTCAATCCGCTGTGAATGTATTTGACTGTGGCTGCATCCAAATTCAGCGAAAATGCCTCGTCCTACATCCTTCCTAGTCTTCTCTTTTCTTTTAAAATGTGCGTTTTCTGTGACATGGCAGCTCCAGAGTTTGTCCATGTAACATTTATAACGTTTTAAATCTTTAATACGCACAATTTAATGTCAACAAAGATAGAGGAGGGACAAAAAGTTTTATATCCAAATTCGGTTGCAGCCTGCAGCTAGCAGAGCAGCACGTGCTGCTTCCTGATGCGTGTCGCACTCTCTGCATACATTACTTTAATATTCTTACCTGATGTTGAAACGTGTCCTAAAGTGAAATAAACTGCAGATAGCCCGTGTGGGGGATATCTGCGAATGGGGAAGAGTTGATACTATTTTTCTACAGACTTTTTTTACTGTCCATGCTTGTCTGTTCTTGTCTTTAAAGTGGTTCCGGATACAGCGGTCTTCATGTTGTAGCTAGATCCAGTCCTGGCATGGCATGGCATGGTCTGCATCATTCTGTTCATTTATGCAGAGTTAGATGTTGAGCTGCAGTTGTGCTGAAGGCATCGCAGCAAATGATACTACAGCCCAGAGCGGAAAAACAAACCGGGCTTCCGCTTACAGTTAAAAACATGTACCGGAAATACCATATTCAAGTCTGGGAAACTCATCTGTCATTGTTAATTTTTTTTTTTAGCTTAGTTGATTAGAGTCAAAATAAATGCGACGAATTTATATTATAGCAAATCATACGAAATTAGAAGCTAAAATAGGTTGGTAGCAATAAGTATTTAAAACTACATTCTGAGAAAATCCTGAAAAATAAAGTCAGGATTTTCTACTTCCGGGTGGATCATCAAGACTATTGGTGCTCCCAATTGTCAATCATTCTGGTGCGAAACAAGAGTCCACAAACCATTCTGACCCGTGCTGGAAGAAGTGCTTTGTCCATTTGTAGAGCTAAATAGTCAGAAGTGTGTGTTTATAAGACTGTATGAGTAATAGAAAATTGATGAATCAAATGTTAATAAGTCTTCCTCAAGAATAACTTCTTGTTTCACCTGGTAAATGTTTTTCTAGGTTACAGATCTAATGTATAAATGCAGTTTTGAAAAACCATCAATGCATCTTCCATCTGCCCAGAACAGGTGTCTCCAACTGTTTTCACCAAGAGCTATTTTCCCAAGACTAAAAACACAGAGCTACTCCTTTAAAAGATAAGAAACGTTATCCCAATTAGAGGTGATATATTGGTGAGAAAAAGCCTGGTATCGGGTCATTATTTTTCATTACATATTCATTCCTTGTGCACAAAGTCTAATAAATAATACATTGTGAAATATTCAGTTTACTTGATTTGGTCATTTCTTCTTCCTTTGGCGAGCTACCTGGAAGTGGGAGGAAAACTACTGTTGGCTCCCGAGCGACAGGTTGGAGACCCCCGGCCTAGAATGACTAAACCAAGGGGTCTAATCAGCATGAGAAAGTTCAAGAAACAACAACTTCAACAACAAGTGGACTTTTATTGGGACGGAGGCTAAACTACAAAGCAAAGCAACATTTATATACATCATCTCAGATCGATAACACTGATGTAGAGGAGTCTCCCTGATGGGGCTTTGCAGACATGTTTCTACAGCAGTTGTCCTACACAGAGCATAATAAAAAGTCTTATAAAACATTTTCAGAATGTTAATAGACAGTGTATAATACAAGTTTAAAAGTAACACTGTTGACAAAGTTTAAAAGTCAAGTAACATTCTGCAGATTCAGCCTCTCCACATGTTCAGCTGAAACTGTTAAACCAAGATCCAATGTTTCCTTAAGGCCATGGCAGAACGCAGATGACACGATGTAAAGAAATACCACAAAAGCCATTTGTGACCCATGACGGTCTACGATAACGACTGCTGTGTAATCAGAGAATACATCAGAAAGACGAGTGTCTGCACTCACTCTTCAGTGCAAAAAAGATACTTCATGGTCTGCTGTGCAAAATAGTGGTAAAAGGAAAAACAGTTTTCAAACATTTGATTCTATAAAAGCTACTGCAGACTGAAGGCACATTCTGAGCAGTATTGCACTCTGGGACAGTCCAGAAGCTGAACTTCCACATTGCACACATCAGGGCTGTATCTGAATGTCCGAACTCGCCCTCATTTGGGAACTTGTGTTTTAGAGCTGCCTGAGGATCCAGCAGGGGAACAGTAGAACACTCAACATTTCCTACAGTGCAGCGTGAAAAATAATGTTGCTGGACTGGTCAGTAGAGACCAGTATTTCACAATTATTTCAAATTAGAATTCTGTAAATTAGCTGGAATTGGGCAGAACATTATGGCTTTCAGTTTAATTAGGCAGTAGGTGATGTCAAACATGCTTTGGAGGTCCTGGCCTGAAAAGTGGTACAGACTATGCTTTGCCAGAGTTTGGAAACAACAGCGGATACAACACGACTGAATGAAAGCTGTCGTGTTGTTTCACACTTGGTTGCTCCGAGATTAAGAATCTATCACTCGCCATCAAAGCATTAGCTGTAGAGACCCCAATGCTACCTGCTTACCTTAGAGAGCCATTTCTAGTTTCTAGGATTACTGGTGAATGGGATCAAGGCCTGGGCGGGCACTGGGGTCAGGGCCCGGGTGGGCACTGGGGTCAGGGCCCGGGTGGGCACTGGGATACAGCCCTGGTGCAGATGATGCACATGTGCACGTGTTGTGAACCACGGTGGTCAGCGGTTACTTGACTCTGACCACGGAGGTGCTGTGGATAGACTCCATGAGCGCGGCCAGCCGGCTGCACAGGTCGTGGGCCGCATGCACCTGGATCTTTGGAGGGTCTTTGAGGACCACAGTTTCTGCTGAACAGTCCAGCACTCGGGGAAGGAACTCCCCCAGCTTCACCTGCAGAGACTCTGAGCACACACATACAAGCACAGGCAGCGTTAGAGAGACCAGAGAGAGGGGCCAGAGACCAGAGCGAGACCAGAGAGAGACCAGAGAGAGGCCAGGGAGAGGGGCCAGAGACCAGAGCGAGACCAGAGAGAGACCAGAGAGAGGCCAGGGAGAGGGGCCAGGGATCAGAGAGAGACCAGGGAGAGATCAGAGAGAGATCAGAGAGAAACCAGAGAGAGACCAGAGAGAGACCAGGGAGAGGGGCCAAAGACCAGAGAGAGACCAGATAGAGTGACCAGAGAGAAACCACAGACCAGAGAGAGAGACACAAGAGAGACCAGAGAGAGACCACAGAAAGAGACAAGATGGAGACCCAGAGGGCAACCAGAGGGAGACAAGAGGGAGACAAGAGGGAGACAGAGAGGCCAGAGACAGGCCAGAGAAAGAGACCACCCTCTGGTGGTAGAAAGATGAAATACATATATTTTCATCCATGCCACATGTTAATGCATATATTGTTTAAATAATGTATAGTTTTATAAATCCCAGTGACACCCCACCCTCACATCTCAGACCCTCTCTGGTCTCTTACCGTCCATGTCGTGGCTGAGGCAGCAGCACCAGTGGCTGCGGATGCTCTCCAGTGTCTCTCGGTCCTCTTGGCTCAGGGCGGGGTCCCGGCTCATCAGGTGCAGACAGGGGATCACCGACTCGTCCATAACGGCCAGGGCCTCGGTCACTTTGTCCTCCTCACCGCTGCAGAACAACCGCGACGCGCTCTCGTTCAGCGTCTGCACACAGTCGTAAAGAGTCCACGTCATGTGCAGCTTTCTAATGTGTTCCTCCTTTCATAAGATTTTAGATCTACAGCCCGAGTCCTGGATCTACAGCCCGAGTCCTGGATCTACAGCCCCAGTCCTGGATCTACAGCCCGAGTCCTGGATCTACAGCCCCAGTCCTGGATCTACAGCACGAGTCCTGGATCTACAGCCCCAGTCCTGGATCTACAGCCCCAGTCCTGGATCTACAGCACGAGTCCTGGATCTACAGCCCCAGTCCTGGATCTACAGCCCCAGTCCTGGATCTACAGCCCCAGTCCTGGATCTACAGCCCGAGTCCTGGATCTACAGCCCGAGTCCTGGATCTACAGCCCGAGTCCTGGATCTACAGCCCGAGTCCTGGATCTACAGCCCGAGTCCTGGATCTACAGCCTGAGTCCTGGATCTACAGCCTGAGTCCTGGATCTACAGCCTGAGTCCTGGATCTACAGCCTGAGTCCTGGATCTACAGCCTGAGTCCTGGATCTACAGCCTCAGTCCTGGATCTTGTTGTATTAAATATAGGCTAAAAGGCGATGTGAATTAGATTGACCTGAAATTGAACTCTGTCTGTCTCCAAGCAAAAAGAAAGACCTTGTATTGCCCTACTCCCCTTGTCCCATTTTGTCCAAAGTGCATGGGTGAGTTAATGATAGTTAATCTGGGGGGATTCTGCTAATCTTTTCAAGTTGTGAAAGAAGGAGAGCTTTCTGCCTTATCTCAAAGGAACCAATAAATCTATAGGCTGGGGAGGGGGAGTGTGTGAATGATTATGTCTAGGTCTGGCGAGACGGAGAAGACATGATGGAGGCCGGACCCGGGACCCGAGAGAAACGACACGCCCCCTTCTTCATGCACATTTGCTTAAATAACCTCATGCTTGTTTTAGACTAGACTGGATCAGGGACAGCAGTGTGACTTTGCGTGGAGCGCCCACTAAAGTCATACTTTATACTTTATATAGGGAATAAGGGATAGTTAAAGTTGGTCCAGGTCGTTGTGTTAGATTCTTTTGTATTAGGGAAATAAACCTTTTTGAATTTAACTTTCTGAATCATGGTCATCTTTATAAGGGATTTTGAACACGTCATTTTTTAATACGATAATTGGTGACCCTCGACGTGATCCCTTTGATGACTTTTCGCCTTCCCTTGGACTCTGCGTCTCTCCTCAAAGCGGCCGCTGAACTGAAGGTAAGCAGATACCTTTTGACTAATTAAAAATCTGCATATTGGACTAAACAAATTAAGGGGAGAGAAGTTTTGTCCACGGAGGAGCTAATTCAAAAAGTAAAAATAGTAAAAGCCTAAAAAGTAGTTAGAACCCTGCGAGAATATATTAAAAGTAAAGATTTTTTGAGAAGCCTTGCCAGAAACAGGAAAGCCCGCTGTGACTAGCGTGGTTGACGGACGCGTCAACACACAAGTTAGGTTTAACCCATTGGAACCTGGGGGAATTTTGGGCCCCCCCGAAAAATGGAGACAGGCATTCCAATCGAGCAGCTATATAGAGAAATAGAGGCTCAGATTCTGAGTGGTCTGGATAAAAAATATAGGAACAAGGCAAAACGAAAGGCTGTGAAAGCATGGGAAAAAATACAGAACAAAAGGGTCATACCTGAGTATATGACAGCGTCCGCATTGGCTAAGATATTGCGGGAAGAGGAAAATAATTTAAAACAGGATAAACTTGAGCTTGAGGGAAAGCAAGGAGAGAGTTGGAATGAGCGTAGGAAAAATTAAAAAGAAACTAAAAAAGGCTGAGAAACTGAGGACCAAGGTACATAATTTTGCTTTGGCTGCCACGGCGTTGGCAAAATTACCGATGGTAAGTAAAGACAAGGAAACAGAAAACGGAGCAATGCCGGTGAGTAATATATACCCATCCCTACCCACGGCTCCACCAAAGTACTCTCTAGGTTTAGAACCAGTAAGCCTTATCTATTATGCCACAATTTAAATTTTCAGGAGAAGTGGCGGTAAGAAGAGAGGGGACTTGACTTAGGTAGACACCAGGTAAGCCAAATCTAATATTGCCACAATATAAATTTTCAGGAGAAGTGGCGGTAAGAAAGAGAGGGACAATGACTTTGTAGACAGAGCTAGAACCGACCCGTGAAGGCACCTACAGACAATGTTGAAGATGAAACCGCTAGTAGGTACCCAGGATTACGAGACCGCTAGACAGAGAAGGCAAATGTAGTTAATAGCCGCACGCAAGCCATGACTAGACGACATGATATAGGACAAGGATACGGTGCCTGGCCCCACCAGACTGAATAGCGAAAACAGCTAAAATAAGGACGAAATTCGCTCTGACAGTAGTGGATGACGGTAGACCAGGACCGGGAGAAACTAGACCGTGGCATGCAGAACAGTCTCAGACAAAATCCATGTTCCATCTGAACCAGACAGCCAGCTGGGGGATACCATCCTGGTGTCTGGTGGACAGATGCAGACGTATAAAAGACAATAATGCCTCCATGGGTGCCTGGAGCTGGAAACGGAGTGCCAGTCGGATCACATGGTTTTGACAGTCATGATGTCGCGTAGGGGGACGGCCGCAGTGATGGCATGCATGCAGTAAACCATGGAGAAGAGCTATGGAAAGACAAGCTGGTACTCGGGATGTTTTGTGATGCTGTCCAGATTTGGCCAATAGGCAATGCCTGGTATGAAGCACTGAGGGAAATCGTTCCAACTCCGGCTGCGCTGCCCCTCGTGAGTTTAACTTGGCGGGAGGCTGAGACCCTCTTGGATGTTAGACTGGAGTGTGACCAATGGATTGGACACATGTAGGAAGACACCCTCACAAGGTCATGAAGTCATGCCGTTTAGTAGCAGCTTTTTGTAAGGGTTGACCAAAACAATTACGCTCAAAGAGTGGTAAGACAACCCAATAATATAGTAACCCGGATGCAGCTCATGTGGTAAACAATATGTTAATGCGGGCCACATTGAAGCGTTATGTTTGATAATAAAACTGATAGATAGAAAGAGTGTTGAAGAGATGACGTGGCAACTTGGGTGATAGGTACAGCGTAGTGAAGCGAAGAAATAATGCCTCACCCTAATTGAATAAAGGACCTGTAAGCAATGAACGAATGATGCCTGCTGGACCGTCCCACGTCCTCACACAACAGGACTGGACTAGGATGGGGCCAGATGGTGGGGGGCGAGGGGGCCGGGAGGAAGACGGGGATAGCGGTAAGGGGCAGGATGGTGTCACCGCGGTGACAAGCTCGGCACTGGGTCGAGGGACCGGCCCCTGGGAAGGAGAGGCCTCCCGACGACCATGACGCCTGAGAATTGGTGCAGGGGGAGGGGCCCGCCCAGATATGCATGGGATACCCAGACCAGAGCCGCCTGAGGCCCTCCCTCCCCATGGACGCGTCCGAAGGACACATCCCTGGCCCCGTGAGATGGTCAATTATGTCCAGCAGGGGATCGACGGGGGCGAGATAGAAACTTGTACTATCTGACAGTAGGGCTGCCGAGGATAATGCCTGGGTCTTGGTATACCAGCAAGATCCTATGCCCCCATAAGGGTGAGACGATCCATCCTGATGACCAGTGTGGACACTGGCGCCCACTTACGTCGAACCAGCACTACAAGAGACCCCGGTCCACGCGCGGAGGAGCACATCACCACTGTTGGATGTCTGGACTTCCGGAGTACAGCCTCTCTCGAATCGTTAAAGACACAAATTGAATTGTAGCAGTTCTCAATCCAGTAACTCTAAAAAAAGTAGCTGTAGCAGTTGTGTTTTTACTTCCTGACCACTGAATCACTCTAACAATCATCAGATGTAACAATTATCCCCACTCTGTCGTTAAAGTAGTTACCTCTCAACATATAGTTGCTGTCCACCAAGTTTATTATCATTAAGTAATTGTTTCAGATATTGTGATCAGATAAACCATCTAATCAGTCTTAATGTGACTCTAGTACTTTTATTACTCTCTATGGCATCAGTCTATATGCCCATGTATGATGTTTCATTACATTCCAGTGACTCACTCACTATAGACTTTCACTTTCCATCATTATGCAAAACTTTACTTCCTTTTAGAAGACCACGTCCATCCATGTCCTGACAATTTCACCCAAATAATATTAGATAAGAAACTGTTTGATCAAAAGTAAACTATTTTCACCATTGGTTCATGATTGATACAATCCACTTCACAGTGCAGAAGTGACCACTGTAACAACAAATTCTTCCCCAACTTTGATTAAGACTCTTCTTATCTGAAACTTAATTGTGGATCATCGCCATTTATATATTTACATAGCTTCTTCAACCCATTCTGTTTAATTGTTCAAAAAAACACTTTCAAAAACCGTTTCACATGTGATTTTAAAAAAACCTTTCTTTCTTTCAACTGATTATGAAACCCTTTTTATAGATCCTTCATTGATCCATATATTATTGTATACTTATTTCAAACTGATTTATTCCCAATTATTCTCAAGTTTATTTGCAATTCCTATCTTTCTATCTTCTATTTTTCTATCCTGCTATCCACAAATTTATCCAATGATATTAATGATTTCTCTTTGAGTGGAGGTCTCATTTTCTGTTGACCTCTCGACAGCAGGATGTTGGCAAATTAATGTTCTTCGTCTCTCCCAGATCGCTCCCAAACGCACTGTGTCACATTCACTCACTCTGAAAATGTGGCGTACAGTAAAAACATTCACAAATAATTAGTAATTTATTATAACTTATTCAATTCTCTGTTTCAGATGAAATCTATTCTTTATTAAATAATTTCTATGAAGTTCGGTACTGTCAGCATCGTTAATCTAAGCTATAGAAATAGTAAACTGTGGTAATGGCGTTATGTTACTGAGTCTCTAATCCTTGCTGATGTGTGGTGTTACACAGCCTGCTTTCTGTGCCAGTATTTCAAATTTAATCTTATTCAGTTCTCTGACTGTGTTGTCTTGTCGCTTGAATTTGTTTCTTGACGCTGTCCTTCTTCCTCTGGAGATCTACCTTGATGTGCACATTGTCAGAATAGAGGCTTTTTGTCATACTCCTTGACCAATAACTTCATCAGTTTGTGTTCACTGGCTGATGGGCTAGTTCTGCCTGGTATCTTAGCCTCTCAGGGTTTCGATTTGCCCCTTGTGGTTCACAACTATAATTCGGGTCTTCTCCAGTAATGTTTCTCCAAGTCTGATTGCTTGTAGACACATTTACTCTTGCATTCTCTTCTGGTCCCAATGGTTCAATCAGGACATTATCAGGTTGTATGTGTGTAGGAAACATCTTCCTTCAAAGCATTCCCACACTCTACCTACTGTTACAGGCACAAAAGATTCTGCATCATTTACTGATGTCTTCATATAGTGATGAGTTCAGCTCTTCTGTAAGATTTCCTCCATGGCAAACAACACCCAGGAGTGTCGCAAACAGTCTCTTGATATCACCCTTGCAGAATTGTCCCCAAAAGTAATTCTCCTCTAGTTTCGAAATCCAAGGATGTGGCTCATCTTGGAATCAAGGCAGCTTCTCATGACCTCAGACAGATCTGTGTTCTCCGATGGTCTGTAATCCAGGTCTCCTCAACAGACCCTGCAGGACACATTTTTATTGATTGGTTTGATTATTCTTGAATCGTACTTGAAGAAAGACATTGGTTGTATAATCTTCACCCTCTAACTTCTGTGTGGTTCTCGAAGTGGATTTTCTTGAGTAAATGCAGGAAGCTGTGAAAATGGATCGGAGTGTTTCAGAGTGTCCTGGAGTCAGTGGTTCATGTTTATGTGAGAAATGTCCATCACTGTTTATCATTACTTTCCAAATTCTTGATGTCTTCGTTTCCTTTGTTTAAGTCTTTTAAAAGTGTCTTTGCCTCATATTCAAAAACTCAAGTGTTCCAAGTTCAATCCGACGTTTCTCTTTCCTCATTCGACCTCTAGACCTTTGTTCTCTTCTGCTTTGTATGTAGAGTTAGGACTTTGAGTGTTTTGATGACTTCGCTATGAATCGTCCTCTTCGATCGGCCAGCGGACAGTCGATGTTTCTGACCTCCGGTGATGCCATTTTTTTTTCGAAATTTTAATGTATTGTCCACCAAGTGGATTATTTGTCTGTACACTTCTATTGTGTGATAGGTTTATCAAACTAGGTTTAGAAACTGTTCGCGTCCATTTGCAGAAGCACTAATAAAAAATCCGCGCAATTAATTAATAATTCAAAAGTCTAATTTGATCACTCCATTTGATTTTATCTAATTCAGAGATAGCAAAACCATCCTTTTTTAATAACTAGCTTCAACCCCAATTGTATAGTCAATATTTATTATCATTTTATCTCTCTTTTTAGTTGTTTTATTGACTGATGCATTCTTACTCATATGTGTTGTAATTTTAACTTTGTTTTTTGCCAACCCTTCGTGCGGTAATCTATTACTCTATTTGTTATATAAATCCTAAAACAGTCAGCAAAAAAATGCAACCTTTTGGGGATTCCTAAAGTGAATCAAACAGACCCAAATATGATTGCAGCATATTTTTGGTTAATTAAAGAAATGTTTGATCATTTTTAGACCAAAGATAAATCTCTCAGCTCAGTCAGTTGCCAAAAGTCCTGTGTTCAGTTCTAACAGATTATTGTGTGTAATGATGTCATCTTACAAACAAGGGCATCATGGGACCTCATTTGTGGATAGAATACACTGCACTGATTGAGAGCAGCTTTCATTGGATTGTTGAAGGACGAAGGTCGTCTTTTTCTCCACTGGACCTGGCTCTGGTCCAAACACTTTGCTCTCGTTCAACTACAAAAGAGAGAAAAACAAATTCCGTGTGAGTTTCATCCATAACATCAAATCAAAAGTGAACATTAGAGTGTATTCTAACTCTATCAAACTCATAATGTCTAAAACATGCTAACATTGTTTAATATATGACTATACATCAACACTGAGTTTTATGCTGAGATATTTAACACAAGAGTGATTATTCATAAGAACAGGCATCAAATTGCTTTATATCAAACACTGAACATTGTTCCTCTTTCACATAACTCCACCTGGTGAGTCGTCACTAACAAAGGCAATAATTAAAGGGACGATATGGACTTCACACACAACAAAAATGATCTAGTCTCAACTCTCTCAAAACAAACACAAAATAAAAAACAAAAACTATTCAACACGTGTAAGTCCACTTGTGTTCACAAAATAGCAGCTTTTGTGATCTAAGCAATAACAGCATCAAAAATCTCGAAATCCAAAAATCTAAACTAGTCTTGTTTAATTTCCAATCTAAAGACTGTTAAAATCAATGAACTTGTGCATTCTTTGATTTTAAGGCAAATTTACAAAATGGTTATAATCTTATTACCAAATTATTATCACCTGTGAAATATTTGTCCACTGGTTCCACCCCTTTTTTATTTATTTATTGTCGTCAATGCAGAAAGCATAAATCAAATAACTAGTACAGTCAGATTTAACAGAATGGGACTACTGTCTCCTCTCTCTCGAACAGCACAGGGAGGGAGGGGAGAGAGGGGGAAGAGGGGGGTAAGCTGAGTTGAGTTTGCAGAAAGGAGAAAACTCACTCACACGTTCAGGCCTTTATCTAAAACTCACTGTACAGTCAATGCAACTAAACATATTTTAATTCATATTAGTCAGACTTTGTCCTGGGCCGCAGGTAACACTATTTAAGACTCTAAATTTAGCTTGAATTCATTTCTAACTGATGGATCATATGTCAAAGATATTGTCATCCATCTTGGCCATGTATTGACAATAACCCACGTCCATAACTCTACTGCAAGCTTTTAGAGACACCATTTTAGACCACACTATAGACACACTATAGACACACTGGACCTCAATTTGGACAATGTGCATCAACTTCTATGCAAAGGTTTAAACTAAAAACTAAAAACTAACCTGAAACCCCTGAACTTCTTATCTCTAAAACACATTTCTGTGTGTCTCAATCTCTGACTATAGTCTCTTCACTTCTGTTCCTACGCGCCTCGCAACTATGACTCTACGTCTCTCTCTCTGCTGTTCCTACGACTCTATACATTCTCATAATACTCACTTTGTGTGCTCTTATCCCCATGATCAAATTCTCTGTGTCCCTGTTCCTGAGTCTCTGTGTCTCTTGTGTCTTCCTGAGTCTCTCGTGTCTCTGTCTCCTCTTGGTCTCTCTGTGTCTCTCTGTGTCTCTCTGTTGTCTTCTGTGTCTCTCTGTGTCCCTCTGTGTCTCTGTGTCCCTCTGTGTCTTGTGTTCTCTCTGGTCTTGTGTCTATCTTTATTCTGTGTCTCTGTCGTCTTGTACCTCTACTTTCTTATGTCATTCTACACTTTTATGTTCATTGTCTATATTCATTTACACCTGTCCTTACCACAGTCCTACGTCATTCCACACTTCTCTGTTCTTACCCACTTACTTTTTGTCCTTCTGCACTTTAAGACACAACACAGCTATTGACACATACACTTTTACATTAAAGAGACATATTCTTTGTCTTTGTTCTATTCTAACGTTAAAAACAAATTTATTCTTCCTAAAAGGCGTTACTTGTGAACAATTAAACGTAGTATCTCTTTATGTTTGAAGCCTGAAATGTGGCGAAATGTGGAAAGGTTCAAGGGGGCCGAATACTTTTGCAAGGCACTGTATTTTTTTTTTCATAAAAATGCTTGTTGCTACATACAAGTTGTATTATAATCCGTAATTTGATTGAAAACCTGCTGAGTAGAGACTTAGCGTCACGCTCGTTCTCCTCCAATCACAGAACGAGGAGCGGTGCTGTTACAAACAGCCTCTACAGCGCAGGTAACCCAGAACAGCATGGAGCTGACAGTGGCTATAGCTCCTCTGGCTCTAACTGCAGACACAGCAAAACAGAACGATGCAACAGTGAGGAAGAGAAGAGGGAGGTAAAGCGAAAAAATTATCAAGCCCAGGTGAACGTACTGTAGCTAGCTTACATCGTATCCTCTGGAGAGACTTGTCTACGAGAGAGACCTGCGGGACCGCCTCGGACTATCTACATTCTACAGTACGCTCGAACTACGTTCGGACAAGAAACTAGCGGTAATCTTTCAGTTTTGTTAGCAGTGCGTTGCTTTTGTACCATTTCATCAATGATTGTTGTACATATTACAAGATGATATGTATGCTAATGTATGCAAATAAAACTAGATAACTCCGTGACATGAGAGTGAAGAGGAAATGAGAAGCCTGTAAGCGAGTTGGGGCGGTGCTAAACATTCAAACCTAGATTTTTCTCTTATGGTGCTTTCAGACCGCCAATTTCACACCAGAACGTCCTGACGCGAGCCGGAAGTACCGGAAGTAGCCGGCCGGCTCTGATGCTAACAGAGCTATGCTAGCGGCTTCTTGTGCACAGATCTTCTCCAATATGCAGCTTTGCAGCGTGTCTTTGCTCACAGACATTCCACGGGCTTTATATAACAGCAGTATGTGTTCACGGAGGTGCGCCATACGTTTATTCATATTATTAAACAGAATTTCCGCATTGGCGAACACACTCGAAGCAGTTGCATAAGGTCACGGGAGCATGACAACGCACATGTTCACAAGCACAGAGTCCCCCATTGTCAACCCTGGTTTGAGTTCTGGTGAAGTCTGGTGTGGGTCCTGTTTTTGCTGTTTACAGTATTTTCAGTCTGCTCGCTCAGTCCGCTAATGTCTTTGCTGCTCTCTGATTGGTTGTCGCACGAACGTCCCAAGGGAAGGATGAGCAGAATCCATCTCCTGTGGGCGTCGATTTTTCGCTCCTGCTCCTCCCTTTGACTTTCCCGCCAAGTCCGTGCGTCTCTACTGAACAGTCCGTGCGTCTCTACTGAACAGTCCGTGCGTCTCTACTGAACAGTCCGTGCGTCTCTACTGAACAGTCCGTCCGTGCGTCTCCACTGAACAGTCCGTCCGTGCGTCTCCACTGAACAGTCCGTGCGTCTCCACTGAACAGTCCGTCCGTGCGTCTCCACTGAACAGTCCGTCCGTGCGTCTCTACTGAACAGTCCGTCCGTGCGTCTCTACTGAACAGTCCGTCCGTGCGTCTCTACTGAACAGTCCGTCCGTGCGTCTCTACTGAACAGTCCGTCCGTGCGTCTCTACTGAACAGTCCGTCCGTGCGTCTCTACTGAACAGTCCGTCCGTGCGTCTCTACTGAACAGTCCGTCCGTGCGTCTCTACTGAACAGTCCGTCCGTGCGTCTCTACTGAACAGTCCGTCCGTGCGTCTCTACTGAACAGTCCGTCCGTGCGTCTCTACTGAACAGTCCGTCCGTGCGTCTCCACTGAACAGTTCGTCCGTGCGTCTCTACTGAACAGTCCGTCCGTGCGTCTCCACTGAACAGTCCGTCCGTGCGTCTCTACTGAACAGTCCGTCCGTGCGTCTCCACTGAACAGTCCGTCCGTGCGTCTCTACTGAACAGTCCGTCCGTGCGTCTCCACTGAACAGTTCGTCCGTGCGTCTCTACTGAACAGTCCGTCCGTGCGTCTCCACTGAACAGTCCGTCCGTGCGTCTCTACTGAACAGTTCGTCCGTGCGTCTCTACTGAACAGTCCGTCCGTGCGTCTCCACTGAACAGTCCGTCCGTGCGTCTCCACTGAACAGTCCGTCCGTGCGTCTCTACTGAACAGTCCGTCCGTGCGTCTCCACTGAACAGTTCGTCCGTGCGTCTCTACTGAACAGTCCGTCCGTGCGTCTCCACTGAACAGTCCGTCCGTGCGTCTCTACTGAACAGTCCGTCCGTGCGTCTCCACTGAACAGTCCGTCCGTGCGTCTCTACTGAACAGTTCGTCCGTGCGTCTCTACTGAACAGTCCGTCCGTGCGTCTCTACTGAACAGTCCGTCCGTGCGTCTCTACTGAACAGTTCGTCCGTGCGTCTCTACTGAACAGTCCGTCCGTGCGTCTCCACTGAACAGTTCGTCCGTGCGTCTCTACTGAACAGTCCGTCCGTGCGTCTCCACTGAACAGTCCGTCCGTGCGTCTCTACTGAACAGTTCGTCCGTGCGTCTCTACTGAACAGTCCGTCCGTGCGTCTCCACTGAACAGTCCGTCCGTGCGTCTCTACTGAACAGTCCGTCCGTGCGTCTCCACTGAACAGTCCGTCCGTGCGTCTCTACTGAACAGTCCGTCCGTGCGTCTCCACTGAACAGTCCGTCCGTGCGTCTCCACTGAACAGTCCGTCCGTGCGTCTCTACTGAACAGTTCGTCCGTGCGTCTCTACTGAACAGTCCGTCCGTGCGTCTCCACTGAACAGTCCGTCCGTGCGTCTCCACTGAACAGTCCGTCCGTGCGTCTCTACTGAACAGTCCGTCCGTGCGTCTCCACTGAACAGTTCGTCCGTGCGTCTCTACTGAACAGTCCGTCCGTGCGTCTCCACTGAACAGTCCGTCCGTGCGTCTCTACTGAACAGTTCGTCCGTGCGTCTCTACTGAACAGTCCGTCCGTGCGTCTCTACTGAACAGTCCGTCCGTGCGTCTCTACTGAACAGTTCGTCCGTGCGTCTCTACTGAACAGTCCGTCCGTGCGTCTCCACTGAACAGTTCGTCCGTGCGTCTCTACTGAACAGTCCGTCCGTGCGTCTCCACTGAACAGTCCGTCCGTGCGTCTCTACTGAACAGTTCGTCCGTGCGTCTCTACTGAACAGTCCGTCCGTGCGTCTCCACTGAACAGTCCGTCCGTGCGTCTCTACTGAACAGTCCGTCCGTGCGTCTCTACTGAACAGTCCGTCCGTGCGTCTCCACTGAACAGTCCGTCCGTGCGTGTCTACTGAACAGTCCGTCCGTGCGTGTCTACTGAACAGTCCGTCCGTGCGTGCCGAGAGGTCCGTGCGTTGTGACGGTCGAACGCTCGTCACCGTAGACTTTGCATTGAAACCCGACGCAGCGTGATCCGGTCTGAAAGCACCATTAGGTAAGAACAAATCCTACGAACACTCAGGAGTACGCACATGTTGGCATGCTGGTGTTGTTTACTTAAAAAAACACAACATTTTAGTGATATGTCCGTCATATTTATTCAATTTTTTGTGGTAATTTAGACTTTTTTTTATTTTTTTTATTAAATGTGCCGACGCTTTATCAAATACATTGTAAATCATGCCATCAATTAGTGACCCCACTCTATTTATAGGGGGCATTTCTCCATCCACGGCCCTCAGGACAATGGTGTATATATTGCTGCCGCAGGAGGTTGCGGGGTCTTTCCAGTCTATGCTCTCTCCCTGGGTACCGCGCTGGATCTCCTCCCAGGGTCCGAAATATTTTGAGATTAATCTTATAATATTCATCAATCTGAGAGAACAGCTGTGAACAATTCAGAGGCTTACGAGCGCGTTGATGAATCCCACGTTGGGTCTTTTTAGAAATCTACTTAAGAACGACTTGAGAAGAAATGTAAGAGGTTATTTGTGAATGAGGCCCAAGAACCCTAAACTTCTGATCTTCAGTTATTACAGTTTCTACAATTATTATGCTTACAATATATATTGTTTTGTATTATGACTTACTACAGTTACTACATTATCTAGTTCTCTACAGTTATTACAGTTATAACTTTTTACAGTAATTAATTTCTTCCGGTTTGACAGATCTGGGGTTCCTCTGTTTCAGGGATGCACCGGTCTCTGGGACACATCTCCAAAGTCAAGAGTTTGACGATGGACAATAAAGTGTGGAGCGAAGCCCTGATCCAGGTCAACCACCCCTTTAACAACAGCCATCCCTTTAACCACCGCCCCTTTAACAACAACCATCCCTTTAACCACCACCCCTTTAACAACAACCATCCCTTTAACTACCACCCCTTTAACAACAGCCATCCCTTTAACAACCGCCCCTTTAACAACAGCCATCCCTTTAACCACCACCCCTTTAACAACAGCCATCCCTTTAACCACCGCCCCTTTAACAACAGCCATCCCTTTAACCACCGCCCCTTTAACAACAACCATCCCTTTAACCACTGCCCCTTTAACAACAACCATCCCTTTAACCACCACCCCTTTAACAACAGCCATCCCTTTAACCACCGCCCCTTTAACAACAACCATCCCTTTAACCACTGCCCCTTTAACAACAACCATCCCTTTAACCACCGCCCCTTTAACAACAACCATCCCTTTAACCACCGCCCCTTTAACAACAACCATCCTTTAACCACCGCCCCTTTAACAACCATCCCTGTAACAACAGCCCATTTAACAACCATCCCTTTAACCACCACCCCTTTAACAACAGCCATCCCTTTAACAACAGCCCCTTTAACAACAGCCATCCCTTTAACAACAACCATTCCTTTACCCCGCCCCTTTAACAACAGCCCATTTAACAACAACCATCCCTTTAACAACAGCCCATTTAACAACAGCCATCCCTTTAACAACAGCCTCTTTAACAACAGCCCCTTTAACAACAACCGCCCCTTTAACAACAACCATCCCTTTCACAACAGCCCCTTTAACAACAACCATCCCTTTCACAACAGCCCCTTTAACAACAACCATCCCTTTCACAACAGCCCCTTTAACAACAACCATCCCTTTCACAACAGCCCCTATAACAACAACCATCTCTTTAACCACCGCCCCTTTAACAACAGCCCCTTTAACAACAACCATTCCTTTACCTTGCCCCTTTAACAACAACCCCTTACTTGCGTGGCAATAAAAATGATTCTGATTAACAACAACCATCCCTTTAACAACAACTGTCCCTCTTAAATGTAGTGATATGTAAGATATTAATTCATACGTACTTGTATGTACATATATTAACACTTTTTTGTGTGTGTATATTTTGTCCCTTGAACATGAGAATATTTATGTGCATTTAAGGGGGTTTCCCCTTAAGATTAATCATCTGCTTTTCGAGGGGTTCCTAAACAGATACAACCATATGCAAAGATACAAAGAACATTTATCTGCTTATATGTATATATTTTAAGTCGGTTGTTTCACTCGAGCGGACACTTATAACATTCTTTTGCTTGTTGTGATGGCAGCTCTTCATTTCCCTTGGTAACCGAGTGGCCAATCAGATTTGGGCTCCCGTTGTCCCGGCAACAGAGCAGCTTAGCCCTGATTCATTGGATGATGAAAGGTCAAGGTTCATCCAGGACAAATACAGCAGAGGGCGGTATAGGCGTTTGCATGCATTAGCATACAGCCCGGACCTGATGAACCAGGTATATAACAGTATAACAGTACATATCACAGGAAAAGTATATGCCTTTTCTGAACCAGGGATCCATAAAGTATCTATCTATCTATAACCGTTTGTATAACAGTATAATATATAACAGTAAACGTATATAACAGTTTGTATAACAGTAACAGTATATATATCAGCATAATATATAACAGTAACAGTACATAACAGTTTGCATAAGAGTAACAGTATTTTAAAACATATCTAACAGTAACAGTATATAACAATAACAGTAAAAGTATACATAAGAGGTACACATAGGAGTAAACTCCTATGTGTACCTCTTATGTCTTATGCCAGTTAAAAACAGCATACATGACAGTATATATAAGAGTGTGAGTATATATATAAGAACATGACAGTATACATGACATGAGTTAACAGCGCCTCCTGGAGGCTGTATATGGACCTGACGTGGAGGAGACTCTGTCCTTGATCTGCTCTGGTGCAAAGGTCAGTGACAAAGTGAAAGTGAAAGTACTCCCACACTGGCTCTGAGGAAGCTTTCTGACCTCTGACCTCTTACTTCAGGTGACGCCCACTGACCCCCTAAGCCCCGCCCCCCTGCAGCTGGCAGAGAGGGCAGGACAAAGTCTGCAAGTGCAGCTGCTGCGGCTGAACGAATTCACAGGTACAGAGACGTCATCAGAAGCTGCACTAGTGTCTCTGTAGAGCTGTCATCAGGAGCTACACTAATGTCTCTGTAGAGCTGTCATCAGGAGCTAGTGTCTCTGTAGAGCTGTCATCAGGAGATAGTGTCTCTGTAGAGCTGTCATCAGGAGCTAGTGTCTCTGTAGAGCTGTCATCAGGAGCTAGTGTCTCTATAGAGCTGCCATCAGGAGCTAGTGTCTCTGTAGAGCTGTCATCAGGAGCTAGTGTCTCTGTAGAGCTGTCATCAGGAGCTAGTGTCTCTGTAGAGCTGTCATCAGGAGATAGTGTCTCTGTAGAGCTGTCATCAGGAGATAGTGTCTCTGTAGAGCTGTCATCAGGAGCTAGTGTCTCTGTAGAGCTGTCATCAGGAGCTAGTGTCTCTGTAGAGCTGTCATCAGGAGCTACACTAGTGTCTCTGTAGAGCTGTCATCAGGAGCTGCACTAGTGTCTCTGTAGAGCTGTCATCAGGAGCTAGTGTCTCTGTAGAGCTGTCATCAGGAGCTAGTGTCTCTGTAGAGCTGTCATCAGGAGATAGTGTCTCTGTAGAGCTGTCATCAGGAGATAGTGTCTCTGTAGAGCTGTCATCAGGAGATAGTGTCTCTGTAGAGCTGTCATCAGGAGCTAGTGTCTCTGTAGAGCTGTCATCAGGAGATAGTGTCTCTGTAGAGCTGTCATCGGGAGATAGTGTCTCTGTAGAGCTGTCATCAGGAGCTAGTGTCTCTGTAGAGCTGTCATCAGGAGCTACACTAGTGTCTCTGTAGAGCTGTCATCAGGAGCTACACTAGTGTCTCTGTAGAGCTGTCATCAGGAGCTGCACTAGTGTCTCTGTAGAGCTGTCATCAGGAGCTGCACTACTGTCTCTGTAGAGCTGTCATCAGGAGCTAGTGTCTCTGTAGAGCTGTCATCAGGAGCTACACTAGTGTCTGTAGAGCTGTCATCAGGAGCTACACAAGGGTCTCTGTAGAGCTGTCATCAGGAGCTACACTAGTGTCTCTGTAGAGCTGTCATCAGGAGCTGCACTACTGTCTCTGTAGAGCTGTCATCAGGAGCTAGTGTCTCTGTAGAGCTGTCATCAGGAGCTACACTAGTGTCTGTAGAGCTGTCATCAGGAGCTGCACTAGTGTCTCTGTAGAGCTGTCATCAGGAGCTGCACTAGTGTCTCTGTAGAGCTGTCATCAGGAGTTTGTGTCTCTGTAGAGCTGTCATCAGGAGCTACACTAGTGTCTCTGTAGAGCTGTCATCAGGAGCTGCACTAGTGTCTCTGTAGAGCTGTCATCAGGAGCTACACTAGTGTCTCTGTAGAGCTGTCATCAGGAGCTGCACTAGTGTCTCTGTAGAGCTGTCAACAGGGGTTTGTGTCTCTGTAGAGCTGTCAACAGGAGCTGCACTAGTGTCCCTGTAGAGCTGTCATCAGGAGTTTGTGTCTCTGTAGAGCTGTCCTCAGGAGCTACACTAGTGTCTCTGTAGAGCTGTCCTCAGGAGCTACACTAGTGTCTCTGTAGAGCTGTCATCAGGAGCTACACTAGTGTCTCTGTAGAGCTGTCATCAGGAGCTGCACTAGTGTCTCTGTAGAGCTGTCATCAGGAGCTGCACTAGTACAATCATCAAACAGTTTTTTTATTTTCAGAAGTCCCGCCTCCACATCCAGTCACAGTCAATGGCCGCACTGGCTCCACCCCTTCATGTAAGACAATCTTCTGATTGGGCGATAAGTCTGTATAGTTTATATGCTGAACAGAACACTGTCTTCTATTGGATGATGAGGTTTAACGCTGTCTTCTGATTGGTCCAGGTGAAGAGGAGGAGGAGGAGCTTCATGGTAAACTGGAGGACGAGCGTTTTCTGTTTTCTCTGGAAAACAACTCTGCAGCGTGTGACGTGTTGGACCTAAGGGAGGTCCACTCAGTGCACCTGCAGGATGGGTAAGAACCCCCTGAGGGAGGTCCACTCAGTGCACCTGCAGGACCCTCCTGCATCAGAGAGGAACCATTCAGAAACACAATGGGGAACAGTTGTGTTGTTGTTGTGTTGCAGAAACCCCCCTCAGTTCCAGATCCATTCTCTGAATCAGACACTAACTTGTGCAGCTGACTCCACTGAAGACCTGCTCTCGCAATTCCACCAACTTCTCACAGTAAGAGGGTCCCCCACAGGGTCTCACCCAAGAGGGTCGCTTTCACATGTCTGCTCTCTAATTAGTCACACTTTCACATGTCTTCTCTCTAATTGGTCCACTCATACAGGACTTTTCTATGATTGATTGTCTCCACAGGTGATCCTCCCCGCAGGTGTCACAGGGGCAGAAGTGGGCGGACCTCTAGCTGTCAGTAAAGTATGTGTGGTGGAGATGAGCGTCGGCACCAGCCAATCCGATGCCTGGATTCTACTGGGAGTGGGCGGAGTCATACTGCACCAATCAAACAATAACCTTTATCTGCAGCCAATCACACGCCATGGTGAGTCTAACCAATCACATGCCACAGTGTGGGGTCCAATAATGTTTGGAGACCGCAAGGACCAGGACCTAGGGAGGACAGGGACCTTTTCACCTGGAGAGGACCAGGAACGAGACCTGGAGAGGACCAGGAACGAGACCTGGAGAGGACCAGGACCACTGTCTGGTCCTGGACATCCCAGTACAGTACAGAGACCTCCAACCTTAACTAGTGTTAAAGGTTTTTGTTGTTTTTCTAGAAATGGATTCGTCAGAAAATATTTTGACCTTGGATACCAAAGACAGGTGAGCAGCCAATCACATCACAGCATGCTCTCATTGGTCTGTTTAAACTAGTGGGGGTGGATGCCGGAAAAAGAATTATCCAATTATTTGGACACCTTCTTTCCTCTCGAAAACGGCGTTACAGCCAGGTCCAAAAGTCGGCTCTTGGCTCAAGTATTTATATTTTGGACCAGCAAAGTTTATTTTTATTCACATTTTCCTGCGTGAGGGGCCACTCGCTACCATTTAAAAAAAGGCTGCAGATGGCAAAAGTGATGGCACATTAGTTTCAACCGCGGAAATAGGCGTGACTACGTCCGTTGATATTTGCAGTCTATGGTTTAAATTAGTCTCCTCTCTCATTGGTCAGATTAAACTCCTGTCTCCTCTCTCATTGGTCATTTTCAACTCTAGTTTCCTCTCTCATTGGTCTGTTTCAGAAGCGTCACATTCCGATTCGAGGATACTTTGAGTTGTACTTCCTGGTTCCATCTTCTATGTTCAGTACTCAAAACTCAACCAGCCAATCAGAGCCCAGTTCCTGTACCAGCAGCCAATCAGAGAGCATCACTGTATCCAGTCATGTCTGTGAAGGGACACGTCCCACCGGCCATTGAGCGCTGTATCTCCCATGTTACAAACTATGGTAAAAGTGGCATTGTAGTAGTAGAAGTAGTAGTAATAGCAGTAGTAGCAGTAGTCATACCAGCAAGAGTAGTGTAGTCGTAGTATCAGTAGTCGTGGTAGCAGTAGTAGTGGTAGTGGTAGCAGTGGTAGTAGTTGTAACAGTAGTAGCAGTAGTAGTAGTACCAGTAGTCATACTAGCAATAGTAGTGTAGTAGTAGTAGTAATAGTAGTAGTAGTAGCAGCTGCTGCAGTAGTAGTAGCAGTGGTAGAAGAAGTAGTAGTTGTAGCTGTAATAGTACTAGCACTAGTTGTAATGGTAGTAGTAGTAGTTGTAGCAGTAGTAGTAGTAGCAGTAGTAGTAGTAGCAGTAGTAGTAATTGTTCTACTCTCAGGTCTGAAGGTGGAGGGTGTGTACCGTCGTTGTGGCCTCACAAACAAGGTAAACCGATTGGTGGAGGCTCTGATGACCTCACCAAGCTCCGCCCCCCTGGAGAGCGATGAACAGGGTGTGTTGGACGCTGCCGCCGTGCTGAAGCGACTCGTACGACAGAGGGAGGGGCTTATCCCTGAGAATGCCAGGGAGGCGTGGCTAAAGGCAGCAGGTGAGAGGGGCCTGGCTCTGCTTTCTCTCTGGTCTCTCTTTCTGATCTCAGGTGTCTTTCTCTGGTCTCTCTCTTTCTGATCTCAGGTGTCTTTCTCTGGTCTCTCTCTTTCTGATCTCAGGTGTCTTTCTCTGGTCTCTCTCTTTCTGATCTCAGGTGTCTTTCTCTGGTCTCTCTTTCTGATCTCAGGTGTCTTTCTCTGGTCTCTCTCTTTCTGATCTCAGGTGTCTTTCTCTGGTCTCTCTCTTTCTGATCTCAGGTGTCTTTCTCTGGTCTCTCTCTTTCTGATCCCAGGTGTCTTTCTCTGGTCTCTCTCTTTCTGATCTCAGGTGTCTTTCTCTGGTCTCTCTTTCTGATCTCAGGTGTCTTTCTCTGGTCTCTCTCTTTCTGATCCCAGGTGTCTTTCTCTGGTCTCTCTCTTTCTGATCTCAGGTGTCTTTCTCTGGTCTCTCTTTCTGATCTCAGGTGTCTTTCTCTGGTCTCTCTCTTTCTGATCTCAGGTGTCTTTCTCGGGTTTCTCTCTTTCTGATCTCAGGTGTCTTTCTCGGGTTTCTCTCTTTCTGATCTCAGGTGTCTTTCTCGGGTTTCTCTCTTTCTGATCTCAGGTGTCTTTCTCTGGTTTCTCTCTTTTTGATCTCAGGTGTCTTTGTGTCTTTCTCTGGTCTCTCTCTTTCTGATTTCAGGTGTCTTTCTCGGGTTTCTCTCTTTCTGATTTCAGGTGTCTTTCTCGGGTTTCTCTCTTTCTGATCTCAGGTGTCTTTCTCTGGTCTCTCTCTTTCTGATCTCAGGTGTCTTTCTCTGGTCTCTCTCTTTCTGATCTCAGGTGTCTTTCTCTGGTCTCTCTCTTTCTGATCCCAGGTGTCTTTCTCTGGTCTCTCTCTTTCTGATCTCAGGTGTCTTTCTCTGGTCTCTCTTTCTGATCTCAGGTGTCTTTCTCTGGTCTCTCTCTTTCTGATCTCAGGTGTCTTTCTCTGGTCTCTCTTTCTGATCTCAGGTGTCTTTCTCTGGTCTCTCTCTTTCTGATCTCAGGTGTCTTTCTCTGGTCTCTCTCTTTCTGATCCCAGGTGTCTTTCTCTGGTCTCTCTCTTTCTGATCTCAGGTGTCTTTCTCTGGTCTCTCTCTTTTCTGATCCCAGGTGTCTTTCTCTGGTCTCTCTCTTTCTGATCTCAGGTGTCTTTCTCTGGTCTCTCTTTCTGATCTCAGGTGTCTTTCTCTGGTCTCTCTCTTTCTGATCTCAGGTGTCTTTCTCGGGTTTCTCTCTTTCTGATCTCAGGTGTCTTTCTCGGGTTTCTCTCTTTCTGATCTCAGGTGTCTTTCTCTGGTTTCTCTCTTTTTGATCTCAGGTGTCTTTGTGTCTTTCTCTGGTCTCTCTCTTTCTGATTTCAGGTGTCTTTCTCGGGTTTCTCTCTTTCTGATTTCAGGTGTCTTTCTCGGGTTTCTCTCTTTCTGATCTCAGGTGTCTTTCTCTGGTCTCTCTCTTTCTGATCTCAGGTGTCTTTCTCTGGTCTCTCTCTTTCTGATCTCAGGTGTCTTTCTCTGGTCTCTCTCTTTCTGATCTCAGGTGTCTTTCTCTGGTCTCTCTCTTTCTGTCTCTTGTCTCACTCTCTCTGATCTCCCTACCTGGTCTCTTTCTCTCTGGTGTCTGTTCTCTTCCTTTCTCCGGTCTCCCTCAGTTCTCTTTTTGGTCTCCAGTCTCTCTCTGAGTCTGATCTCTCTTTGGTCTGTTGTTGCTGTCTCTAGTTTCTGGTCTCTGTCCTCTCTCCCTGGTCTCTCTCTGTCTCTGATCTAGTCTCTGGTCTCTCTCTGGTGTCTGGTCTCTCTTATGGTTTCTCTTGTTTTCTCAGTGATCTCAGATGAAAGCTCCAGATTTGTTTCGTACAAACGTTTACTTCATGATCTGCCCCACGACAACAGAGCCACTCTGAACGCTCTGTTTGCACATCTCTACATGTAAGTGCTGCTGATATTCTAACATACTAACATGCACAATACCACAATAATATTTCAACATTTTAACACTTTAACAAGCTAACATGCTAACCTGCTAATACGCTAACATGTAAACATGTCATCATGTGAACACTTTAACATGCCAACACGCTAACCTAGTCTGTCCACCTATCTGGCTTGACTTGGTCTTCCCCGTAGAAACGGTGATAAGGAATGGAAATTGATCAGACACGGTCCCCCCCCAGACAGCTTACATAACATATACGACCAAACACTCCGCAGTACTAGGCCAAAGCATTGTCAGGCTTACCAGTGCGGAAGACGGTGAAAGCAGGATAGACCCATCTGATCAACCCCCCGACTCAGGCAGACGAAAGATTGAATGGCAGTAATCTAATACACCACATGTACATCCCCACACCATAAAACCCCAATACACCCTATCTGGAGGTCGGGGGGTGGAGTCAGAGCTGCCACCCAAGTCTCAAAGCCATCCCTCCCTGGACCCTCAGCAGGTGGTGAGTCCACAGGAGGGACGAGCTCTTGATGTGAGCATCGCCTTGATCTTACAGATGGGGCTTAATGGGGCCAAAGAGGGGTTAAGTGACTAGGCCAGGCCACAACGAAGCTGCCATCAGAGGGGAAGTGGGAGTCGATGGAAGAAGGTGCAGAAGGTGGGATAGAACCCAAACTTCTGGCAAACGGCCAAAGCTCAACCCCTTGCGTACTGTCGCCCCCAACAACACATGTTAACACACTAAAATATGTATATATATTATCATGTTAACAAGCTAACATGTTAACTGTGGTGTGCTCCGCAGGGTACAGCTGTACTCTCAGATTAACCGGATGTCGGCGCAGAACCTGGCGTTGGTTTTGATCCCGACTTTGTTCCAAACACTAAATCAGGATTTAGTCAGACTGCTGCGAGAGTTTATCATCCACCAGACTCTGCTGTTCACGGTACAACCAAATTCAAGAGGGCCAGGCCCATGTGGACCAGACTGATCTGGTCTAATGTGTTTTGTTTCAGGTTGAAGACCAGATCACTTTTCTTTGAGTACCGTGTTTAATTCTTCAGGTGACTCAGGCTCAAAAACCAAGACCCCAGGGCTTCACCCTCCCCCAGCCCTCCTCTTTCGTCCGATTAAATGTTTAGATTCATGTTTGTCAGAAACAGTATTTCTATGAAACATTGACGCTAAGAGAGTAAAGAGGACCCCTGACCTCTGACCCCTGACATTATAACCATGTTTAAAGGGACGATGTCTGCATGAACTTCTGTAACAGGGAAATATTAAAGATTGATTTTCACTTTTTGAATCTGTAATTTTTCCTGTTTCTTCTGCCGTCGTGCCTGTAGCTGTACAGAGGGGTGGGGGAAACAGAGCACCTGGAGGAAAGAACCCAGAACCTTCTTGCTGTGGTACATGCGCTAACCACTGCATCAGCGTGCCGCCTGTAACGGCATTCGTGCAGAAAAAACTAAACAATGTGTTAAAACAAAAGTACTTTATTGTCAGTACTTTGAAGGTAAAATCACACAAGTACTTTCGTATGAAGTACTCTTCACAGTACTTAAATCCCTTTCACACAAACGTGTACTCCGTGCTAACAGTACTTTTTGAGGGTGAAGACTAACAGTCTGGGAGGGGGTCACAGTCAGGGGGAGGGGCCCTTTTCAAAATACCAAGAACTTTGACAGTTTTGGACTGAAGAAAACCTGACAGGCCATTTCCACTGTGATGAGTTTCCTGGAAGCAGCAGTTTGATTGGTCGACGCAGGGGGGAGACATCTGATTGGCTGACGCAGGAACAGTTGATTTCATATTTTTTATTTTCCAACAATAATTATAATCTTAATAAATTAATAAATGTTTGATTTGTGCCTCAGCAGCTGTTCACCACCGACCTGCAACAAAAGACCATGAACAAACGTCACACGTGTGTATCTGTAAGTGTGTGTGTGTGTACGCTTGTCTCAAACTTAGAAAAACAGACGGAAAACGAGAAACAAACTGTTAACTTAATTACAAATAATATTGTTTCTGCCTTTTACAAAAAGGTTATGAAGGGGGCGGGGACAGGTGGAGGGGCGAATGGGTTTTCCGTCTGTTTGCAGAAGAAAAGTGAAAAGTCAGACACAAATAGATTCACATGTTTTATTTAAACATTTTCAACATTTACACAAAGTTCTGATCTGCAAACAGAGGGAGAACAGTCCCCTCAGTCTGTGCCCGAGGCGAGGGGGGAGACCCAGAGTCCGACCAGGTCTGCAGAGAGGGAGGGGAGACCCAGAGTCCGACTAGGGAGGAGGGACCCAGAGTCCAATCAGGTCTACAGAGGGGAGGAGGCAGAGTCTGATCAGGTCTACTGAGAGGGCGGGGGGAGACCCAGAGTCTGACCAGGACAGGACCAGACCTGGACACGGTCTTCACCTGCAACTGCACCAAGCCTTAGGTCCTACACATAATGGCCATTCCTCACAAATCTGTCCATGGATTTCTATTCTGTGAAGATTCAAGAGTTCTCAACTCAAACCCCCCGACCCTCCCGACCCTAACCCTGGAACATACTGTCAGAAATAAATATCGGCAGAAACAATGACACAAACTGGGCTGTTACTTCCTGTTCAGGTCTCAAACTGGGTGATGAGCGCTCGCACTTCAGGTGTTAGCTGCTTGGCGGCGCTAGCAGCCTCAGCGATAGCGCGGCGGTACGGCCCCTTCCTCTTCCGGTCAAATCGTGCCTGAAACGTCTCGAGAAACGGAGACGAGTGACTCAACGGCAGCACAGACGTGGTGCGTGACCCAAACCAAGCCACGCGCACTTCCTGTTTGACCGTTCCGCCTCCGTCACCACGGCGACACACTGTCAGAGACAGGACCTTTGCAGGCCACCAGGGGAAGCCCGCGATCTTGGCCCACACGATATCTCCCACGCAAACGCAACGGCCGTCTGCACCCACAGTTTTGGGCACAGGTCGGGGGGCTCGTGAGGGGGGGTCAGGCCCGTCTGCACTCACAACTTTGGGCACAAGCCGGGGGGTTCTTGAAGGGGCATCAGGCCCGTCTGATTCCACCATTTTGGGCAAAGGTCGGGAGGCTCGGGTGGGGTGGTCAGGCTCGTCTGAACCCACGGGTTTGGGTACAGGTCGAGAGGCTCGGGTGAGGGGGTTAGGCCCGTCTGAACCTATAGCTTCAGGCAAGGGTGGAGGGCAGGGGGGGTCCGGACCTTTTGAACCCACCGTTTTGGGCAAAGGGTGGGAGGCTCGGGTGGGTGGGTCAGGCCCGTCTGAACCCACGGCTTTGGGTACAGGTCGGGAGGCTCGGGTGGGTGGGTCAGGCCCGTCTGAACCCACGGCTTTGGGTACAGGTCGGGAGGCTCGGGTGGGTGGGTCAGGCCCGTCTGAACCCACGGCTTTGGGTACAGGTCGGGAGGCTCGGGTGGGTGGGTCAGGCCCGTCTGAACCCATAGCTTCAGGCAAGGGGGGAGGGCAGGGGGGGTCTGACCCTTTTGAACCCACAGCTTCGAGCAAGGGTCGATGGGAGGGGGCCTCAGACCTGTCTGCAGCCTGAGCTTTGGACACAGGTCGAGGAGAGGGGGGGTCAGGGCTGGTAGAAGCTTGGGAAAAGGGGTTTGAGTCTGAACCAGGCGCTGAGAAAGGACTCTGGTCTGGACTACAGTCTATATCAGGCACCAGTCTAGGACTGGGATCTAGATCAGGACTGGGGTTTAGTCCAGTCTCAAGATTGAGGTTTGGACCGTGGCTCGGGCTGTGGTCTGGTTTATTAAGGCATGGACTAAGGCTGGTTGAAAGTCCAGGATCCAAGTCAGGGCTTGGTTCTGGTTTCAGGTCCAGTTTAGGGTTTGGAGGAGAGTCTTTTAAGACCAGAGGTTTGGGTTCTGCATCAAACTCATGAAGAACCAGGTCTGGTCTCTGGACCGGGCTAGAATCAGGTGGAGTCTCTGTCTGTTGATGTGAACTGGGATTCGGGCCGTGGGCATAGACGGGCTCAGACCCCAGACTTGGGTCTGGACTGGGACCTGGTCGGGTCTCTGTGACAGTAATGTTTTCAGGCTTAGGTTTAACAGAATCCAGGTCAGTGAGATCACGGTTGGACTCTGGGGAGGGTTTGGTACAGTTCTGGTCCAGAGCAAGTTTCGGTTCTGGTCTCACTTCTGGTTGAGTTTGTTCCTGGTCAGAGTCAGGTCCAGACCAGCCCATGAAGTCCAAGTCAAAATCTCGAGTTGGTTGTGGGAACACCTGTTTCCTGCGGCTACGTGAGGGGGTGGGGTCTGAGGGAGAGGAAAGGCGTGGTTTTAAGGGGGGGTCAGCAGGTCTGGCCTCGGGTCTGGAGTCCTGAGTCTTTGGGTCCTTCTGTTCAACCCTGGTCCCCGCTTTAGTCCCTGGTCTCAGTCGCCCGGACACTCTAGTCTGCACTTTAGGTTTACAGTTCCTATTGGTCGTCTGGACTCTGGTCTCTGGTCTGAGGTCTGGTCCGGGTCTAGGTCTGGTCTTTGGGGGTGGGGGGCTGGGCTCTGGGTCAGTCCGGTACCTGTGAGGTTTTAGTCGGATTCTGGGCGGAGCCAGAGCTGAGGAGATCCTCCGGGTCAGGACTCTGGTCCCAGGAGCATTAGACCGGAGACCTCTGTGATCTCTAGCTCCACCCACTGAGGGAGGAGGAGCTCGTCTGGGGGCGGAGCCTGAGGGACCTTTGGGCGGGTCTCTGCGTGCCCGAGTATCGTCCCGCCGCGGAGGTCTGGAGGTGTCGCATCGCAGACGTTTGACCTCAGTCTGTGGGTCTCTGGGGGCTCCTGGGGTAGGTGCGGGGCCCCTGGAGGCTTCCCGCCTCGGCCTAGACTCGGGCCTGGACTCGTCCCGCCGCGGCCTAGACTCGGGCCTGGACTCGTCCCGTCGCGGCCTAGACTCGGGCCTGGACTCGTCCCGTCGCGGCCTAGACTCGGGCCTGGACTCGTCCCGTCGCGGTCTCGGCCTGGAGTCATCACAGCGCAGTCGCTTCACTTCAGTGGGCAGGTTTTCGTCCAGAGGTTCGGAGTTTGGACGTCGGCGGGTGGAGGGGGCGGGGCGAGTGCTGGCCACACCTTTACACCTGTCACACAGCACCTGGCGGGGGCGGAGCCTCACTAACATGCAGGTGGGCTCCTCGCTGTTGCCGTAGCGACGGCGTGAACGTTTGATGCGGCGAGGAGGAGGCTGCGGCAGACCCTGGTGATAAGAGTCTCTGAGGAACAGAGGAGGGGGGTAGGGCGCCCCCTGGTGGAACAGTGGAGTCTGCACAGGGTCGGGGGGCGTGGCTTCAGCAGGGGGCAGGGCTTCATCAGGGGGAGAGGCAGAGATGTGTCGCCGTGACGACTCTTGACGAACAGGAAAAGTAGAGATGGGGATTCCATACGGGCCGAACCTGAAACAAGGGCAGAGTTTGACTCAGCAGGAATATCCACAAGTACCACGCAACTAGAGCCATCAGTAGATGTATTAGAACCCTAATCCACAGATCGACTCTATCGTTGTGAAAGACCTGTGGGGACCCACATTACACTGTACATGGATGAAATATGTGGAATGAGGTTCATACTCTTGACACAAGCAGAAACTTCCACAAAACATATCGATGGTTACAAGAGTTCTAAAAGGGGTGGAAAGTTTCTGGTAAATTTACATGGGAAGAGTTAAGATGGGGATTTTTGAAAATATTCTAACTTAACTAGTAGAAATGAATTCTAACTAATTTGCATCATATCCAAACAGAAGTCTTAAGCTGCGTTCAGACCGGCAAATGGACTCAATAGATAGCTATTTCAACATATTTATTTGTTGAAGGTGGATGAACAGCACAATGTGACAACCGCGTATACAAGATAATGTGGTCTCAATTAAAAAGATATAAAAGAACATTTTCCAACATTTTAAGAAAGACCCGCCCTCTCCAAAGGGAACGCCTACTAAACGTACATCACAGATTATATACCTTTATACTGGTCTACTTAAACACTGCAGGAAAGGATACGAAATCAAGGAAAATGAATTAGTAAATAAACAAAAAGGCTTAGTTACAGGTCAAACATATCTCGCGCACGCATGTGCACACACGGATATTTACCTGTGGGAAAGGTCCATTAACACACCGGAGAACACCTTGTTTCCTACGCGATACGAGACCACGAGTGCATCGTCAATCACGTGATCCAGAGACACACGCACGTGAGTCCCGGACCTGAGCTCCGGATCGGCTTCCGGGTCCGCGGGTCCTGGCCGGGTCTGATCTGGGTCCAGGATGGCTGGAACCGGAGGGGTCTCTGGTCGCTGTGTGCCAGACCTCCTAGTCCTGTCCGCGTCACACAGCTCTCCCCCCGCAGTCCTCACATCACACACCTCTCTCTCAATCCCCCCCGCAGTCCTCCCGGTACAGGCCCGGTCTGGACCGTCAGGCTGTCCCAGAGACAGTCCTGCTTCGGGGGCCTCAGGGGCCGCAGGCAGAGACAGAGGGGAAACTGCAGACTGCACTGGGTCCTGTTCCGCTCCAGGCCCCGATTCACACAAAGCATTACCCCCTCCAGAGTCCCACAGAGGTGGGGAAAGTTCTGTGTCTGCGCGGGGAGCGCTCTGTAGCTCCGTGTTAGCGTTAGCCTCCGTGCTAACCCCGTCCTTGTCGGTGAACGGTGCGCACAGCCGCGGGGATGGCGGGTTTGGGACGGGGCTTAGTCCTGAGGGGAGGTCCGTGGAGAACCCCGGGAGGCTCTGGCCTGAGCACCCCGCCTCTGGAGCTGTGTTTTCGGCTGCACAAAGGGATGGAGCAACCGAAGCTCCAGCCTCCCGGGCCACGGCCGCCATTTTGTTATATGGAAAAGCCCCGCCCGCTACGTGCTAGACTGCGCAGGCGCCACACTATTGGCTGCATTAACAGTCTGTCACAGGCAGCGTGCACAACGTGTGCTTTGATTGGCTGGTTGATTGGTTTGTTATAGAATCAAAACATCTGTTTTTTGTTTATATATATATATATACATATATATATATTTGATATATAACTAACACATATAAACATTATGTATATATTTATAAACCGATATATATATATATTTATATGTAACTAAATATGGTATATACACCAATAAATTTGGTTTCCAGCAGATTCATATAGTTAGGTCTATTTCCGACTCCTGTTGTTGTGTCAATGGGCAAGACACTTCACTTTGCCTGGAGCCCCCGCTGAAAGAGCAAGGCTGCTGTGGACTCACCATCTTCAGAAGGATCAGTGAGGAGCTGGTGCTAAGTGTTCTGGGTGCAGCTCTGACTGCCCCCCCCCAATCCTGAAACGGATTAAGGAGAAGAAAATGGATGGGAAAATGGATCATTATTTTTTATAATTCTCATTATTATTATGCTGTGCTGCCTTTTCATTGTGAACTGTTTAGTTATTCCTTTGGTCAAATCCAGCTCATCCCCACCTGAAGTGTTTGGGGTTCACTTTAATTGGTTCACTTTAAAGGGACTCTGGTTCACTTGAGACTAAAGTCTGAAGATGCCCTTGAGGATTTGGTGATGTAATAGTAGTACTAGTTGTAGTAGTGCAGTATTGCAGTAGCTGTTATACTATAGTAGCAGTGTTACAGCAGTAACAGTGGCATTATTACAGCCGTAGCAGCAGTAACAGCAGCAGCAGTAACATCAGTAGAAGCAGCAGCAGCAGTATCAACAGTATCAGTAGCAACAGTGTTGCAGTGGTGGAGTATTAGTGCATTAGGTCAGGGTAAAGTCCTGAGGTGTTAATGATCTTCAAACACTCAGTTCCCGAAGCTTCAGCGGTCGCAGCATGGAGCCCGAGGTAAGAGATTATATCTTTCTAAGAGATTATACCTGTGTTAAAGACTGTGGGATTATCAGATGATACTTCATTGATCTGTTCAGGTTCAGCAGAAACACACACACACACACACACACACACACACACACAAACAAACATCGTTCTATAAGTGCTGCTGCTCTGACCTAAAGTGTTGTCTGTAGGTCACAGCAGCAGAGGGCTGTCGTGTGTGTGTGTCTGTCACAGTATGTGTGTGTGTTACAGTGTGTGTGTGTCTGTCTGTTACAGTGTGTGTGTGTGTTACAGTGTGTGTGTGTGTGTGTTACAGTGTGTGTGTGTGTGTGTGTGTGTTATAGTGTGTGTGTGTGTCTGTTACAGTGTGTGTGTGTGTTACAGTGTGTGTGTGTGTTACAGTATGTGTGTGTTACAGTGTGTGTGCGTGTTACAGTGTGTGTGTGTTACAGTGTGTGTGTGTGTGTGTGTGTTACAGTGTGTTTGTTACAGTGTGTGTGTGTTACAGTATGTGTGTGTGTTACAGTGTGTGTGTGTTACAGTGTGTGTGTTTGTTACAGTGTGTGTGTGTTATAGTGTGTGTGTGTCTGTTACAGTGTGTGTGTGTGTGTGTTATAGTGTGTGTGTGTGTGTCTGTTACAGTGTGTGTGTGTGTGTTATAGTGTGTGTGTGTGTGTGTCTGTTACAGTGTGTGTGTGTGTGTGTGTGTTACAGTGTGTGTGTGTGTGTGTGTTATAGTGTGTGTCACAGTATGTGTGTGTGTGTTACAGTGTGTGTGTGTTATAGTGTGTGTGTGTGTGTGTTACAGTGTGTGTGTGTGTGTTACAGTGTGTGTGTGTGTGTGTGTGTGTGTGTGTGTGTGTTACAGTGTGTGTGTATTGTTAGGATTCAGCAGAGAGAGACGGATCGTGGTGTGCCAAACTCTGGAAGTTTATTTAAGTTTCTCTCAAGTCCACTAGTTTACTCTGTTTCTTTCCCTCAGACAGAATAAAGGCAGTACACAGTTTATATAGTCATTGTCACGTCACACATCGAAAGACATACGTGTCACAAAGAGACAGTCACATCATAGTCATAACATGGAGTCCTTGTAGAGTCCTTGTACAGTCCTGCACGTAGGCCATATTGCTATCTAATACTAACACCCTCCCCTTTGATCACATAATCACATGTGATCACTCAAATCAATCAATCAATAAAGTGGAAAAAGAAAAAAAAAACATTCTAAAAAAAAAACTTAAAAAAATTATTAAAAACAAAGAAAATGTATGCATTAAACTCATAATCATCCAATCAATATCAGTGGATTTTATCCTCTATCCTGGGAAAAAACAAACAAACAAAAACAAACAAACAAATCAAAAATAAAAACAAACAAAAATAAAAACAAACAAAAACTATTGGACACAGTAGAACTCAGCAGATTCAGTCAAAACACAGACAAAAACGTGCTGAGTCTCAAATTTGAAGCTAATTTCACTTTTATTACTCTATACTTTTATTCTAATGCTAATTGTTTACACTACACTTATTTCACTGTATTGTTTTCACTTATCAATCTTAGACTGTGTACTTTACTTTTACTATTCACTATAGTTTAAACTATTCTAATCTATTCACAAATATGTTTGCATATTTGCTTCTATTGAGCCATATTCTTAAACATACATTTTAATCTAATAAATCTCTCTGTGCTGTGGTTTACACTCTAATTATCAGTGGCATATTGTTAGTGGGATTTTGCTCCATGTCTCTTCTCATTCTCAGGAATAAAACTGTGAACACAGTAAGGCAAATGGTCAACATTTACACTTCTATAGTGGTCAGTGATTTATTACTTTTTATTATCTAAAGATATTATTGTCAGGCAGTTTGGGATGAATGAACATCATTAATCAAATTAGTATTATCCTTACAAGAGCTAATCTATTTGAGCAGGTTTGGGGTTGGGGTCAATGTTCTACAATGGTGTTTGTGCTGGAAACTTCTCAATATCTAAATATCTACTATACTGTTTTTGTGCTATACACAAATGCATCAAAATGCTTTTAAATGCTTTTGAATCTCTGTTGGTTCTAATCTATCTCATTGATCTAGGCATTAATCTAGACTACACTCATATGAACTTTTGCATTGTCAACATTCACTCATGTTTGAACACAAGTGAATTTGGCAGTATCTAATAAAACTGTACATAAAACTGTAATTAACTTTATCTACTTTTGAAGTAAATGCTTGTGAAATGGTCCCTTTACCATTTGATATTAGCACTGGCTACAAATATTCTCTATTTTGAAAGCATCTATGGTTGATGCATTTATCTATTTCTATTTTTACTCTATTTTTTAACTCCAAAGCTTGGTTGCAGCTAGAGCCAAGGCATATTTCTAGTTTGTGACTTCTGTCACTTTCAATGGCTGTAACATAACTCTGATTCTAATATTATAGCTGATCTATCAAAAGGATAACATTGTATTGTACTATTTTAACTCTTATGTGGAAATATGTTTATGAAAAACAAAGGAAGTCAAATTCTACTCTTTTACTACTATTTAACATCTACTAAAACGCTACAATACTTATACTTTATCATTTTAAAACATTTTAACTGTTGCTCAGTCTCCCAGACTAAAAAAGTCAAAGTTTTTGTCTGTCAGATGTCTGAATACTTAACATTTATATTGCATTTGGTCACAGGTTCTGGTTGTAGCAATAGCATCGGCAATAGACGTTTTCATTGGCTGGTTCTTGTTCTGCAAATGGCTGTGTCCAATAGATCATCAGATGTCCAGAAGCTAGGGACAAACAAAAACAAAAGAAAGAATCATGAGTATCTCTCTCATTTAGCACTCATCAATGTATGATTTCAAAAATATAAACATCACTCCCCAGTTTTCTCTCTCAGATCCTCAGGTCCTCAGGGTCCCCTGAGGGTGAGTCTCAGTCGTCATCAGGTCAGGTCATAGAGAGATGTAGCTCGCGAAAATTCAATTTGGTAGACGTCAGCAAAAGCTACCCCCTCCAGGCCGGTTCGCTTCCCCAGCCTATCGCTCGGCAAACGCCCCCTTCCAATCATCCGTGCCGGACAGGCAGCCGCTTAAAAGCGGAGCAACTCCCACTCTCTGCCTTCTCGAAGCCTCGCAAGCTCCTGAAGCCTTGCAAAGAATCGTTCTGGAGGAATCGTTTTCGTCTACTCACGCTACTCGTGCGCGTCCCTGGCGTCCTCCGTCTGGCTGCTTGTGGTCTGCTCCTCCTTCGCGTCCCTGCACTGGTCTGCTCCTCCTCCGCGTCCCTGCACTGGTCTGCTCCTCCTCCGCGTCCCTGCACTGGTCTGCTCCTCCTCCGCGTCCCTGCACTGGTCTGCTCCTCCTCCGCGTCCCTGCACTGGTCTGCTCCTCTTCCGCGTCCCTGCACTGGTCTGCTCCTCTTCCACGTCCCTGCACCTGCTGTGGTTCGCATGTCTTCACTGCTCTCCTCTGCGGGCTCTTTCGGCGGGCTGCTCCGCGGGGCCCTCCGCGGGTTTATGTGCGGCTCGTTCCTTGTGGTCTGCTGCCGCACGCAGAAGGTCTGGCGGTGCCGTGCGTGTCCCTGCCTCGATTGGCGGTGCCGCGTTGTCCCGTTGCTTTCCCAAGTCTCCTGGCATGTGAGTACAGTGAGTGTGCTGACCGCGGACAGATTAATCCCGGAGTTCTGGGCTGCAGGCGATTGGTTTTTGCCCTACGCACTTGACTGCAGGCGCCGGTTTTTTTTCGCCCCGAGCTTGGTCTGCAGGCTCCGTTTTCACACGTGTCTGAGCTAACCGAGGGACAATGCATATTAAATGGCATCAATCTCTATCGTCTGAGGGATATACGAGGAGCTATGTGCATTAATTCAGATCATGTTCTGCCACTTGCAGTAAAACCATGCATTAAATAGCTAGGTCGCTGGTATTAAATTAGGTAACTAACTGCAGTGTTGCATTTTGAAAGTGCAGCAGGAAGAAAAAGGGCCGAACGTGAATCTGCAATGGGTGTGAAGTCGCGTTGGGGCTATGAACGCATGGATCAGTGATCGTTCATGCGCATCTGCCATAACCAAAGCAGAAGATGGCTCCAGGGGACGTCTGTTATTCGCATGGGAATGTTTCGGATTCGGGTTGATTTATTCCCTCAGGCTCTTAAACAACCGTGGGTTGGTTCTCTGACCGCCGCTGCTGCCGGTCCCCGCTGCCGTTCCTACTGATGCCTGATCCCGCCGCTGCTGTTCCTGCTGCCGCTCCTGCTGCTGCCTGTTCCTGCTGCCGCTCCTGCTGCTGTCTGTCCCTGCTGCTGCTCCTGCTGCTCCTACTACTACATGTGCCGCTGCCGTTCCGCAGGCTCCCAGGCTGCACCCGTCTCTGTGGCTCGGCTCTTTCAGACACGTACGTAACCTGGCTCACGGAGACAAGCGGCGCACGCTGGCGTGACACGTCTGTCTGTTCGTATGAATCGCTTCGTGGTGCTGCTGCTCCTGCTAATACTGCTTCTGCTGCTTCATACTGCTACCGCTACTGCTGCTACTGCTGCTGCTTCATACTGCTACTACTGCCGTGCTGCTGCTGCTTCATGTACTTCGTCATCTCTCTTCACTTCGCTTCTCTTACTGAAACACTAAACAGCTACAACATATTCTACTGCCGTGGCTTTGATACAGGGTTTTGCCGTTATTATCTACGGATGCTGCAGCTGCTGCTGCCGCGGCTGATACAGGTCGTTGCCGTTATTATCTGAGGTTACTGCTGCTGCCGCTGCTGCTACTGCTACTGCTGCAACCCACCCTCTCAGAAGCTTATCCTGCTTCTAATGGACGCAGCCCGGCCGAGTATGCCGCGCGGCACTGGACTCGCTCCCAGGGTCACTTCGGCGGTCGTGCTTCATCTCTCTACTTAATCTTCTGATTCTATCAGATGCAGCTGGCCGAGTAGCTGCGCTGAGCCGTCAATCGGACTCCTAATCAAAGGCATCCATACCGTGTTCTTCACTCTTCTG